TAAATTTATTTACTGTATTCAAGATGCTTACCAATGTGTGAATTGCTATAGCATTGGGCCTTTATACAGTCTAGGTTCTATATGTCATTAATAATCTCGGTATCGAAAATGATGAAAAACGGATTCGGGTGATTTTTAGAAATCTTATCTTACTATGAATCATGTTTCGATCAATTATTCAAAGAAATCTTGTCCATCAAATGGTCGCATATTTAAAGATTAAAAATTTAAGATGGAAAAAATGGATCCAAAGCTATAGAAGCTTATGATCTGGAAAAAAACTTGTGTAAATCTCTTAATACTCAGTTAATTCTCTTGTTAATACGTTACGTTTTTTTTAAGTTTAAGACAATGACTTAAGTCGAATTTAAAATAGATACAAATATATATTTATATGTAAATGGGGTTATAAATATTGTTTAAAATATTTGATAATATATTTTTTAATTTTTTTATGATAATTTTATTATTTGTTTTCTAACTCGATTAGAAAAGCATTTAAACTCCGCACATAAATTAATTCGCGGCGATACGTGCCATTTACCTAAAAAACAAAAAACTTTTCTTTTGTAATTATCGTGAATAAAAACTTGATGATGTGCTCTTGATAATAAGACGATGGTTGTTGCAGTTTCATAGCAATGGTATTACAAAAATTTCCATGAAAGCTAAAATCGAAAGTAATAGAACACCGACCGTTGTATGCATTTATTAACAAAACGTATAATTATATCGACATTACGTGAAGGAATAACAACGTTTAATTACATATGACGTATATCTAGTAATACCATTTAATGAAATAAGTGTTAACGTTTCGTGTTTTTATTTAAATTGTCATGTTGGACATCTAATCAGTACCCCTTTTTTTTTTTTTTTTTTTTTTTTTTTTTTTTTTTTTTTTTTTTTTTTTTTTTTTTTTTTNACGTCATTACGGATCCTCCTGATCCATTAACGGTGCTCTTAGGCACCACAAGCACCGGTCACCGTCCTCGTCGAACCCGTCGCTTGCGACGAAGGGCTCGACGAGCGAACTAACCCATAGACACAGCCCACTGAGTTTCTCGCCGGATCTTCTCAGTGGGTCGCGTTTCCGATCCGGTGGTAGATTCTGCGAAGCACTGCTCTTGCTAGGGTCAGTGTTAGCAACTCTCCGGTTGAGCCCCGCGAGCTCACCTACAAACGTTAGGGTGAAGCTGAAATAGCCTCTCAAGGCTATCAGCATAGGTAGGGAAAAAAAAAAAAAACAGTGAAACAAAAAATTGCGTAGTTTAAATTTGGTTACATGGAAATTGGGTTACAAATACAGCGACAGAAACAAAACAACACTTCCGTTACATACTAAGAGATTCTAATTGTATATTTCTTAACGAGATTAAATTAATATGGGTAAGCAACGGCATTTTTATGAAGCTACTTAAAATTGGCATTGTCAAAGCTTTTTTTTATTTTTTTATTGCTTAGATGGGTGAACGAGCTCACAGCCCACCTGGTGTTAAGTGGTTACTGGAGCCCATAGACATCTACAACGTAAATGCGCCACCCACCTTGAGATATAAGTTCTAAGGTCTCAGTATAGTTACAACGGCTACCCCACCCTTCGAACCGAAACGCATTACTGCTTCACGGTGGAAATAGGCGGGGTGGTGGTACCTACCCGTGCGGATTCCCAAGAGGTCCTACCACCAGTGATTACGCAAATTATAATTTTGCGGGTTTAATTTTTATTACACGATGTTATTCCTTCACCGTGGAAGTCAATCGTGAACATTTGTTGAGTACGTATTTCATTAGAAAAATTGGTACCCGCCTGCGGGATTCGAACACTGGTGCATTGCTACACACAAATGCACCGGACGTCTTATCCTTTAGGCCACGACGACTTCAATTTGTCATTGTGCTGCATTGTCAAAGCTGCATAGAATGTAAATTAATGTTGTAAGACCCGCTCACCGTCCTCGTCGAACCCGTCGCTTGTGACGAAGGGCTCGACGAGCGAATTAACTCATAGACACAGCCCACTGAGTTTCTGGCCGGATCTTCTCAGTGGGTCGCGTTTTCGATCCGGTGGTCGATTCTGCGAAGCACTGCTCTTGCTTGGGTTAGTGTTAGCATCACTCCGGTTTGAGCCCCGTGAGTTCACCCACTAGTTAAGGTTACGCTGAAATAGCCTCTCAAGGCTATCAGCATAGGTAGGAAAAAAAAAGTAAGAATATCGCTTTTATATTCTCATGTTTCTTAGACGTTTATTTACAAGAAGATTCACCCATGAATTATGAAATGGCATATATACTTATTTGGTACGAGTGTTTTTGACGGCCCCTCCCTCCTTTATGTATTATTTCACGTTTTCGAGTTTCCCGGATGGGCACTTGAATAAATGATATAACAGGTCCTCGCTGCTACATAAAACAAACAGTGCACAACTTTCGATCGATATAGCCATAACAAGACGCGTGATGTTGAATCACTTTTGATCGTAACCGACATATTAATTCATTTATTTGAAGCCTACAACGTGTAATAAAGTGTCATTATTGCTTAAATAAGCAATAAAAGGTAATAATGCAATCATTAAGAAGCTTATAACGGGATCGTGGTATTTAAATGGAATTATGTATTTTATAAAATTTGCTGGTGGCAGGGCGTGATGCAGGTTCGTTCCCGTTAAGCGACATTTCATTAAATGTTTTAATATAATAATAGATCCATGTAAAGTCTATACAACTATACCATCCATAGCGCCACTATAGTTTTCGCCGTTTGCTTATTTCTTCCGCGAAGCAATTGTTGCGGGTGGCATAGCCGTAATTGTTTTCTTACTTAGGCGGATGAATGAGTTCATGGCCTACTCGGTGTTAAGTGGTTCCGGATCCCATAGACATTTTGGAAGGAATGCCACCCAGCTTCAGAGTTGAGATTTATGTCACAATTGTATAGTAGTTACGCAAATTAAAATTACTGTTGGTTTCATTTTAATTACACGATATTATTCATTCATCATTGGACTCATCCGTGTTCACGTGAGCTAAGTTCGTATTTTATTACAAAAAATTACTGCTTGAGGGATTTAAATACCAGCATAGATGCACGGCTCAATACGATAATACCATCGGTATCTAATTCATTAGGCCACCACGACTTCATTAATTTAAAATGGCTTATTTTAATTAAAACTTCGGTAGAATATCTCAAGATGACCCCAATACCCTTCAGGACCGTGAGCTTCTATGCCTATCGATACAAACAATAGAACAAATACCATTCCTTAGGTGAAAATGGCCATTCGACATTTTATTCATTATTACACCCGTTAAAACTTCCCATATAAAATATCTTGTATATTTTGATGTAACTTTGTATTAGTTATGAAAATAGAAATCGATCGGCAATTTTATGCAACGAAGTACATACATAGTCTTTAGCAAAAAACACACATGCAAACTGCAATACTTATGTCATATCGAGATTGGTCATCACTTCGGTGTTAGTGAATAATCTGTTTAGAACCGAACTACTAAATTGGTAAATAAAAGCTAAATTTTAAAATAGCTGTCTAATCAACACCTGTATAATGTGTTCCGTTAGATGATGAATGGCCTCGTAGGCGAAAAGGATATCCTCATAGAGACAATAGTCTACGCCAATTCAAGATTGTGACGTAATACAAAAAACAGTGAAATTAAATCAATTTTACGATTACATCTCATACCAATGCACGTTCTTATTAGAGTCACGAAATTTTGTATTCATATTACTACTTAAAAATGAATGATGTACATACATTAAATTTTTTATCACTTTTTACTGCCTCCGAAGGCAGACGACATGTTGGTGACCGCCGTCGTTGTTTCATATTAAAAATATTTTAAGCTACATTAAATTAGCCTACGAATAAACAATATTTAGTATTATTATTTATTCTTATTATTTATTCGTTGATATTAGCACCATAAACAGACGACGAACAAGCGGTCCACCTGGATGGAAAGTTATCGCCACCGCTACTATTTGAACTCACTACGGTTTCTCCTCGAAATTTGAAATCAATTTGACGTCGTAGGCGATCTCTATTACTGGCCATGTGAGCTCGCTCAGCTGGATCCATCGTTCTACCTTTTTTTGCAAAGAATCATCTGATACTCGACTTCGAGTTATTTGTCGACGGCGGTATTTACGTTACGATGTCTCTGTGTTGACTCTAGTGACCCCTTCAAACACGGTTGTCCGTAAATTCTTCCAACGATTTAAAGTAATGAAAAAAAAAAAAAAAACATAGTAAATCAAAATCACACTTATTTAGTATTTTAAGCCTTTAAGAAAACTAGTGGTCCCGCAGTAGTCGAAATTCGACTATAATTAATTGGAATTGTAAGTTTGTGCACTACTATGATTGTATTTTATACTTCTTCTATAATCACAAATTTCACCAAGGCTACACTATAAAAAATATTAAAAAGACAAACAATATTTAATCTATTCTCAATTTGACCACGGACGTCAAGAACAAAAGTTTGACAATAAATAGTATGCATGCGTGTGTGCGTCACATACATGGTATTTAGTGTGTGTAATGTTTTCTTTATTGATTTAATGTATCTTTTATGCATTATTTAAAAAAAATATTAGCATTATGCACTTCTTCTCTATATTCTCTATAAGTGTGGAAAATTTCTTACTCCTCCGTCCGTGCAATTTTCGTAAAAAAAGATACAAAGTTTTTGCTTCACGTATTAATATATAGATATGAATTGAAACATTACTCGGTTTTTTATTTAAATTACTGGTTCTTCAAGGATATCTCGTTTGTTTTGATGAGGTCGTTGTCCTTAATACTCGCTATAAATATCTAGTAATTAAAACTATAAAAAAGACTAAAACCAAACTCTTATTGGTCGTAATTTTGTTTATTCAGTTAGCTACTGAATCTGGTACATTTTTAAATATTGTAATGGAAATTCTAAAGCCTTTTATTTTACTTAAAAAAAATTTCGTTCCAGATTTCACAAGCCAGTGCATCATTATTGGGCTCTCATTGTCAAAGCAATGCAGACTGTAAAGTGGCCTATGCTCATTGTGACAGAGGAATGTGCATGTGTCAGCCCTATTATGCTCGCGTTGATAACTCCACCTGCTTGGAATGTAAGTCACTTTCTTTTTCTATAAAACTAAGCTTTCGGTAATATTATATTTGTACGTAATACGTAGTTTCCTTTTATTTAATGGCGGTAATATCTATTTCACGAGATTTATACCCATACACAATAAAAGATCCATTCTTAATTGGAATTTGTGGTAAAACGTTCGAATTACTTTCGCTCGCAATCCAATATTTTAAAATCAATCTTGTTCTCAATAAACTTCAACATTAACCTTTGTGCAAGCGAGAATTAAATTTGGCTTTCCATTACATGCAATTTGTGGAAATCAATCGCGGTTACCAGACTCATAAAACGACATAATGTTTTATTGATGAAATAGTTTATAGTCTGTCCTTTCTCTCTAAAATTACCGATTTTGTGGTGAATTTATTGATTTTTATTTATCATTTGGGAGTAATTGTGACTCAAATGATTAGACGAACAGTGTGCTCGTATCAAACGATGCGACTCGGTTTTCAAATCCCTCATTTGTTTCTAAGGAAATAGGTATCTAACATATGCTCACGAACGACTTCCACGATGATGGAATACGATCGTGTATGTAATAAAAAAAAGCCCGCAAAACTTAACTTTTATAATTACTGGTCGTTTTATGTCTTGTCTACACACATAGGTAGAGCCATCCCGCATATTCATACTGAAAAGCAGTCATACTTTCTGTTTTGAATGTAGGGTTAAAACTTCGACCTAATGTCTCAAGGTTGGTGGTGGCATTTACGTTATGATGTTTATGCGTTTCGGTAGCCAATTCACCCAGGGTGAGTCGTGAGCTAGTTCAAATCAAATCGATAAAACGTACAATACGCATCGGTTACAAACAAACATTATTTTTGTTAGATAAATAAAATCGTCCAAAAAAACTCGACCCACACACAGTTACAAAGAGATTTAAAAATACACTGACACCAAATCATATCTAGACTTTATCGCACATACAAATCCGTTTTGGATACGCCAAAAGCACGATATCGACCTCGAACAAATTGGATGCGATGCTATCGGCCACTTCAGATCTCCATGATAGTCCTATAATCCCACGCTTGTCTCACTTTCTTACTTACAAAATTGTCCGTCCATATCGAGTAACTGGATCACGGGTGGATCGCAACGGTTCTTTCGCCAATTGCGATTTACGTTTCTGGCGAATAAAACCAGGGACCGGTATCACGAATAAAATCGTATTCATATCAAATCCGTAGATTCCATGGAGTTTTATAACGGAGCCATCGGTTTTCAATTTATGGGCAATGACATTTGCCCGTGTTGAGGTATAGAAATAAAAGCGGACGTGGTTAGTAACACAGTTCGCAGACCCGAGAGTCCAGTCTGGCAGCTTTTCAAACCAGGATAGAATGCGGAACCTACTAGGGACACCCATCAAGGCTATTCGCAATAAATCACAGTACTTTAAAGTGTCTGTATTTTATATGGATATTGCATGTAGTTGCAGTAATAAAAGGTTTAGTAACTAAATCGTAATTGTTGTAAAATTCTATGGTTTCATTTAACTTAATCAGAGACACATAGCCGTTCTTGTCGTTTTAAATTTTCTCATGATAAAGCGATTAGATTAGATGTATTGCGGATTAAATAAAAGAAACTGACCCGTTCGAATTAAGAAATCAACTTTTAATGTAAGGTCATACATAGCTTCGAATTATTTGATTTGCATTGGCAGTTAAATGTGAGAAACTGGTATAATTTGAAATCGTTAAATTTTAAACAATGGGTAAATAAAAAATGGAAATAGTACAAAGTTAATGTTAAAAGACCGATGTGAGATCATAAAGATGATATTCTTTATCTTTATGTTCTCACATTTTTTTATTTAATTAAAGATTAGCTAACAAAGTTTTATCTTAACAATATTTCAAAATAATTTATCATACGTGAGCTGTTTTATAAACGGAAATCTAAAAGTGAATATTTTGCCGGTCTTACAGTTTTTGAGAAGGACATTTAAAATTTAAATATGTCTTTTATAGTGTCATTTGCGAGTCGCTTCAAGTACCTAAAGATTTTTTTTTCAGGTAGATATTGACTAGTCTAAAATCAAGATTAGAAATACGACGTAGGTGGGTTCTTTAGTAAGGACTCCTTGTTCTGTGTTACAAGTTAAGCGTGACCGTTCGTTTTATTTGTGTATAGCAATTTGAAATAAACTTGTTGATTGTCGTCGCGACCCCACTACGAGTCGTCGCTATCAAGTTATCGTCCGGTCGTAGGTACTATGATAAATTGATCGATTCACCGTCCTTGTGGCTTGTAGAATATACACCAAAGAAAATGAATGACCCAGATGAATAAATAATTACATTTCCATTAAACAAACATTCAAATTATTGTTAAAATGAAATATAAATTATAATTTTTGTTAATTTACACACATTTAACACGGTGTTTCAGAAAAACAATTAAGTCAGACATGTTTATAATACAAATTTGCTAGTCACTATAAACTATCTCTAACAGCTTCGATGACTTACAGAATGGTAATTATACCATCATATTCAAAGAGCGTGCCATACGCCGAGATAGCAGAGTGTTTTTCCTCGTGTTATCTTTTTTTTTCCATCTATTAACCTAGAAATGCAGAGTAAGTAGGCAAATCACGAGTATCTCTTTGATTCTCAATGGCTTTCTTAATCTTGTCTCATCGTAGGTTTTAAAGTTACCACTAATGGACATACTAACCTTACAGATTCACAAGATATGAATAAATTGACAGTGCTATAAAAGTAGTACATATTGAGGCTACAACATTAACTATGTTTCAACGTGTTAAAGTAACGTGAACTATTTGTAACTCTTAGCCGTAATCCATTTTTTTTTTTTTTTTTTGCCTAAATGTGTGGACGAGCTCACAGCCCACCTGGTGTTAAGTGGTTACAGGAACCCATAGACATCTACAACGTAAATGCGCCACACACCTTGAGATATAAGTTCTAAGGTATCTGTATAGTTACAACGGCTGCCCCACCCTTCAAACCGAAACGCATTACTGATTCACGGCAGAAATAGGCGCGGTGGTGGTACCTACCCGCGCGGACTCACAAGAGGTCCTACCACCAGTGGCTGGGCCCGTTTTATAGATTACACCCTTTTAGGGCCGTTAGGTTAAATTGCCGGCTCATCATGACACATGTTAGTGCTGTAGATGTATCTGGGAGGTGAACGCACTAAACACCCCTGCCTCTCAAGTTACACCAACATTTTCGAATTTAAACAATTTTGGGAATGCTTTTCTATATAAATCTTAAAATCTACTGTGAGATTGTTAATAAAGATTCTGTGGCTTAAAAATGTTCATCGTTAAGTTATGTATGTTAAGTAATTAATTAAATAAATGAAATGCTAAGACGCGGACTCGGACGCGGTTGTTGATCGCGCACTAACGATTTGTGGAAATAAAAATAACGCGTCACGCGAATTATGCGGACTAAGGTGTTCGGTAACATTCCAGCGAACACAATGGTTTCAATCTTTGCTAGCATGAACCACGTATGGTGATTTAAAACTCATGAGACCATAGTTCGATTCCTTAATAAGGTTTGCCACTTCCCCCATAGCGACACCTCAGTATTTCTATCACTGTACGATGTAAATTAGAATTTACTAGGCACTTTTCCTAAAACAAAGACAGGTAGTAGGTTACGTTCGAATCAACAGTTTTTTGGCATTATTTTTTGCTTCTGAAATACAGATTACGCATATACAATCAATACCGATGTATTGATTGTCTCTCGATACAGTCAATAGGCATAGGCTCGATAGGCAGAAGGTTCGATAACCTTCTGTCTTCGCAAAAGATTGTGTTACCAGAAAATCTGACATTACTTTCCTATAGTGTACTATTAATACCTACTCTTTTCAGTTGACGTTAGGCTACTGGGTCATTATCGTTTCCGCTTCGAGATCGGGTCGTTACAATTTGTATTTACATATTTTAGCTCAATATGCGTATGGGTTACATCAGTATTACTTTAAGATTTTTACGTTAATAAGTATCAATTTCGAAAACCCGTTGTAAACAAGACAATGACAATGAGCATTGGTCAGTTTTAACTATTCACGGTCGCACGAGCTCCGTACTAAGAACTGGATCGAATCGACCTTGACATTGTAGTTAACTAGATCATACAGCTTGATAACAGATCGTTAAGTCACGCATATGATTTTCACGCTTGTCTTTAATCCAATAAGCTGTATCGTTTTGAGATCAATGTGTCAAAGAGCCTAAGATGGACAGGATAAGCGCGCCGACAAAAATTATAAAAAAAATGTCATTATTATTGCATTGATTAAAAATTTGCGCGCGTGTGCGCTTTTTTTTCCCTACCTAAGCTGATAGCCTTGAGAGGCTATGTTAGCGTAACTGCGCGAGTAGATGAGCTCACGGGGCTCATACCGGGAGTGTTACTAGCACTAACTGGCCCTAGCAAGAGCAGTGCTTTGCAGAATCTACCACCGGATCGGAAACGCGACCCACTGAGAAGACCCGGCGAGTAACTCAGTGGGCTGGCGAGTTTTTGTTCCAATTTGAAACTGTCACGTAGTTTGAAGAATTATTTTTTGATTGACTTCAATAGACAAGATCACTTTGAGATAGAGCGTCATTTAGCAGTTACCGGAGGCCAAATACGCAATGTGAATAGCTCTGTAGTACATAGAGACTTGTGCTCGAGATATAAAATGCTTTAGAATAATCATGATCATAAATTTGTGCCCTTTTGTTTAAATGGTTATATAAGCCCATGACCTTCTAGATCTGGAATCCATTACAGCATAAACGCCGTCACCCAGCTTAAGACAAGAGACCGAAGTCAAATTTAAATTGTGTATTGCCTATTCGATCTTTCAAATGTACTTCGCGGCAGCAGTACCAAATATCAGCAACAAAGAAACTAACTAAAATCAGTGTGCTTAGTGCGAGTTTTAACATTCTCGATGGCGTAAAAGTTAGCTCATATTTGTATGGAATGTTTAGTATGGATCGTTTGCCTACGTGTGCCGCTAGGGGCGCTGTTCCAAGTGCATACAAAATTGGGCTAACTTTTACGCTATCGAGAATATTAAAAAACTCGCATTAAGCACACAGGAACCATTAACCACTAACCACTGGACCAACTTATTTTACTTAATTTTATTGATAGAGTGATACTCAATATAAATGTAGTAAAACTTGTGTCGGCAAAGTTTCTATTATAATGTCATCAAATTTATGCTCTTAAACATTCGCTGCTCTACGATTTGGATATATGACAAATGGGCTATCGTTATATTTACATATTAACATATTAGTGTAATATCAGAAACCACGATCAAAACGAGATTACTAATGAAAAGGCGTTAACCTGAACTAATTACTTTATGCAAATTTAGATTTCCGTAAATTCATTATGAATTGGAAACAAAACCTTATCACATTTTCTGTGAACATTAATTATAGGCAAAATCGATTACAATGCTCGATGTGTAGGTATTAATTAAGTTTGATCAGAATCGCTAACCGTTTTGACAATTACTGCCACTTTTATAGTGTATCCTTAGTGCTTGTAGAATGTTGCAAATTTTTGTATTATTTCGCCATGGACTCATAACGGTAATTAAGCAATTTGTTATAGTCATTATACTTACTGTATTGCTACCTATATTTTTAATGTCCTTGTAGGCAGACGAGCATACGGCCTTTCGATGGTCCACACAGACCAAGGACAGATCCAAGCGGCTGGCTACCCTTGAAAACTCTCTGTAACACTCGTTTTAAGAAAAGCATGTCATAACGCTCGGGTGGAGGGGAGCTCATTCCAAAGTCGGATGGTGCGAAACGAAAAATATCTCTGGAAATGCCCCGTGAATCAACGCAGTAGGTCTAGGTAGTATGGATTAACTCGGCTCTGGTGACCTGCGGTACGATCTCCTATGTAGATAAAATTTTGGAAGGAAATTATATATTTTTTATTGCTTAGATGGGTGGACTAGCTCACAGCCCACATGGTGTTAAGTGGTTGCTGGAGCCTATAGACATTTACAACGCAAATGCGCCACCCACCTTGAGTATAAGTTCTAAGGTCTCAGTATAGTTACAACGGCTGCCCCACCCTTCAAGCCGAAACGCATTACTGCTTCACGGCAGAAATAATAAATAATTATATATATTTATCTAACCATTGAGCTTGTTTATTTCTGCCGCGGAGCAAAAATGTATTCTTGAAAAGTAGCCGTCACTAAAAATAATTTAGACGCTGTAGTGTCGGACTCCGATAATCGCATAACAAAAGGCGGGTCATAAGATCATCTCTGTATTGAAAAAAAAAACATACACGGAATGACTTTGAGTTAATTATGCTTTCATTGTCATTGGATGCAAATTTTAGGTAACGCCTACAGACTATCTTGTATACGATTGGGGTCGCATATGCCTCCGGGTCATGAACTTTAACAGTACAATAATGTAAAAATATTAAGTGATTCCTTATGTTCTAACTGAACCATCTATATGATAATATAATAATATAGTAATATGAGCCTTTATTAACAATCTAATTTAAGTTACATTTTTAATACACTTATTATCTAGTTTTATTATTCGACACCGATTTCTTGATCGTCTTGCTGTACAGCATAGGCCTCCCCAAGGGTTCTCCATAATATTCTATCTTGCGTTTTTCTCATCCAAGTCGTTCCTGCCACTTTTTTGATGTCATCTTCCCATCTACGTTGCCGTCTTCCTCTATTTCGCTTTTTATATCTAGGACACCATTCTGTCACTTCTTTGGCCCATTTTTCAGTTTTATCTCGAATTAAAGGTCCAGCCCATTTCCATTTCAGTTGTTGTATTCGGTATTTTATATCTATGATCTTTGTTTGTTTTCTTCCACCACCATCTATATGAGTGTAGTATAAAATATAAGTGTAGATCTCTTCCATATATTTCGTATCATAATCGGTTGCTTGACTGCCTCCGTATTAACGTCTAATTTAACATATTTCATTCTAGACTTTTCTTGTACCGAATATGCACGTAGCTTTTATGAAATAATATATAATCGACTAATTCCATTTTATTCGAGCTAATATTTTGCTTTGCGTCTAACTGTCTTCATTTCCCGTTTTATTTTAAATCAAGACCAGAAGATGTCTATCTTTTTGAGTGACTGTCATTCTGATTATAATGTAATTCGCATAGACCATATCAGACCCATAAAATACATTTCATATATACAGGAGGACAGTGAAAAAATGTTAATTGAAGATTTAACAACTCAGGTTTCGTATCATACAAGAACGTATGTATTAACTTGCCGAATAAACCCAAGAATCGTTAATCCCGTTCTCACGGACTGTCTGGAACCTCTAAGACTACGGAACGACTTCGGTTCTCTTTGTGTTTTATGCCGTATGTTCCACGGAGAGTGCTCTGAGGAATTGTTGTAGATGATCTCTCCATCTCTTTTTTAACATTGCACCTCCCACACTACCTGAGCAGAGTTCACCCATACTATTTAAAACCGCTGCGTTCATCGACAGTGCATTTCCAGAGAACATAATATTTGCCACGTGCCGTCCGGCTCTAGAATGAATTACCTCTCCACGGTGTTTCCCGAATTCTTTAAATATCCTTTTTAAAACCAGGATGCGGAAAGTACTTAGCGGTAACTAGCGACTAGGCTGTGTCTCTGCTATTGCTGATGTACATGAGCGACGGTAATTCTCACCGCTTGCCTGCCCGTATGGTCGTCTAGGCCATAAAAAAAAACGTCATTGTCTTCAAATCGGATAGCATGACGACTTCGCGGTAGGACTAGGCAGAATGTAATCACTTACCAGTGTGGGCTCACATTGCATCCTCCCACCAGTAATTACAGTATAACAATCGATTTTGCTGCCTTAGTAATTTAACGAGATCTTTTAGTATCCGAGGTAAACATTCTTTGCTTCCGTTGTTGTATTGTTTATATAAAACACATGAATAAATATAAAATTGAAAACACATTACTTCTTACGTCTTGCTGTAATAGGACTCTGCTCGTATCATAGATCAAAGGTCTGAGAGTTTTGACACAACGTCAGAGAAACTATTATTCGAACATAACACAAATCATCGACCTTGAACCAGCCGCTAACACCGTATCGTTATGCTGATTATGCTAATCACCTACGTCTATACCTAACTATGCAAAAATACGGCTTGGTGCCAACGAGGAGACATGATTTTTCAATTAAATTATATGAGCATCATTTTAAAGAGTTTCCATGGAGTCCTAAGGCTTTAAATGCTGCCGCTCATCTTGTGGCATTAAGTAGGAATCTCTGAAGTATTCAAGTAATGGCCATCCTGCCATTCAGAGCACGATCGCATGATTGCTTCGGGGTGGAAACAGGCAAGATGGTGGAACTTATCCATGCGAGCTTACAATCCGCACTATTGCCAGTAAACTGTTTTAGCATGTCCAAATATATGTATATAAATTAGCAACGACAAAAGAGTAAAGTGGCTTCTTCTCCGCTGTTTGTCAGTCTTTTTTTATTTGTTAAGTACCTATTATGAATGCATTTTAGCGTTATCACCGGTGTTATACCGTCACAAGAAAAATGGCAATAAAAAATCAAAAGGGAAAACGTAATACATCAAATGAATCTAAATCTTGATGTGCCAGCGATTATGGTCGAATTTTGAGCACTAGACGAACGCTAGTTCTAGTGCATAACTCAAGATTAACGATTTATTATACAATGGAACTTCTGAAGTTGAACATAATTTACTACACGGTCTATGAAACATGCATACGCATTTAACGAGTCAAAGTAGTTTACGCGGATACTTATGTATATGTTTCGTGCATTCGGCTCTGGAAAGAACTATCCCCCATATTGTTTCCCAGGCGCTAAGATATCTACAAGTGTGGTTTGTAGGGATCTGGGCTCTGGCATTTCTAACGTCCAATAGGGGCGATGACAATTTAAAATAATCAATAAAAAATGCGATATTAAACCGGAAAAGTAGTTTCAATTATATATCTACGACGCGCGAAAAACCGAAAAAATATTATATTTTGTGACGTACTATTTGGAAATAGCAGAAATGATTAGGCGATTGGAATGTACTGTAATGTATGTAATGTTACTAGTGGTAGGACCTCTTGTGGGTCCGCACGGGAAGGGACCACCGCCCCGCCTATTTCTGCCGTGAAGCAGTAATGCATTTCGGTTTGAAGGGTGGGGTAGCCGTTGTGACTATACTGAGACCTTAGAACTTATATCTCAAGATGGGTGGCGCATTTACGTTGTAGATGTCTATGGGCTCCGGTAACCACTTAACACCAGGCGGGCTGTGAGCTCGTCCACCAATCTAAGCATTAAAAAAATGTACATATAAGAATTAAACTAGCGCGTTTATTATATTAATTATTTTTTTTTAAAGATGCATAGACGTTATCCCGAAATGCGTAAAAATTTCCGCGAAAAAAGACATCTCTGCGAGCGAAAACTTGTACGAAAAACTAGTTAGCATTATGTCGACTCGTTCAACGTAGTCGTGGACGAGCACGTAAACTGTAGAACATTCGAATTGTTCGTAAGCGGTACGAGTAATTTTAATTATTCTGTCTGTAAAGTCGGCTTACTGACGATAGTTGAACGTGACAACGTCATAAGAAAATACTGGTGGAATGGTTTCATTTTTCAAAAGAAAATTTTAATTTTCTTTGTTTGATAGATATTTTGTATAGATATAGAGAATGAGGTAAATGGAAATCACTATTGAATTGATCAAGTTACATTTATTTTTATGTATAAATACAATTATGTAAATTTATATATTATATATAATATTTTTAAGCCTTAAATGGAACGCCTCAGAGCGAGGTAACGCCGCATGAGTCATGTTTTTTCGTGCGTGCAGCCGGCTCCATCGAATTATAAGATGTTGTCATGTCAAAATCTAACTGATGATTAAAAATGTGTTTTGTTGCAGCAACTCTACTTGGTTCGGAGTGCATGGTGGCTGAGCAGTGCACGCAGAAAGTGGCTTACAGCGCATGCTTGGAAGGCGTTTGCCGTTGTACAGACGGACACCTACAATTTAGAAAACACACCTGCCTATCCCGTAAGTTATAGGAATCTAAATCAAAACACGATTGTTTTACAGAATTGTTTGAGATAATCAATCACGTCATCTATATTTTAGTATTGCACAATCCGCCCGGAGCAGACTGTCCATATTATCCGAACTCACTGTATTCAAAAATTTAATTGAAGTTTGAATCATTATTATAAGTTGGCAATAGAAAATTCTAACACACGAACGTTTATTAAATATTTTCTAAAACCAGAAAACGTTTTCCATAATAAACTGCTGTTACGTTACCGAGTGAATTATTTTGTCGGAATCTGTCAATCAATGCTTTCAGCATGAAAAGTCGATTAAAATTTCCGCATAATAATTTTATTTGCAAAAAATATATATCAAGTACTTTCCATTTCTATTTCACGGAACTCTATAAAGACGTTGACTAATGAGCGAAACCATTGCTTTGTTTTGTATGAAATAAAAAAATGTAATTACACTTACTCCATTCATTTGTATCAACTGATATTTACTAGGCTATTGTGTTTAATAAAAAAAAACTCACGCGTTACGTATATGGCATTGAAGAGATGTCCGATGATTGGCATGTAGATCGAAAAAGAAATCTATTTAATTATCAATAAATTCAAGCACGAACACATAGAATGGTTTAGTTTCGAGATACTTAATGTAATTAACGTACGTAACGGTGAGCATTGAGATTTTCTAGTGTAAGGCGTATTGAAGGCGTATTGTAGATATAGTTTTGAACTTTATATCTGGCGCGAACAGTCACGCATTCCCATTTGAAAGATGAGACAGCTAGTTCACAAGTGAGATTCCACTTCGATAAAGCGGCACGACACGAGAACCCTCTCATCGTGGCCGCCGGTAACTACATTCCTGATCCTGCGGACAGAATGGAAAGCAGTCGACGTCGCCCCAAACACGTCATTTCGGATCCTCGGTACCTCAAGCACCGGCCATCGTTCTCGTCTTACCCGACGCTTGCGACGAAGGGCTCGATGAGTAAATTAACTCTCAGACACAGCCCACTGAGTTTTTAGACGGATCTTCTCAGTGGGTCGAGTTTCCGATCTGGTGGTAGATTCTGCGAAGCACAGCTCTTCCTAGGGTTCGTGTTAGCAACGTTGTCAGGTTTGAGCCCCGTCAGCTCACCTACTAGTTAAGGTTACGCTGAAATAGCCTCTCAAGGCTCTCAGCTTAGATAGGAAGAAAAAAAAGTGAGATTTTAACCTCATATATAAAACATGAAAATATGTATTTTTTTTAATGTGTTTAAGCTAGCAAAAAAATTTAAAAATTATACCCATAAGTATAAAACGTACAGTGTACGCTTGCAATTGTTTGTAATGTCGTCGTCAAGGCAATATACAAAGTAATCACATGGCTAACATATCGCCACTCTTGAACCATAAACCTACTTCAAATTACGTACAGAAAATCTTAAAACACAAGACTAGGTTTTTATCTCGAACCTGCAACATACAAGAGACACGTGAAACTGCTTAATGTTTTCACCTGTAGTATAATACAGATACGGAATTGGTGGTTTTCTTTGATAAATTAAAATGTAAAGAGCATAATACCAATATTGTCACATAGTGCAATACCTTATCAATACTTTAAATATTCATCATAGTGCAATACGTAGTGCATACATAGTGCAATACTTCAAATATTCATCTGATCATTGTGCTCGTATATATGGTGTAGAAATTTGTATCGTAGTTGAAACAATGTTAATTGAGTAAAATCTTCCTTTTCACCACCTTTTTTTTCTTAGATGGGTGGACGAGCTCACAGCCCACCTGGTGTTAAGCGGTTACTGGAGCCCATATACATTTACAACGTAAATGCCGCCACCCACCTTGAGATATGAGTTCTAAGGTCTCAATATAGTTACAACGGCTGCCCCGCCCTTCAAACCGAAACGCATTACTGCTTCACGATAGAAATAGGTAGGGTGGTGGTACCTATCCGCGCGAACTCACAAGAGGTCCTACCACCAGTAAAGACAGATTTACTTTCGTATTAATAATATTATTTGCTTTATTACTATCATGTAACAGTGCAATAATATATTGCTTAAGCGTTTAATTTTTACAACATCCAATTTTAGAACATACCATATTCTGCTCATAATGAAAATCATTCTACCCATTGAAAAATACAAGAAATCCATAAATTACATATGGAAATGTGCGTGAACAAACACACGGACCGAACGACATTTACACACAAAATCATTTTGTGCTGGATGTTCCATTGGAATATAATTGAAAAAAAAATTAAACTTATTAACTAACTAACTAAGCTACTCCCTTTCTATTTTAATTTCTTTTCTTCAATATACAGACACGGCGGAATTTACTGTTTAAGTATTCCTATATGATAATAATGATAAGATATGTTACGAGATAGATTAGACACACAAAATAAACAAAAAACAAATCCTAAATTTAATATTGATGCAAAATATTAAACATTAAATGCATGCACAGATAAGTTGCATATACGATTGGTTATTTACACATAAATTGGATAGTTGAATTACATAGTAACTCGCACCTATCAAATTAATTTGTCGTTGTATTTACTATTGACATCAAGAATACCAAAACTAAATCAAATATATTGAATCATGATTCTGCAGTCACGGTGTCATTGAATAAATAGTGTTACATTGCGTTCAGTGTGCTTAGTGCGAGCTTTTTAACGTTCTCGATAACGTAAAAGTTAACTCAAATATGTATGCAGTTGACACAGCGCCCCTAGCGGCAAACGTAGGCAAACGTTCCAACTCCATACAAATTTGAGTTAACTTTTACGCTATCGAGAACGTTAAAAAACTCGCACTAAGCATACAGGTGAAATGAAAAAGTTGCAATGTACTAATAAGAGACAGAAAGTCCCGGGAGCGGACAGAAACCCTCAAGAATCTGCTCAAGAAGCTGCATTCCCTCAAGAAGCTGAAGTATCCAAGCATATGATTAGACATTCTGAATATAGACTGTCAAAGTTAATAGTACATAGTACAAGCTCAAGAAGAATACAAAGGGGAATAAAACATTGTGGTGGCAAAACCAGGCCCCGATTGCTCCAATGGCTCCAATGGCTTAATAAGTATCATCCTTTCTGTTATATCTATGATGCAAGTCGCTTTAACGATCACCGACTTTAACTAGAAGACAGCATCTGATCAAGAAGAACAAACGCAAAGAATAAAATTGAATTTTTTGAACGTGTTTTTTATATGATTGACGCGCTCTGTATCAACGGCACCATTCACCGGTTTTCGGTGTCGATTCAAATACGGTATACTGCGCGGTGTACAATTTTCACATCTCCCCCATCACTTACAATTTTATAACTCATGTAATAGTTAGTTCGGTTTATTTTGAATTCCCTTCGTGACTCGAAATTCCCCTCACATCGATAAAGATATACCATTTAAGGAGGGTCGTAAATAAATCGATCGTATTTTCGTTCATTTTACGTAGTTTTGAAGTGTGCCTAAAATCGGAAGTACCACAAAGTTACTGTTCTGTATCGAAACGATAAACTACCGTGTAATTCGACTTTTTTTAAAAAACAAACAGCGATTTTCTTTTCGATGACCATTAAGTAGGTTTTAATTTAATGGTATAACCGCATTGTTTTTAGCATCATTAATTATTATTGTATTTAAATATGACGAATTACACCTTTTTTTAGTTTTAAATTAATGTTTTCAATTTTAATTTAACGACATTACGATTTGATGCACTGAGATGTTTTTTTAGAATAAAAAGTAGCCTATATCACTCCCTTGACCTACTATTTTAAAAAACATGTCAATCCGGTGTTACTTTCACATTTATAATATTAGTATGGATTAATAAAATACTAGTAAAATCCAACCTCGCTTCAACGTGACTGTTGGTAATTGTATCAAACATTTCTTAAACCCACAAACTCGCCTCCTGTCAAACGTTGGCAGCACTAAGACTAAAACTTTCCCTATAGTATCACCAACGACTGCTCAAAATTCCAAAACAGTCAGATAAAACCATATATACGAACAATTGAACACACATGCTAAAATGTATTTAGAAACATTCGATTTTTGAATACGCCGAATTTGGGAAAATTCCCATGCACATTGTTCCACTTGCATTAATAGGCTACACTTCTCAAGGTACTCTGCAGTTCTGCTTGATAATGACCATTTTATACTCTTATAGCCTATGAGAAAAGAAATTGTTCTGTCAAAAATACCAATGGTCGTGTGAATTCTGCGTGCCCTAAAACTTATTGTTAGTAATGAACTTATGTGAGAACTGTGTTCGTAAATGTATGAAAAGTCGCAATAAAGATGGTTAGATAATGATATTTTAAATCCGGAACCAGAGTTGCAGCGACTAATTAAATGTCATATTCAAGTCCATGGCCTGAGAAATGGAACACTACAGTTTCTTTACAAGTACAAATTGTATAATATTGTGAGTTGTATTTTTTTTCCTGAAGATGTCACTTTCAGTATTTAAGAAATAAATAAACTAATCGTAACTTACAACGGAATCGTTATCAGAAATGTTATCTGCACACAGCACCGATTTCCACAGTAATTCGACGAACTTGATAGCATATAATATGTACATACATAAATGTTTAAATAAATGGAATTTTGTTATATAAAAAAAAAAGTACACAATAGGTATGAAATTTTGTTTGAATTAATTAGAACAGAAAAGTAATTTCATACAATTAAAGTAAAAAGATGAAACTATCCAAAAAAGGTTTTATGGTTGGAGTTACAAATCGTGCTGATGAAAGTAACTGATTCGTGAAATAAGATCGTTATGAACTATCTTATTAATCGTACCGTTATAAACAACGTCAGTGACAAGTTAATAATCCTTTAGCATCCACATGATTTGCATTGATAAATAGTCTGTTCTATTCTCGTACTTCTCATTATATTGCTAAAGGCAAAATGTTGCATTCGTAAAGAGTAATTTTAAATTAGTTGGGACCTAGCGTGACGTGATATTGTGTTCGTAATTAACATATAATAGCAATCGGCCACTAAGATTACCATTTGTAATTTTAAGTTCGACCATTTAGTAATCAAATGGTTACTTGTTTTATTTAACAGTCATGAGAATGATTTAAATTGTAAAGGATATAGGTAGAAACATTTCCAAGTATGAAAACGGTAATACGTGACATATCAGTCATTTTAAAATTACTGTAAGTCAAACTGTATTACTGACGCTATTAGGGCATGTGATCGTAGACCGTATGGTCAGCCTCGGGAAAATTGCCGTAAATCATTTACCGCATCGTGAGTTCTGCAAATAGGTATTTTACTTTCAACATTTCAATTGTCCATTACCATTTTCTACGAGTATAATAAGAACAATGTAAAATAAATTATTATATTTGTTTCTTTATTTTCAAACAGCTGCTCCGCCCGGTCACGTTTGCTACAGTAATGAACATTGCCGGTTATGGGATAAGGAAAGTCGATGCGAATTCGTGATTCTAAATCTATTCGGGAGATGCGCTTGCAATTCCTACTATAAACAAAATGGCGATAAATGTGTGCTCTCGAAGATTTCCCCCTATGCAACCGAAGCAGTGATCGCAGAACAAGATTCCGCTCTGAGTCCTATGAATGGCCCTCAAAATACGATGAATAGTAATGGCCAGACTTCCTTCAGCGCTGAGTCAGGATTTAATGAGAGAAACCAAGCTCGACCAAGCAAAACTCCCATATTTTCCGATAATGATGTTTTGAGTACAGAAGACGATAATCTATTAATGCAAGCCGTATTGAAGGTGCCGACTATAGAACCAGCCAAAAAATTACCTGTCTCTAACAGAAAAGAGGGCGAACCAAATGAGACGGTTGGTGTTAATGAAATGACTGCAAACTTGCACGCAAACGATCAACCCGTTTACAGAGTTGTGACGCAACCAACAGTAGATAAAAAGTCTAATAAAAAGACAGGGTCCACAAAAGAAACTTCAGAAGGTAAACCACACAAAACTGGACATCAAAAAAAATCATCTCTCAAGGGTAAGAACAGATATTTTTTTATGGCTTAGATGGGTGAACGAGCTCAGAGTCCACCTGGTGTTAAGTGGTTACTGGAGCCCATGGACATCTACAGTGTAAATGCGCCACCCACCTTGAGATATAAGTTCTAATGTCTCAGTATAGTTACAACGGCTACCCCACCCTTCAAACCGAAACGCATTACTGCTTCATTGCAGAAATAGGCGGGGTGGTGGAACCTACCCGTGCGGACTCACAAGAGGTCATACCACCAGAGATTACAGAAATTATAATTTTGCGGGTGCGATTATAAAATGATCCTACAAAAATTGCGTAATTTACATATTTTCATTGTAACAGAAGTCACTGTCGTTTATAGATAAGCAACGCATTCGCACTGATGTCTCTGGCGACCTTGGACCTTCATCTCTAGGTATGCCTTGTATGACAGACTCACAATGCCATCTAGTGGATCCTCATACGAAATGTTTAAACAAACGATGCGATTGCGCTCATCGCACTAATTCGACATCAGCTTGTTCGGCTCGCAACAGGGGCTGCTTACCTGGAACGTTTCAAGTAAGATATTTTATTAGAATTTATTATAAACAACCTGTATTTAACTTTATGGGACGCATTTCAAAAAATAATTCTCGTATCTTACGTGCGTTAACAAGAAATTATTTCATGATTCCCATTAACTTCATAAAAAATTTAAAATACAGCGTGCTCAGTGCGAGTTTTTTTTTTTTTTAACGTTCTCTATAGCGTAACAGTTAGCTCATATTTGAATGGAATGGGATCGTTTGCGTAGGTCACGTCATCTCGGATCCTCCCGATCCACTAACGGTGCTTTTAGGTACTTCAAACACCGATCACCGTTCTCGTCGAACCCGTCGCTTGCGACGAAGGGCTCGACGAGCAAATTAACTCTCAGACACAGCCCACTGAGTTTCTCGCCGGATCTTCTCAGTGGGTCGCGTTTCCGATCCGGTGGTAGATTCTGCGAAGCACGGCTCTTGCTAGGGTTCGTGTTAGCATCGTAGTCAGGTTTGAGCCCCGTGAGCTCACTTACAAACGTTAAGGCGAAGCTGAAATAGCCTCATAAGGCTATCAGCATAGGTAGGGAAAAAAAATAAAATAATAATAATAATTGCGTAGGTTTGCCGCTAGGGGCGCTGTTCCAACTGCATACAAAATTGGGTTAACTTTTACGCTATCGAGAATGTTAAGAAACTCGCATTAAGCACGCTGAAAATACAAAATATGTTTTCATATCTCCGCGTCTACGGAATGCACGTGTGTCGATTGGAGATTACAACATTGTTTTTTTTTCGTATTTCGTAAATACTTTATCTTTATATTGTAGTGTCGATCTACGGGCACCTGCATAAGCTGGTACTTCGTCTGTGATGGGCGTAAGGATTGTTCTGATGGATCCGATGAGAAGTGTCAAGGTACTGGCGGAGGTAACTAGCTGTCTTGGCACGAATTCTTTTATGCACATCTGTTCTTCAATCCTTTGATTTTCATTTTCAAAACTAATCAGCACTTACTATTTTATTTATTATTGCATCACCTCCATAGAATTATCAGCATAAATACTGAACTAACCAGCATACGTCAGTGTGCTTATTGTGAGTTTTTTAACGTTTGTATTTGCATGGAGTTGAAACGGATGCCTACGTTTGCCGCTAGGGGCGCTGTTTCAACGCATACAATTTTGAGTTAACTTTTACGCTATCGAGAACGTTAAAACACTCGTACTAAGCACACAGATTATTCTAAAATTGGATAACACCAATTACTTTTCAGATGGGACGGGCGAGCGGTGTCCTATGAACTCGTTCAGATGTGGGGGTCCAGGTTCACCGTGTGTATCAAGGGCGGCCAGGTGTGATGGCACTCCACAGTGTCCCGGAGGCGAAGATGAAAGAAACTGTAAGGCGACGAGACGCAGGGGGTAAGTCACAATCTGCCAAAAATCAAATTCTAAGCGAAGGGACATTTCATTAAGCATTGGAAAGTCCTACTATGCCTTATTGTTTTATTTGTATCTTGAACTAGTGCTATTTTTAATAAATAAACGTTAAAATTTTTCATAATAATTATTATATTACATTGTGTATTAATTGTATGTATATTTACGGATATGTGTATGTGTGTATGTATATATATAATTCGTTTCCAAATGATTCTTGTCCACCTGATGGATGTCTGGATGAGATCGCTCTTAGCGATAAGACCGCCAATTGTACTTTTTTGTAATTAATGTATCGCACTGTTTATTTCCTTTTTGGTGTACAATAAAGAATACTCTCTCTCTCTCTCAGCGTTATTGGCTATTAAATCATTCAGAGTTTATTAATCTGACCGACTAACTACTAAAGGTGTTTGCGAATTTCAGATGTCCCCGTCACACGTTCCGTTGTGGTTCTGGTGAATGTTTACCGGAGTACGAGTTTTGTAACGCTATAATATCATGCAAAGACGCTTCCGATGAACCACCACATTTATGTACAGAACAATCAAGGTAAGCTATAACAATAGGTTCCTAAGTAATTGATTGATGAAAACACGGTATATATTAACATTGAATAAAATAATAATAATACATTAACAATATTGGTATTGGTATGTAGGTGGACAGATAAAAAACATTTCGTCGAAGACAGAAGGTCGTACAGCCTGGCTGATGTTTAATGTTTAACATTTCCTCTCAGAGATACTTTCTTTAAAAAATGTATGAAGCGAATAACGCAATAGCGCAGTAGATATTCGATGGAGATCTGTTTATCCCACTACTTGGAAGTGTGGGGAAGAAATAATCCATGCAGGACCTCTTGTGAGTCCGCGCGGGTAGGTGCCACCACCCTGCGTATTTCTGCCGTGAAGCAGTAATGCGTTTCCGTTTTAAGGGTGGGGCAGCAGTTGAAACTATACTGATGTCTTAGAACTTATATCTCAAGGTGGGTGGCGCATTTACGTTGTAGATGTCTATAGGCTCCAGTAACCAACACCAGGTGGGCTGTGAGCTCGCCAACCCACCTAAGCAACAAAAAAAAAGCATTTTAACGATGTAAGAAGCTTCAAATCATACAAGCTTCACACGATAGTAAAAACAATAAATTTACGGTTATAGTATCGTGTTGCGTTGAAAATCTTGTAAGGGAAAGAAGACCGCGGTACAAGGAAATTTTACGACTTCGTAATGAAAACACGTGTGACCTAGAACGGTGTCAGAAATGTTTGACCTTACCTTTGTTTTTTTTTCTGGGACACGGGTGTTTGAACAACTATGAGAAACGGTCGTGTTGGACCAGACGGTATAAGTCCCTGAAATATTTCAACCTACAATAGTTTACTACGAAAAATTGACAGAATAAGATTATGTAAACAGCATTTCCGTAGCTTTACGGACATTAGACATATCTCGAAAATGAAAAATAATGATGAGAGTGTAATGGAAACGCTTCCTGAAACAAAAACAGATCATTTTGGTAACAACAAAAAAAAACATGACAGAAAACGTTCTGACGATAATTGCCACACAGTTTAAATTAGGTGACGCTCAGGGTCAAAGCTCTAGTGAGACTCGCAACAAATGCCATATCCAACTTGACCTTTACAAAGACCCAAGTGTATAAGCTTATCAAAAAATTATTAATGGTATCAATTTACGTTGTAGTTTATGATCTATTGTTGATATCTATGTACCTATATACTATAAATGGGCAAAGATAAGAGAGTAAAATACTTTATTCTCCTTTGTTTATCAACCTAATTTCTCTATTTTTTTAATAGCTATTGACGAGCTTTAGTTTTATAAAGAAAAAATATGGAAATAGCATCTTTTAAAACGTCAATAACAAAAAAAAAATCAGAATCGAAATCTTGAGGTGTCAGTGAATATGGTCGAATTTCAACCGTTTTTAAATTTAAATGGGCCTTACACAATTTCCCTATTACGATCTCAAAACAAATTAACTGTGTGATTTTGTTCAAACTGCTTACCTGTAAAAGGTTTCTCATATTTTATTTATCGATTTAGTGTGTTATTTTCAAGATGGCGAGCCGCTGATTTCTGCCCTCTTCGATGTGGAAATGGCCGTTGCAGAAGCACAGCTGTAGCATGTTCAGGGCGCGACGGGTGTGGAGATAACAGCGACGAAATTGCATGTTCTGTTTGTAGTAAGTAGTTATAGACTCAGAAACTTTTAATATTATAGATTGAGAATAATTGCTGATATCGTAGTAATCCATTTTAGAATCATAACCGCCTATTCGAAAATCGAATGTAAATCTTCCACGAGACATTCTGATCGAAGAACATGAGTGGTTTCTTTTGTTTCAAAATTTGCTTCGAATTTCGAATGCTACATAGTTGTTGTATTCGCATAGGTTTAATGGGTTTTATATACATACATGTAAAAAATGTTCTGAATTATAAAATTCCCAACTTAATTGCTGATAGTCTAGTATATTCACTTTTTTATCGTACCTGTTCACTGGTAGCCTAAGGAGTTATTCCAGCTACGCTGTGAAGCTCATGGGGCTCTGCGTGAGTGAATGTCCTAACGGGCCCTAGCAAGAGCGGTGCTTGGCAGTCTACTGCCGGGTCGGAATCGCGACCCACTTAGAAGATCCGGCGAGAAACTCAGTGGGTTGTGTCTATGGGATACTCTCTGAAAAAATTCACTCCGCTTATAAATTCTAGTGACTATAAAATAGGTTCTGTTTCTAAATAAAATAGGTAATTTGAGCGCTGCCCCTTTTGTTTTTTGAAATTTTTGTTGATTTCTTTAGTCCATTTTCGGGAGATAGTAACAGCCCATTAAAATTCTCAAGCCATAAATCGATACACCTCGAAACTGTCAGTTGACCAGCTAGCTAAATATATTATATGCATGTGAAATATACGCATATCGACGATTTGACACGAAATTGGTTTCCGTTACGCAGACAATGGAGACGAAACGAACGATATGCTTCGTTCACATAGAACTCAACTTGTATATAGTGGAACTAATGACAGTGCTTACTTACTAACCCCATCCAAATGTCTCTACTATGTGATCAGTACAGTGGCGTTTCTTAAACATTTTAAGACAATGGAGTGTGTATTAAATCTGCGATTTTCACATCGATCAAACGATTTGTCAACCTCATTTGTAACCATTGCAATACTTTTGTTGATTTGAATATACTAAATTTATATATCAACATATTATATGTATATGAGAATAGAAATAATATCCTCTTATAATTTACGAATGACCTTATAACAATGTATTATTGAGAAGCCGGGGCTCGGTATTGATATTGAAATAATTACAAAATATCCTTCACTATATTCCCCATTTTTCATTCTATTTTCAATGGTTTCAAAACTACTCTCAAAAACATGTATTATGAATGTAGTAGATTAGTAGGTAGAGATGGTATTCTTTTTTTTAAATATCACGTGCTGTGAATGAATCACATCGCAATTACGATGCAGTTATTAAATATACATATTTTATTCTTTACAGAGTGTCCATCGCCTCAGACGCCTTGAGATGAGCCGTACTGAAACATGGATTACATAACGAACTGGATCTCAATGCTCAACTTTTTTTTATAATAAATAACAACCACATTATCCATAATTTAATACTTTTATATAGTAATTTTTAACACGTAAAATTTCGACTATTTATTTTATAAAGTAACGATCGATACGAAATCGATCAGTTAAAAAGTTACTACAGAAACAAGCCTATCCCCATATTCTTCTGGATTACTGTAAAAAAATGGCTTGCTTTCACGACACTTACACACTAAGACTGAAACTTAATATTAGGTAGTAAAAGAAAACGATATGATTATTTAACTAAACATCGGTTTTGACAGACATAAAGAAATGTTTTTTTTTTTAAATCCCAGTGATAGAAACCTTTCTTAACCACCTGTCCAAGTCACAGAGTTAGCTCTGACTACCTTTTAGGCATTCCAGTGAGTGAAAGACGAAAATTTGCAAAACACATATTTTTCTAGCCATTTTAAAGAAAAAAGAGCACTATTCTGCATGATGAGCATTATTCTAGTGGTGAGCAATCTACAAAAACTGACTACTGACTGTCGTAGCTAAAATCGAGTGCCGTACGAGAAGTTTACTGCAAAGTAAATTACAATAGCTGTAAGACCAAGATTGTACTTACGAGATTTTCAATACCTATTTTGTTAATGCTGACTGGAATTCAATTTATTGCAAAAAAAAAACATACGATTCGATTAATTCCAATACATCCTCACAAAAACTATCTTTAACAAAAGCGTAAGGTTAATGACATATAGCAACATATTGAAACTTTTAATAGGCACTAAAATGAAATAAAGCACTTTTGAAATAGGTAAAAGTAAATAATTTTACTAATGAAATTTATCACATTCCTCCGATAAATAGAGCGATATTTTAGATATAAGATTTATGTATAAGTGCTGCGTAAGCATGTGTGTAGTTTGCTGGACTAGTTTAGTCTTGTGCAACTTATTGTAATATAGTGTGATTATGTTTTGCGTGAATGTGTTAATTATTTATTAAAGTACCTTTCAATTTTGTTTCGTTGTTTTATTTACAAATTTTGTTACTAGTTTTGACCTATGACCATGAGGCCGGATATACCAGTACAAAGGTATTTCCGACGTACTTACGCATTGTATCAGAGGAGTAGCGATACTTACATATGTACCGGTGACGGATATTGTTACGGTTTTAGTAAGTAACATTCTCACATGTAATGATCAAGTACTTACATATTTAGCGAAAGGTAAAAGAACTTAAAAGATAAAACAGTTCGACCATTAATTCATCGTTTTAAATAGTTACTTTACCGGATGGAGAGATTGTAGTCCAAAGGTTTCTATGGGGTTTGCTAGCAATTGCCCGAACGCGTCCAAAGCGGGCCTAACGGCTCACATGCAACTGATTCGCTAACACCCGACTCACAACCCGCTTAAAAATTCGCAACGGACATTAGGTTTGGGCCTTTTCAAACTGTACCTAATCTACCTTTCATCGATTTTTATCCGATTTCTTTAGATGGTTGATCTAAAAATTCGAATCTAGACATCATTCACACAAGCTATATAAAAGAGATTTTTCTAAAATCACATCCGATGTGATGCTTCTGATGTTGGTAAATAAAGTGCCACAACTTAATATACTGGATGTATATTAATACTGGTTGTGTGATCACCCCCTGTCTTCCAACATCGTGAGAAGTAATAAAATTATTTCACGAAAAACTACGAATAATTATTCGTAGACGGGAAAGAGCAGCAGTGGTCAGAGTATTTTACTAATTACTGGTGGCAGGGCGTAATGGAAACTCACCGGTAGATACCACCATCATGCCTGTTTCTGGTGCGACGTAGTCTTACGTTCCTATTTGAAGAATGTGGGAAAACAAATATACAATCGAATACAACGTAATTCATGTTGTAATTGGGATCTGGTATTCTTCTAATAACACTACGTGGGCATTGAACTAATGTACCAATTCATTGCAAAATAAAAATAAAAAAACCTTTATTTTATTTTTAGTTAACATATACGGTCCCATTTGACAAAAAATTAAGAGAAACTATTAGGAATTAAAATAAAATATCACAAAAAATTACAGAAAGTTGTACCCATTTACTCACCAAAATAAACAGAATAAACCGCTACATCGCCTTAAGTACGCATGCGTATTTCTTTAGATGACTCAAAAATGGCGATACAGCATCTTATATTCTTTGTCTCTTGCTATAAATACGTGAATAAGTTTCACAAATGATATGACAATGATAAAAATGAAATACCAAGCTCATATAGAATTCAAGTAAGTGATAAATGTAGGTAACTAATCTCTTTTCAGTATAAAAATTTTCAATCATTGTTTGATACAATACAAATGTTTATATAAACAAACCTCGATGAAGAGGAAATTTAATAAAAACAAACATATCTACTCATTGCGTGTTTGCGCTCACAACGCATGATAGTTCTCTGAGTATATTGTTGTAAATAGTTGAATTAAAACATTCTTGACAAGGGAGATCAATATGAACATAATTAAATTGTTTTTTTTGAGGATTTTAAGATCATTCTTAGCACAATTTTTTAAGTGAGCAAAACGGATAGCTATTTGACCGTTACGAGCTGTTTAATTTTGTTTTGGCATGTGTGTTTTTTAATTATAATTTGCTATTATTTTCAGTATGAGCAAGCGTTTACGAAAATTAAAAATGAAACAAATAAAGGTAACGGCCTTATTAATGACAATGGCTTCGTTAGTAGCCATTTTATTAATTTATTACTTAAACTGGCCTATACAACGCAATGCAATATCGAGTTCTACAAAGGACTATGTGGCCAGTTTGCCGATGGTGCATGTGCCTTTGAGACAAATTTATAACGATGTTAGTAATGAGTCCTCAGAAATATTTTACGAGCGACGCCAAGGTGAGAAGCTAACCCAATTACTTCCTAATTCCTATAGGTACTCCTAAATTCCAGAGTAATTAATTTCTTGGCAAATGTTTTTTTTATTAACCGACTTCAAAAAATGAGGGGGTTCTCAATTCGACTGTATGTTTTTTTTTATGTTTGTTACCTCATAGCTTTTGACTGGGTGAATTGATTTTGATGATTCGTTTTTTATTAGAAAGCTGGCGCTTCCCGTGTGGTCCCATTTCAATTTAGTCCAGTTCTGATAATGGTATCCATGAGAAAACCTTATAAGTCTTAAATTTGCATCAAGTACGTGCGCGACAAATAGATGAATAACTCAATAACTCAATATCACGCCAACCGATTTCGATGATTATTGTTTTTAGTGTATATTAATTTGTTTTGGAATATCTTTTTTTTTTCTAATTTAAGTCGGTTTTTGTTAAAGCATGTCTATACAATTATTGTGTTTTATTTCAGAACAAATGTTAGATACTCCCGGTTGTAAAATCCCAATGGCAATGGTAAATTATTTTCAATATTTGAACAATAGCAAATCTAAACATTCTTCTTGCAGCAAACGTGGAATATTCCTTTATAAAACAGGTGTAGATAAAATTCGAGTTTACATAAAAAATAACATTATGAAAAGACACACAAAACGTTTCGAAGACTTCAAATGTTGCTATAGATTTTTGTTGGTTCCAAAGAAACTAATTTATGAGAGAATGAAATTAAGGTAGTGAGAGTTACTATTTCTGTGACATTAATAAAGCTACATTTTTAAATGATAATGACATTTCACAACTTTTTTAGATATACGAATTGCAAAACACTATACCACGGCTTGATTCTAGATTTGGAAACTGACTTTATTAACGTTAAATGTTTTCAAAATATCAGTAATAATGTCTCACAAGAGATTTATGAAGACTGGTTTGCGTTTATTAAAAAGATTAACAAGACAAAGGTTTTACGAAAAGACTGTCAACATAATTATAACGTTCTGATGATTGGTTTGGATTCGATGTCTTTGCCAAGACTCGCGCAGACAATGACACGAACAATCGACCATCTATACGAAAATTTCTGGTTACTTTTCAAAGGATATCATAAGGTTTGATCGAGTATTTTATTCCACTTGCGTTAAATATTTCTTTATTAATGAAAATAGATTTAAAATATTTTCAGGTTGAAGATAATACATTTCCAAATCTGATGGCTGTATTGACTGGAAAAAACTTGACGGCAATTACAAATTTATGTACGAATAGAATGGATCGATGTAATGAGCTGATGATATGGAGCGACTTCAAACGTGACGGTTATATAACAGCTTACGGTGAAGACTACCTGCGTTTGCCGGATACTTTCACAAACAGATATGCTTATAATAATTCGCCCACCGACCACTATCTGAGGCCATTTTTTCTTCAGGGTGAAGTGGATAAGTTTAATAAATCTTTAGTTTGTTCTGGTAAAGAAGCGTCAGGAAAACATTTATTAGATTACGCACTCGATTTCGCGAACACGTACAAAAGAGAAAAATTCTTCGGTCTTTTCTGGATGAACTCTTTCAGTCATAACATGAACAGTCGTCCTCAGGACGCCGACAAAATGTTTGAAGACTTCTTTAATAAATTAAAATACACGGGTGCATTATTTAATACGTTCGTGATTTTCTTCAGCGATCACGGAATACGTTTTGGGGAACACCGTTGGCGAACAAACGCCTATTACGATGATCGAATGCCATTTTTGTACATGAGCGTACCGAATGTATTTGCGGAAAAATTACCGTTAAAATTAAACAGTCTAGCTATTAATCAGAACCGACTAATTACGCCATACGATTTATATAGTACTCTAGTTGAAATTAAGAATATCTCTGGATGTAGAAATCATACGAAGACCCTTCCAGAATGTTGTCCAGGGTGTCAAAGCTTATTTGAGATCGTAACAGAAAATAGAACATGTTCCAATGTTAATATTCATGAGAAATGGTGTAGTTGTCATGATTTAAACCCCCTACCTCCAAATGATAAAGAGGGAAATAAAAGTGCGGTCATTGCGGTGACACACATCAACAATATGATTAAAACTATTGAGACTATGCCTTGTTGGGGGTGTATGAAGTTGTCTTTAAGAAATATTATAAGAATTCATTTCTACTACAGCAGAGCAAAGGAAAATCTTTATTACGTCGTTGCATTCGCCGTAACGCCCGGTAATGTACTTTATGAAGCCACTATAGAGCGAAATAATAAAACAATGGATGTTATCGGTCCAATTAGTATAATTTCACCTTACCGAGGACTCGGAAAATGCACATTTAAATTTAAAGACCGTCTGTTTTGTATGTGCCAAAAAAAAGGAAAATGCTGAAAAAAAAAAATAAAAAAAAAATAAAAAAAAGTATTCACAATTAGACCTATTCTTTAACTATTCATTTGCCTTAAAAGTTAAAATTCACGGATCCCAAAAAATCATTTCGGAATATCAAATGACACATTATTGCACAGTTATCGGTAATTCAGTGGTTCTCAAACATGTTGCAAGGTTTTGGTGTAGTGGGGGTAATGTCGCGCATAGTGTACTTTGCAACAAAAAAATGGTCACTTTTATTGCCCGCATATAATTTAATTTAATTTTATTAAATTTATATTTGCCAAAATTTATTTTTAAGCCTGTGTGTTTAGAAGAAAGTTAAAGAAAAGAGAGGAATTCGTGAAGTGTATTAGGTGTTATAAACAAAATACAATTAAAAGTTAAGAAGTTTATTTAAAAAAATATACATAGTATTAAAAATTATGTGTCGCCGTCGTCACTATCATTTTCTAATAGTGCTACCCCTTGGATTAAATTTATGGTAGCACCTGAGCTGGTGGAAGGAGTTGGCTCCTCATCGTCGACATAAAAAAGAGTCGCTGTCGTCACTGGCGTAAATAATAAAACGCTCAGTGACTGAATCGACTATATGGTCATTGGTATTTGGTCCTGGCGTTGCAAACAAACTTAAAACAATAACACTCGTAACAAAAACTAAATATAAACAAAGGGTTCCTACAACTTTAGTAGGCGCATGTGTAACCGGGAGCGAACGGAAGGTGGACGCGATGCGGAAGGGAGGGTCGACTGACTCACCAATCGCGCGCTCGGAACGGTGCTACGTCTTTCCCCGCGTCCCACTTGACAACTAAAGAGACCTAAAAACGACTTCTGCGCATCTAGCGACTCTTGCCAAGTTACGTGCCGAGGACTATACATAGCGATAGAAGTGAAATCTTCAGCACTTCAGCACTCATTCTCTCGCAGGCTTTTTATTTATTTATTTTTTATTGCTTAGATGGGTGGACGAGCTCACAGCCCACCTGGTGTTAAGTGGTTACTGGAGCCCATAGACATCTACGACGTAAATGCGCCACCCACCTTGAGATATAAGTTCTAAGGTCTCAGTATAGTTACGACGGCTGCCCCACCCTTCAAACCGAAACGCATTACTGCTTCACGGCAGAAATAGGCAGAGTGGTGGTACCTACCCGTGTGGACTCACAAGAGGTCCTACCACCAGTAAGACTCGGCTGACTCGAACAAATGTACCTAAATACCTGTCTCGTTCTAGTTTCAAATCACAATGCTGTTGTTTTTGTTGTAGTCCTAGGGTACTCCGCTGGTATATAGGGCCCTCACAAGTAGTCTCCAATTTACCCAGTCTTGCGCTTTCTCCCTGATATCACTCCAGGCCATTGGTATTAAATAAATATTCCATAGGTTTTTTTTTGTTCGTGCTCCACGCATCATATGGAGGGCTTCGTGTTAACAAATCCCAAATCCCATTTGTTTATATTCTTTAACGATAGTCGCAGCTAATCGTTGCCATAAAATAGTACAACGAATGATTGTAATATAAAATAATTTGAGAACTGTTTCCTGTACAACTCACTGAGCGTGGGCATTATCATTCAGTTCGGTAGTGAATAACGTAACCGGGTGTAAATTTAATAAACTCTGTTTGATAAAAATGAATCTAAAAAAAAGAAAATGAGGGTGAGTACAATGTTTTACAAGCAATTAGGTTTTGAGTTGAACTATACGTTTCACCAAATTTCTTTTCTATTTTGATTCTCCTTTTAGAAACTTTGTTACCGAAAAAAAATTGTATATACCTACAGACATTTTCTGGTATTTAGAATAAATACTCCTGGGTACAACGAAAGTATTACCTATTATGGTCTTTATTATATCTAAATTTATGTTGTTCTAGTTAAGAAATTATAGGACAGTATTTTATAACGTGACATGTTTCTTTACTCAAATAAAAAAATATATATATATATATTCGTTTGCAGCAGACATATTGCATTTATTTTAACTGTTATATTATTTAATTTTCAGGTCAGAATCGGCAAAGTAAGGGGCTTATTAACAAAGCTACTTTATGTGGGATGTTTATGGGTCCTCTTTACTAGCTGCAAGAACAATAAAATGATAAGCCAATTTGTATCTTCATTTAAACTAAGAAATTTGCTACCGAGCTCAACTTTTTTTTCTGGTATACCATTTTATTTTTATTTTATACAAATTTTCGTTAATTTATTAAAACGAGGTGCGTTTCTATTTATCTGTATTAAATAAACACCAAGTTTCATTTCATTCGCAAGTTTCATACTTCAAATTAATTGACAAACATTTTAATACACACTTTACATTTGGCTCGACAAGCTCACGGCGCGAATACCATGAAGCAGCTTCAGACGTGAAGTCAAAGTTCCAATTGCATTATACAACGGCAGTTCCATGATGATACTCATGGTAGCTTCGCGGTAGAAATACCTAAAATGAACTAAAGTAAACTGTAAAGATATTTTTAGGATTTTAAAGATTTTAGATTTTATATTTTTAGATTAGATTTTAGATTTTAAAGTTAGGTTTACTGCACGAACGATGCCTATCCCCCATTACTAAGTTACCTACCCAAAAAGATAAATATTCATTAGTGTTATATATATTGTGTATATAATATACATATACAAGAAGTTATTCAAAACACATATTCTGGTATAATGATATTCCAAATGTGGATAGGTAGATATTAACAAACAACAAAACCTAAATTTATACAAACGCAATACACGATAATTTCATAACTATCTATTACGAAATTCATTTATACATTACTATGTACCTCCCCAATTATCTCACATAGGCCTTATAAAACACGTACCTACATATTATTCTAATTCTCACATTTTATAAATATATTTTTTGTCTACCCTACTGTCTGCGTTGTTGGTTTTGAATTCTGAGAATTTATGTAACCCTATTTTGTTAATTAATTTCAGAATTCAATGATTATCTAATTAGTACACCGGGATGTCACATACCGAATCATGCGATGATGTTCACCAAAGCAATTAATTACAACCATAAGTGTCCGGTTCGAGCGATATTTATAAAGTCTTTGGCTAATAATAAGATACTGTTTCAAATTAATAAAAAGCAAATGCTGAAATACGTGAAGAAATCGATGTATTCTAGGATTAATTGCTGTTATAAATTCGTCACTGAATCAAAGGACGGAAAGCTCACGTATGTGGATAACTTTTTTAATAATATCATATTAATTCAAATACAATTCTTAGCTTTTATAAACAGCTATAAAATGAATTCAGTAGTTAAGTGCTAATTTAAGAAATCCATATACCTAACATGATAATATCAAGTAGACACTTACCAATTTACAATTTTAACAGCTTGTTGTTTCTTCTCTAGATATAGTAAATGTTCAGGCTTTAAGAACGGAGGAAAAGTAAAATTGCTTCAAGAAACTATCCGGGTAACATGTACAGTTAAGAATAAGAAAGATACGAACATAATCTACGATGATATTTATAAAGTAATAATAAAACGTAATGATAAGAAACGAGCAACTAAATTGAAACCCTGGAATGTCCTTGTATTGGGAATGAGCCATATGTCACGAATGCGATTTTATAACGACATGCCTAAAACCGGCAATTTCTTTAAAGACAACGACTGGTTAGACTTCAGAGGATTCAACAAAATAACACGAGAGGCTCTATCAAATGTACTAGTTCTTCTAGCAGGCAAAACATTAACTGCAACAAAAGCGCAATCTCTAGGTGGTCCGGTAGAAAAGTTCATATGGAATGCATATCAGAATGCGGGTTATGTTACAGCTTTCGGTGAGGATGATAGATTGCAACTGTTAGACAATTTAGCTAGACAGTTAAATATAAAACCGACAGATCATAAATTACAGCCCATCTATCGCATCGATCACAGACGCATAGGCAACTATATGTGTACAATGAAATTACCATCCGGTATTCACTTACTTGATTACGCTCATCAATTTGTCGATTTATACAAAAACAAAAACTTTTTTGGATTTTTTTGGCTAAGCTCTTATACCCAACATTATGATGGCATGCCTTCGCTAATCGATTCGGAGATAGCACAGTTATTTGGAAACATAAAAAATAATGGCGTGCTCAACAATACTTTTGTAATATTTTTAAGTGAGACCGGTATGAAGTCAGCCAATTCGAAGTCATCAATAGCATCGTATTACGAAGAGCGGCTGCCAATGTTATTTATGTGGGTGCCATTAGAGTTTAGAAAAAAATACATAAATGAATATAACAACATAAAATCCAATCAGATTGTTTTAGTAACCCCTTATGATATCAATCATACCTTAAAATATATTTTGGAATTCAGGGTAAAATTAACCAATAATAGTATATACAATACATGTCCCAAGTGTAATGGTCTCTTTAAAAATATATCTTTAACGAGAACATGCACAGGCGCAGGTATCGACGAAAATGTTTGCACTTGCCGAGATTACTCTACTCCTCCCTACAACAATTTCAATGTGCAAACTAGTTTGGAGTTAGCAGTCTCTTATATTAAAGACAGGGCTAGATCTGTACAAACAATAACGTGCATGATTTGCGAAGAAATGGAACTAAACAGCGTAATCAGCGTGCATTCCTATTTTTATTCCAACCAAACATATTACATATTGGCAATTCAAATGCAACCGAGGAACATGACGTACGGAGTAACCGTCGTTGTACAAAAATATAATTTTTCTCTTGTTCACCCGATAAACAGTTTAACTCCACCTGTAACTGGAAGGTGCGCCATTAGAACGGAGGACACTATGTATTGTGCTTGTAATGTGACTTTTTGTAATATTCAATCATCGGACTCACTCCCACCACAATAATTAAAATGTGACATTTTCTTTTAATGACTCATATAGTGAACCATAACCATGGTTAATGGGAACAGCAAAGTTACTAGGTACTATTAAGGTTTTATTTTCCTACCTAAGCTGGTGGTCTAGAGAGAGCGTAACCTTAACTAGTAGGTGAGCTCACGGGGCTCAAACCTGACGATGTTGCTAACACGAACCCTAGCAAGAGCCGTGCTTCGCAGAATCTACCACCGGATCGGAAACGCGACCCACTGAAAACATCCGGCGAGAAACTCAGTGGGCTGTGTCTGTGGGTTAATTTACTCGCCGAGCCCTTCATCGCAAGCGACGGGTTCGACGAGAACGATGACCGGTGCTTGGGGTACCTAAAAGCACCGTTAGTGGATCGGGAGGATCCGAAATGACGTGAACTATTAAGGGGGGCCACTTCTCATGAAATCCTGTTTAGTGCAGAACATGCCACGGATACCCGGAAACAAGAAAGCGATTTCAAAATATACATTGGTGGAACGTCACGTAAACAAAACAAAAAACCTTCTGGAGCTCATCAGTTCCAGCAATATATCATATGGAAAAGTCGTCATATAAAAAAGATAAGTATTTTTTGTTTTTTTTATGATTGAAGGATTACTGGTGGCCTGGAGGCCTTTCCAGTTTTACCAGGACAGATGGGCGAGCAAAGGCTCAACCAGGAGGGGTAGGATTTGCTAACAACTGCCCGAGCGCCTCCGAAGGAGACCTAACAACTCCAGAGCAGCTGCTTCGCGAATGAAATACCGGATCGGAATCGCATTCCACTGAGAAGATCCCGCGAGAAGCCCAGCGGGCTGATGCATGGGTTAGGTTGCACGTATAACTCTTTGTCGAGTTCGACTAGTATGGTTACCGGGGTAGTTAGTATTGTCTCGATTAATTCCTCAGAGCATTCCATGTGGAACATTCTTTCGGCACCCCTTTATAAAAACTCTTATACCTTTCCATTGTTATCAGCGTTGTTTTATTGGTATACATATTTGGTAAATTGGTCATATGGCACAACAATAGTCACCTATAGGGGGTGGGCATTTATGAGGTCACAGTGAGACTGTACTATTTACTTTTACTATAATATGTAAATATCTTATCATATTTCTTTATTACTCACAAGCGGCCCGATCCGGCTCCGCTCGGGTCTTTAACAAAAATTTCAACGATATTTGACGTTGTTTTATTTTTTAAATAAAAGAACACTTGTTGCGGCATAATTATAATAGTTAGACATATGCTGCCGCGACGCTTTTTGTAAATAATAATGTGTTCTACAAAGTCGTAGTACATTATTTTATTCTATCATTAATAGTTTTCGCAAGGCACGCGATGAAGAATATTTTAGATATTTTTTACACATTGAGTTACATTATTGGAGTTTTAGTAAGGATCCCTAATTTTTCTCAAAAATATTATAGCCTATGTCACTCGGGAATAGTGTAGCTTCCAAACAGTGAAAGATTTTTTCAAATCAGGTTCAGTAGTTTCGAATACAAACAAACATACAAATCTTTCCTCTTTATAATATTAGTATAGATTAGAACTCACTGCCAACCTGGCATAACCGAAACCTATAGATATCACAATAATGAAAAACACACAGGGTCATGAAGTTGAAGTCCCAATTGCACTTGTTGTATAACGGTTGTCCCACAGTTCAACCGGAAACACAGTATGTGTTAACATTAGTATCAGCATTTACAAGGGTTGCCTTTGTTCCTATGCCAATATCAACTTATTAAAAAGTTGATCAGGTAATTGTAGTATTTATAGAAACTTTCATACCTTTTTTAATATTTTTTATTCAACTATAGTACACACATAAATGATATATATGTAACATTAAATTTACTTACTAGGTCATATCACATGTCACCTAATTTGCATAAATTTAGCCATGGCTTTATTAAATTAAATCTCTATCCTTTCATAATTTGTACTATAAAACAAGACATAATATAAACACACATACAATGTTTCACGGTGTTATAATCGAAATTACTAAAAATAAGAATGAAAATATGAAGAAAAAAAATTAACACACACAATATATTTTTGACTACTACACTACAAAAAATAGGAATATAGTTTTTAAAACTTACATTTTTTTTCTGTTTTTTATTCACTGTATATGGAATAGAGTGAATTTTGAGTTCACTACTATCAACCATAAAATGTAAATCATAGTGATCTCTATTAATAATATAACAATGTCAATCAATTTTTTTTTAAACTTAAAAAAAAACAGAAACTTCTTAAACATAATTATTATCTGAAAACATCTGCATAAGGATAACTTAATAAAAAAATATTTCATATTTATAGCTACAAAGCATTTCGTTTCATATGATGATAACAATAAATTTAAAAGATCATGAGATCACAACATACTAACACAACCAATGTTAGATTTACAATAAGGAAACTAAATGCAGTTTAACTTAACAATAAAATAAAGAGTTAAAATATTTGAGTTAAATATAGTAGTTGAATAAAGATCTGGCCAAATTAAAATGGTGTCATGGAATAAAGATCAAAATTAGGACATTTCATGTTTTCTTTCTTACATATAAATTAATAGAATGTATAGTTTGAAAATTACTTTATATTGAATGAAGTTTTATTAATAGATCTTCCCAATAAAAAAAATATATAGTTAATTAGCATTCACAATGCTGTATCATCCTTAACTATTAATGATAAGTAGCAGTAATTTGGCATACTATAATGAGATTATATTAGGTAAAAACTTACACAAGTAAACTTTTTGTCAAGCCATGGGGTTTGCTCGGGAAGATTAAAAATAATGAGAGCTGAAGTACAGCCAATGTACCTCCAATGAAGTTTGGTGTCTGAAATTGAAAAAAGATGTAAAGATTACTATTAGTAGATAATTAAATAATTGTTAATAAATGACATTTTTAAATGTAATTATTAAATTTTTTATATTATTTTATGTTTTGAAATCAGAGTACTTCATTCCTTAAATTCATTCCTGTACACTTAAATTTATCCTAGATAAGATAATTTTAGACTTAATACAGCTGTCATGATTATCTGTATTAGATTACAATCGATACAAAAGTATAACAATAAATATTACTTTTAATTGCAATATTTTTTTTTTTTAAATGTTCACACTCTGTAGAATTATCTTTTTATCAGATCTAAGATAAAAATAACTGAGTACATTTTGTTAGTAGATATTGATAACTTCTGAAAATTATAATTTTAAAATTTTCTCATATTATTATGTTCAATATTTTATTTAATGCTTCATAAGGTCAGTATGAATCATTTGACCAAATATATGTAATGTATAAACAATATTAATACATACTGTAATATATACATCCTCTTCAATTAAGCCATATAGGAACCATGTTGCAGACACGAAAAAAGACATTAGTATCATTGGGAATGGAAGACATTCAGTACATTTTACTTTTAGGACATAAAATAATTTACTCAATGGAGAAGCTATCGTCAACAGTGTGAAGGAACATGCTAACAACCCTGCAACATAAAACAGAAAAGTGACTGTACAATAAATCTATGTATTAGTATAGAAAAAATAATTTGTTGATATTAATTTTTCAACTCACCTAGTCTACCCAAAAGTAGTTCATTGTCATCTTCAACAGAAACATATCCAAGTGTGAATATTATAAATGCAACCATAGCAAAAATCTGTTTCAAAACTGATGACTTTTTAAATGTGAAGATGTAGAACACAGCTGTATAGGCAAACATGAGCGTCACACCAATTACATTGACAAACACAATTTTATTGTCATGTTTAGTAAGTCCATACAATATCCAGAGAGCGGCACTAAAACACATAAATTAACATTTAAGTAAACTTTAAAGTCAAATGCAAACAAACTATTTGTTTTTGAGTTTCATTTAAAATTCGAAACGTTTCCAATTTTATATAGGTACTTAAATGATATAAACAAATGTTTTGAATCTTACGACATGACGCCACATATAAATGGAAGCGGAGAAGCTTCAGCTGTGGTCCGATTTACGACATATTGTTTGCAAACTAGACTGTAACAAAGATTCAAAATTAGCCATTGGTTCCTTAGAAACACAAGTTAACACAACACATGAATACAAGACTTAACTTACATTCCAGAAAGAAACTGTAAAATGGTTATGGTTACAGCAACACTGCTAACAAAATCCTTTATTTGAGAAAGATGCATTTTATTTATCCTATTAAATATTCATTCGTATCATAACGTGTTTCTTTGAATTCTGATTTATTTTGAAATTTGCTCCACAATACTACAATTCTTTTCACCAATGAGCATTGAACATGCTGGAGTGACACTGAAAGATAGACATTTGACATTTAGCATCAAATAAAATGGAATTCAATCATTTATCTATGATCTGCACACCATACGCCCCGTCATGACGTATGCAAGCGTAGTGTTCGTTCACGCGGCCCACACTAACTTGAAACCCCTTCAGGTTATTCAATCCCGATTTTTCAGGATAGCCGGCGGAGCACCATGTTTCCTCAGGAACGTGGATCTTCATGATGACCTAGAACTTGACTCGGTCAGTAAGTATCTACAGTCGGCATCATTGCGCCACTTTGAGAAGGCGGCACCTCTTGTCGTGGCCGCTGAAAGCTACATACCCGATCCTCTAGACCGAATGGTAAACAGTCGACGTCGCCCAAAACACGTCATTATGGATCCTCTCGATCTATTAACGGTGTTTTTAGGTACCACAAACACCGGTCACCGTCCTCGTCGAACCCGTCGCGTCGCTTGCAACGAAGGGCTCGACGAGCGAATTAACCCATAGACACAGCCCACTGAGTTTCACACCGGATCTTTTCAGTGGGTTGCGTTTCCGATCCGGCGTTTCCGATCCGGTGGTAGATTCTGCGAAGCACTGCACTTGCTAGGGTCCCTGTTAGCATCACTCCGGTTTGAGCCCCGTGAGCTCACCTACCAGTTAAGGTTACGCTGAAACAGCCTCTCAAGGCTATCAGCATAGGTAGGGAAAAAAAAATGTCTTTGCCACAAAAGACCACGGTGTACGAGTTGTGTTTTCTTTTTCTGTCGAATTGGCGCACTGAAGTATGAAAATTGGCGAATCAAAAAGGTCTTTTGACACATAACATTTGTTCACTTCTTACTAGTGTTTTCACTTTTAGGGATTTGGCCCTTTTTAGGGTGAAACTAAGAATTTCATGTACGACTTTGGGCTTTTTTAACGAAGGAGGAAATTATAGAGAAAAACACTTTAATGTGGTAGCAATTTTTATTATATTATGCTCTATAGCTCAATATTTGCGGATAAAGTCTGCAAATTACTTTCGTATTATAATCCAACACATGTTGTTTAATTTTATACAAATTGTTGGGAATTTTATGTCGAAAATATTATTCTGATTCTAAAACGGTTCGATTTAGACCAAGTATTTTTTGTATAAATAAGTATATCCTAAAATAGTAGTACCAAATCTTGAAAAGCAAATCGATTACATAATCGAAACCAAGTATTAGGCATTATATTTAGCATTTTATATTTAGTATTTTCAGGGAGTATATAATTTAGTATTCAAATTACCTGAAATTACCAGATAATTACCTGAAAAACAGATAAAAAATGCCAATTGAACTTTACTGGTATAAGATATTAAGCTTGATCGACTTGATCCATAGGTACTATCTGGAGCCACTGCGTTCATCCACACTGCGCTTCCAAAGGCTTTGAAATGAGGTCTCTTATAGGGTGTTTTCTGAGCCCTGTGACATGTCCTTCTTCAAACGAGGCTGGTGAAGAGTTCAGCTGTAGGCAGTGGCTTCGCTCTGCCCCTGGCATTGCTGACGTCCATGGGTGACGGTAACCACTCACCATCAGGTAGATCGTATATTCATCTGCCTACAAAGGCAATAAAAAAAATTAAGGCCTTGACGGAATAGTTTGGAATAAACTAGGATTGCTAACTGTTCAATTTTGGAGCCTAGTGCCACGTTTAGTGCCGCGAAAATGTGTAAGAGTAACGTTACGGTTTTTGACTCCTATTTAATTCTTCATTGTTAGTTTAATTTTTTATACTAAATGCAATGATATTTTTTTCTAAATTAGTTCTTCATCCTGAATTTGAGATTTTACCTTTAAGAGATAATTTCTAAGAAATTTAGGGCGAAACAAAAATCTTAAGTGGAAGCACTGCTTTTTCTGACTTCGTAAAACGGACTTTTTGGCGGGAACGCGAGGATTGAAAGGACTTAAAGGTCTTAGTTGCCAGGTCATAAAATCCCATAAAAAAATATATTCGTAGAACAATAAAAATTTAGCGAATTGTCTATGCATTCAATATTGTTCTCTGCCTGCTGTGCATGGTGTTTGTTTGTTTGTGCTGCATGCATACCTACCGTTAATGTTTACTAATATCATTACGTGAATATTTTAATAGAAACATTTAAAACATGCCATTTGAAATATTAGAAATACGACAATGAAGTCCTTTAAACTCATTGTACATCAGTCTAGTTTTAGCCGTAAGTGCTTTTTTACATCTACCTACAAATATTTGTAGTTACGGCATACAAATTCAAAATTTTTATGATTTTTTGTAGCCGAAGATTTGATAATCAACTTGAAAGACTATCCAGGGTTAAAGGAAAAAGATATAGTCGAAATTTATCATCCCGAAAATGACTACCCCCGATTATTACTACAAGTTACAAAAGTGGACGCCCCCGGACGCGGCAGAGGTAAGCAATAACATATAAAATTAATCAAAAATTCTTGTAATATAAAATAAGCTGTGCATTTATTTTATGTTCCCAAATTTGTTGCGTATATCATATACACATATAGTACAGCATAAAAATTGAATATACAATTGTTTTAATTTTAAATAATATAAAACTGTTTGTTCTTTAGTTATTCCCATTTCAACTTGACACAAAAATTCTTCTAAATAAAAGAATAATTTGTCCTAAGATGGTCCTAAGATTAATAATAAAAAATACACTTTGAAAGTTACTTCTGATATAGATTCTGCCTAAATGTTTTCCATATGTATGGAACATATAGGAAAAATGTTATAAAATAAAATAACATTCAACCCTTACCTAAGTACTTACAAGTGAAAAAAAACCAATATACCCTCAAAATATATTATTTCTAAATATATTCGGCCTATTTCTCCTAATATACTTAACTTGCCCAGTTTGTTAGTTATCTATATATTGAGATAGAGCTAGCTGACTTTGACTAGCTATACTGCATGAGATTAAAATATGGTGTTATATAATAAAGTACTTGTATGGTGCGACAATACATGCATTGAATATAATATTTCTGAATAAACACACTCACTATTGTATCTATTATATTAGATAGATTCCTTAAAAAGTAATGTTGATGCTTATTAAAAACTTTAACTTTTAGACACAATTAGTGTGGAACAAAGTATTGCTACCACTTTCCAACTCCGAACGTTTGCGGATGTCTATGTAAATATAGTCAATGTGCAAGATGTGGCTTTGGATTCAGTGGAATTAACATTCAAAGACCAATATCTCGGAAGATCCGAAATGTGGAGACTTAAAAATCACCTAGTAAGCAAATTCATTATTATTTTACAGAAAGAAAAAAGCATATAAAATTAATAAAATAAAATTAATACAAAAAAATCTTTTGAAATGGGTACTAAAATTTAATTTTACTAGGATTTTAGTAGCCGTTCCAAATTATTTTTTATCCCTTTATGAAAATTTTATGCTCTGCTTGAAGCTTCAAATAATTACAAGGTAATTTGTAAAATACCACCTCTGCAGTGTTGAAATATGTAAATTTGTCATGGTTTAAGGGACAAAATGCCTAGAAAATTGGTATCAAGCAATGTGACTATCAAGGGTTAATCTTTTCTAATAAAATGTTTACTTTGTGTTCATGAAAAACTTTACGATGAAGAAGTAAGATTATAAAAAAAGCTGTGAAAACAATAGAGACTTAGATATCATGTTTCAAAGTGGGTGGGGGCATACTGACATTTGTAAGGGTTCCAGTAACCACTTGACACTACCAGGGCTTATGAGCACATTCACCCATTTATGGAAATAAAAATTAGTAATATTTAAAACACGGTTTAAACACTTTAATTTTATTGTCATTATTTTATTGCTAATATTTGGAATATTTTTCAGTTTTCATGGTCACAAAAGACTAAGGTCTTCATTGACTTTTAAAATTGTACTAACTCGTTTTCTATAAATGTAACTTTTATTTAATAACAATAAAAATGCAAGATTAAATATTAAAAGAAATTTAATTATATCAATGACTTGAAAATTAAAAAAAATAGTTAAACTACAAGATTAACTAAAAGAGTATGGCCTCAGAATATCTTAGAATTAATTTGTCTGTTCTATATAAATTTCTGGAAATATTTATACCAGGTAAGCACCTGCGTTTATTTAAACAAGAAGATAGAATATTGTGGTGGTGCAATTAGATGTCAAGTATATGAAATGTGGTCACAAGGGGACAGAGTTGCTTGTGGGGTAATCACTGAAGACACAAAAATAGTGTTCAGATCATCAACTTCAATGGTCTACCTCTTCATTCAAATGTCTTCTGAAATGTGGGATTTTGACATCCATGGTGATCTGTACTTTGAAAAGGCAGTTAATGGTTTCCTCGCTGATTTGTTTGCCAAATGGAAGGTAATAAAATTGAAATAATTTATTATGCATTATTATGCATTTGAGCTCAAATTCATAAAAATATACTTCAATAAACATATTGTTAATTACAGAAAAACGGCAGTAATCATGAAGTAACCATAGTTCTCTTTTCAAGAACTTTTTATAAAGCTAAGTCTTTAGAAGAATTTCCTCAGCATATGCAAGAGTGCTTGCAAAAAGATTACAGGGGGAGATTTTATGAAGACTTTTACAGGTAATAAATGGCAAGCATTATAATTTAAAAAGAACAAATTAAATGAAAAAAATCTATTTTCCTCTTTGTTCAGGGTTGCAGTACAAAATGAGAGATATGAAGACTGGTCAAATGTTTTACTACAATTAAGAAGACTCTTTACTGATTATCAAAAGATTGTGCTTCAGTACCATGAAAGGCCTAACATGGACATACCCACAGCAATAAACTCCACTGCTGCACAAGGAAATTTCCTAGAAGTGCTTAACATGAGTTTGAATGGTATTTAAAAGCTTATAGATTAATGAATGAATGATTAATGATTTCCGAACAAATACCATTCATTTTATTTATTGCTGATTTTTATTGTTAAATTTTATTGTATGTATGAACTAGCATTCGCTCTACATGATATTAGTTAGTCCATAGACACAACGTAAATAGTGCCACTCACTTTGACAATTGCTTAGATGGGTGGACGAGCTCACAGCCCGCCTGGTGTTAAGAGGTTACTGGAGCCCTATAGACATCTACATCGTAAATGCGCCACCCACCTTGAGATAAGTTCTAAGGTCTCAGTATAGTTACAACGGCTGCCCCACCCTTTAAACCGAAACGCAGTACTGCTTCACGGCAGAAATAGACAGGGTGGTGGTTACTATCAATACCACATATGATCATTTGGCTCACGATACCCTACTAACTGTAATTATCCTTAAATTATATTTGAGATTAGTTTCACGAAGTGGTGTGTTCGAACACCTGTAACATAATGATTGATTTAGAATAATTGAAGTCAGCTGCAGGTTTTCTACACTGCCATAGTTGTATTGTTTGATACGAGTAACCCACACAAATTAATAAGTTAGACATTGACACATTAAAAAAAATTTACACAGAAAATAAATCCTTAAAAATGAACCGTGTGATTGTCTTTTTACTTTCACTCCATCGACTCCCTTGGATTTCTAATGAACCATCAAACCTAAAACAAATATTATCCCTGTCATTTTTTGCAGTATTCGAAAAACATTACCTGGATAGATGTTTCGACAGAACGGGGCAGCTGAGTGTGGTAATAACCCCAGGAGTAGGTGTATTTGAAGTTGACAGAGAACTGACTAATGTTACAAAACAAAGAATCATTGATAATGGTGTTGGCAGTGACTTAGTTTGTGTAGGAGAACAACCTCTGCATGCTGTGCCTTTACTAAAGTTCCACAATAAAGACAATAATTTGAATTCAATTGATGATTATTCGATGCCGCATTGGATTAATCTATCATTTTATTCTACAAATAAAAAAGTGGCTTATTCAAATTTCATACCAAGAATTAAATTGCCTCCACGAAAGAGCCAAGAACCATTACGTAAAATGTATGAAGATGAGAGGAAAGGTAAATTGTTGAAAGAAGATGAATGTATGCACAATTCTATATTTGATTATGATGCATACGACGCGCAAGTTTTTCAGTTACCCCCCGCTCACAGCACACGGTAAGAATTCAAATTGTGTTTTTTTTTTTGTATAAATCTAAATGTTCCATTAATTATTGTCTCTTTTTATGTGATTAGAATTCACATTTATTATCATAAAATCATCCATCATAACAGGAAGCAATATATCAATTTGATTTTCACATTTACAGTGTGCAAAGGGTCGCCAGGACTAAGAAAACTTCTGTGGCGGGTTTAGAAGGCCTAAATCGTAGGAGCCCTCCAGCTTCTACTTTGCATCACAGAAAAATGTCGGATCCGGATATCCATCATAGCCTTGGAGATCTTTTGACTTCTGGAAGTACGTGCCTACCTATTTATTGTACAAACATATCTGCTTGTTGACTGTTTTCTAATGTTAATTGTGTTTTGGTGTACAATAAAGTATGTTCTCTCTCTCTCTGTGCCAGTTCCATTAATATTTATATCACAAAAGAGATGAATATTCGACACTTTACAGCCAAATGCGGTCACAACCCATCTAGCTTGATGTGATTATGAGAACATCATTATATAGATCAATTTAAAGTACCAAGTAAATTTTGAATCTCATATATATATAAGCCCATTTGGTGAACTGTTAAACACCTGACAAGCATTTGTGGCAACACATGTCACTATGAATACAGTAGACTTTTTGGCGGGAACGCGAGGAGTGAAGTTTGTGATCTGTTTTATTTTGTCTATTTAATGTTTCTTCAGGTTTAAATGTGTAATAACGGTGGTTTATTAACTGTTTAATATCTGTGAAAGTGCACAAATGTGGGAAAATGAAACAAAGCCGCTGAACGTAACTTCTCGGGATCCTCCAAAAAGTCCACTGAAAAAATCTTAGTAAATGGCCACCATTTTACTGAGATTATATTTCATCTCATCTCATTTACTTTAATTTCATCCCAGTTGATTAATGTCTCAAATTAATCATCTTCATTTCATTTCATTTCATTTCACTCCATATTAACATTTTTCATAAAAATAAGAATATAAATTAAAATAAGACATGACTTAAAGGTCTTAGTTACCAGGTCATAAAATCCATTTAAAAAAAAAATTAATACATTAATTTTAGTTTCAGAATAATTAGGAGCAGTGGTACACGTACAATCATTATCTTACAACCTGCATGGACGTACAAAATACATAATAATATGACATTTTCATAAATATAAACATCATATCATAAAATAACTCATAATATAAAATATAAACATAAAATATAAAAAAAACGTTTGAACGATTTTTGTGTGCATTCAAGTGGGTTCGGGAATTGCTTAGATTCAGATTCAATTCAGTATTGTAATAACTTCTTTTTATAAAAAAATTTTCAAACCGAAGCTTATTTAAAAAAGTTTGTAATTTTCAGATATAAGACGTGTGTACAGGACGTCTGTTGGGTTCGCTAGTATAGTAGTAATTAATATATTTAAAAAAATATATTTTACATTTAAATGTCGCGATGATTATTTTCATTTTACACTTTGCCAGTTTTCAAAAACTGGTTTTCATCATGTTTTGATCATGGACTAATAAGGTAGTAATCGTCGAAATTGAATTTTAATCAATATCGTATACATGGCTAGTTACGGTTTTTTCTTTTATCGCTCATCATCATCATCATCATCAACAGCCCACAGTCGTCCACTGCTGGACATAGGCCTCTCCCAATCCACACCACTGAGCCCGGTCTACGGCTCTCCATCCACTTGTTGCCGGCCACCGTTCGGAGGTCATCGCACCACCTAGCCAGGGGGCGTCCCACGTTATATATACTTATACCTCGGGCAGACGTTGCAGATGGGTAAACACAGCTTGGAGAGGGAAGTCAAGAGAAGCATCCAACTGGGCTGGGCGGAGTTCGGCAAACCGCGTGGAGTCTTTTCATCGCACATCCCATAGTGCCTGAAAACGAAAGTTTTTTTATCGCTAAAGTGATTTAATTTAATAGGTTGCCGTGGATTGGTTTTCAGACAAGTCCGCAGGCTACGACGCGGGCAGTGACACAACGGACTCGCCGATGTCGACGAACCGACTCTCGCCGCGCAGTTCGATATCTTCAATCAAGCCCGTTATCAGGACGGGCAGGGCACTCATCAACCCCTTCGATCCCTCGCATGTCACTGTCAAACTGACCAGTAACCGTCGAAGGTNTTAATAGGTCGCCGTGGATTGGTTTTCAGACAAGTCCGCAGGCTACGACGCGGGCAGTGACACAACGGACTCGCCGATGTCGACGAACCGACTCTCGCCGCGCAGTTCGATATCTTCAATCAAGCCCGTTATCAGGACGGGCAGGGCACTCATCAACCCCTTCGATCCCTCGCATGTCACTGTCAAACTGACCAGTAACCGTCGAAGGTGGACGCATATATTTCCGAAAGGTTAGTTGAAGTCCCTAATTCAATTATTGACACCTGTCAAAGTCATTTTTACCGGTGTGAGGGCGTCTTGTGAACTCGTACGCGTATGTATGAGTCAAAGTACGAGGTAGGTCAAATGTTATGCCAATACGAGTAACGCCATCTGTTAGAAGTAGCGAAAACGATTACCGAAACTACTAGTAAGTACTGTCTTTACTTTCTGGAAATTTTCTGGAAAATTTTAGGTATGTCATCTAAATTGCAAAAGCGTTGAATAGATATAAAGTTTAACAGCTAACGGAACACCAGAAATGAAGCGACAGTAGTGAATTGTGATCTTGAAGTCTACATTAAGTGCCGGCATAATTGAATGAAATTGTTATTAGTATTTTGGTGAATTATATTATGTATTTTGAACCACAGTGTGTAAAAATAATATATTGATGTTGTGCCTTTGAGGTCCGATAAGCACTTAAAACCAGGTGGATCGTAACCTCATTCCCCCATTAATTAATAAAAAAATTTAAACTAAAACCGAGGATGATCCTCAAACTAAATATAATGCAATTAAAATTCTCAGGTCCAACTGGCGTATTGATACAGCAACATCACTACCAGGCCCGTCCCGCTGGCGAGCCGGCCCGCAACGAAGAACATCGCTGCGAAAGTAACACACCAAAGGATAATGGTTCCTCGATATTAAACAACAACCATTCTATATATCAGGTTGACGGTGAGTATGCGCAATGTGCGTCCGACCTAATCTCAGTATGGGCCTTCAGCTTGTATACTACACCGAGAGCTAAATAAGTTTTAATTAAATAATGAGTATAAAACTTCAAGTGCATATTTCGAAATATGCAATATAAACTTTGTGCTATAGAGCACCAAATATGCTCTGACTCTTTATATTGTTAGACCAGTCATCGTGACTGTCTTTACAAAAAAAACATTTTTTTTAAACAATGAGTAAAATACGATATTTTTTTTATTGCTTAGATGGGTGGACGAGCTCACACACACTTGTGTTAAGTGGTTACTGGAGCCCATAGACATCTACAATGTAAATGCGCCACCCACCTTGAGATATAAGTTCTATGGTCTCAGTATAGTTACAACGGCTGCCCCACCCTTCAAACCGAAACGCATTACTGCTTCACGGCAGAAATAGGCGGGGTGGTGGTACCTACCCGTGCGGACTCACAAGAGGTCCTACCACCAGTAACAGATTTATAATAACCAATGTATAACCGCAAGTTATAATGTCTTGCAGTCATTATGAAAATAGCAATGTCGCTTAAGGTATGTATAACACAAAAAAAAACAACAAATAATAGAGTCAATCAAAAAATATTAAATACGAAATACGGGAATTATAATATAACTATTTTAAATTCCATGCTGTTTAAGATCGTGCTACTGTATCACCTCATTATACACAATCGTTTTATATTACGTCTTGTGTAAACTTAGTATGGGTGAGAGTGGGTTTGATCCTAGTAACAAATCTAACAAAGTAAGGACAACAAAACAAGAACTTTTATTTTCAATAGATATGTCATTCCCCATAACTCTTTTACACATACTCATCGCTTTTAAAATACTAAATAAATTACAGATACAAATTATATAAAAAATACTAGTGAACTTAAACATCGCTTCACGTCTTGTATTTTGATTTTGATATCTATAAAAAATTACTGAAATGTCCACAATAATACAAAATTTAAACTCGAATCAAATAAACGACACTAGTACACGGAACACGAACAAACCTACAAATATTAATTTTCATATTTTCTAGTATTTCTCACCGAACTTGTCCGGTCACCATCCACGCCGCTGAGCCCGTCGCTTACGACGGAGGGTTCCACAAGTAAATTAACCCATAGATACAGTCCACGCGGAGTTTCTCGCCGGATCTTCTCAGTGGGTCGCGTTTCAGATCCGGTGGTAGATTCTGCGAAGCACTGCTCTTGCTAGGGCCAGTGTTTTAGCCCCAAGAGCTCACCTAAACGATAGGATGTGGCTAAAATAGCCTCTCATGGCTATCAGCATAGTTAAGAAAAACCGAACTTATGGATAGATATCAATAAACTAATCTATACCACAGTATCTAGGAATGTTTGTGACGTTTTTGCAACAGGCAACATTATGTCGCGGAAACGCATGATAAGTGCGTCAGGAACGTTAGCCGTGCTCGGCGTGTCCGGGGGGACTCCCTCCACGACTAACAACGCGTCGCTCGCGCTGCTGTGGGGGGCTACGGGCGAACAAGAGTGGACCCCCGCTCTGACGACAGGTCGGTATAAAATTTATTCAATTTTGATTTTGTGTGTTTTGCGTGATGAGATTGGCTTCATAAAAAATGCTATAACTTATCTCAAATATAATGGGTTTTTTTTAAATTGCATTTATAATATTGTTAACGTTAAATTATAACATATTCATCAACGATATACTATCGTGACAACAGAATATTAATATATCTTTTTTTTTTTTTTAATAATTGGCATTTTCATTTTGGCAAACCAATCTCATCACGATTCAGTCTTCTATTAATTTTATGGGTTGGCCTATATGATCTGTTGTTTAAAATAATGAAAAAAAAAGAGTATTTTTACTTTAGACAAGTTGAGTCCAGACATAGGCCAGTGCATACGAGTTCACTTGCTTACTTTCGGCTCTTAGAGCTGGCGTGGCTATTGAATATGTTCTGTTTTTTTTTTTTTTACTAAACGTGTCATCTCATTTTTGATGTTTCATGACATCGTCGCATTGGGATATAACTTCAATACCACACGGTTTCGATTGGGAACAAAAGCGAACCGCGCCATAGGTTTGATATCACAATTTCATGAATAGCTCATACAAAGTAGTTTATGTGTAACGTTGTGTTCATATTTTATATTATATAACGCTGTGGGGATTTCGTTTTAATCAATTTGGCTTTTTTATTGTTACTAGAATTCCGATGTCACCTTCACAATTCAAACATACATAGCTGTTGTAAATAAAGAGATGTATTTGTGCGTACTGCTTTCAACGCATGAAAAAGCTAATAACTTAGTTCTAATACGAATGACTCAGATGAAAATTGCAATGTCGGGTTTGTTTGTCACAGTTTTTTTTTTTTTTATAACCTGACCGAGTTGCCGTGTTTAGAGCGTGTAGAGGGTTTCCGTGTCGTGCCGCCTTCTCAAAGTAGTGCACTGATGTCAACTGCAAATATTTGCTGATGGACTCAAGTTCCAGATTGTCGTGGAGATCTAAGTTCTTCATGAATGGATTTGGACTTGGATTGGATTGGATTGGACTATGGAGTCCTCCGATGGCTATCCTGAAAAAACGGTTGAATGACTTGAAGGGGTTTCAAATTAGTGGGGGCTGCGTGAGCGAACACTACGGTTGCATAGGTAATGACCGGGCGTATGCAAGTTTTGTAGAGTGTCGCCTTATTACGAAGGGATAATTTTCTTCGCTAAACTTCCCTTGCAAATAATCGGATAGGGTTGTCACAGAGCGCTGCGTCTCGTGAGAGTTGCACTGTTGTCTCAAAGCAACAGAGAATTGTTAAATTGTAATTTGCGATTGAGTCAAGCGATTTTTCTAACTTCGACATACTACAAGCTGTGTATAAATCACCTAAAACTTCATTTCGTACATTATCATGAAGTCATCGCACATTTTATTGTAGTTATCATAGTTTTTTTTAAGTTTAGTTTGCTTATAGTGTAGTAGTCTAGTCTTATTTTTTCATCTGAGATGCATGAAATCCTAGCTTACCATGTTTCATTTTATTATTGCCATCTATAAATGTGATCATTATTTTTAAATGTTTCCCACTCGTTTTTTTATTATTAAGACATGACCTTTTTTTTCTCTTTAAATTTGTTGTTAGATTAAATTGGGTAGTTTATTCAATATATATCTCTTTGGTTTATTTAAAATTGAATTTAACAAGTTTTATCTGCTCATGATGCCTTGAACATTTCCCAAATGTTATAATAAAGTTAATAAATTGCTGAAACAGGGCAGCAGCGTTTATAAAAAATATTCTAGATCATAATTAGAACATTGCTTGAACTCTGAGAAATATAAAACAATTCACTAATGAGAAACTTGATTCAATTGACTTTCATTAATTTGTGATTGAATGTCAAATGCAATTTATATAGAAGCTTCCCAGTGTAGGCTTGAGAAAAAAAGAAGGTCTTTAGAACTAACGACTTCGTTGTTTAGGGGTCGACTGGAAGTCACTGACCATACCTGCCTGCCTTCCGATCACTACGGACTACTTTCCCGACAAGAGATCACTTCAAAACGATTATCTAGTATCGGATTATAATCTGTTACCGGACGACGTGAACGCCGATTTCGCACAGAACCGAGCTATATACAAAGATCCCCTGACCACAATGGAAGTATTCAAGGAGTTGGTCTCACAAAGATTAGCTCAGGTTGGTTTATTTATTATTTATGTATTACTAGTGTTCGTCGGGTAATTGAAACACGACCATAATCACAAGACATTTCAAATTATTCTACAGATTTATTTTATGCATTACAAGTGGCCCACTCCGGCTCCGCTCGGGTTATTAACAAAAATTTCAACGATATTAAATTTTGACGTTGTTTTATTTTTTTAAATAAAAAACATCTATTGCGGCATAACTATAATAGTTAGATATATGCTGTCGCGACACTTTTCGAAAATAATAATGTGTTCTACAAAGTCGTAGTACATTATTTTATTCTATCATCAATAGTTTTCGCAGGGCACGCGAAGTAAAGAATATTTTAGGTAATTTTTTTACACCTTGGGTTACATTATTTGGAGTTTTAGTAAGGATCCCTAATTTTTTTCAAAAAAGATTATAGCCTATGTCATTCGGAAATAGTGTAGCTTCCAAACAGTGAAAGAATTTTTCAAATCGGTTCAGTACTTTCGAAGCCTATTCAATACAAACAAACAAATCTTTCCTCTTTATAATATTAGTATAGATAAGTTATTTTTTGTTTTATTATTTAGATTTATAAACTGATTACTTACATATATATATTTATAATACTAAATCAAGCCAAGAGCTACTATAAAAATACGAGAAAAATATATAATCAATTGCTCTATCTTTGATTAATAATATATCTAATTTAAATTAAATAGCTTTTGGTCAGTTGTGGTGTCTATGAAAGTAATTTTAAATAATTTGGCTACTTATTTGGCTTGGATTCCAATGCCCAAAAATATCTTTAAAAACTACCGCCTTTTGGTTTTATTTCGCTCTAATTTTTTCAAGGCTTGCACCGCGGATCTACTAGAGGTAAATTTAGAATCTTCAATATGAATTTGAGGACTCTGCTCTCGTCGTCTTAGCGAAATATTCCAGGATATCATACGGAAATAGCTTTTTAAACCTGTTCAATGTACATAAACTTGTCTAAAAGTTGAATAATTTTATAAAAAAAAAACCAATATTTTAGGGTTTCCAGCTGATTGTGGGAGTTAACGAGAATGAAGTAATCGAATCTCACTGTGCGTCAACGGCTACTCCCCCACCATCCAAAGTGGCGCCACAGTGCGGGAAACCAGCCAACGCAGCACCCACCAAGCGTTACCTGCTCTCGATTGGGAGGATCTTCCACAAACTTACGCTGGTCGGTTCCACCATCACCGTCACTAGATACAGACCCAGGTAGAAGATTTTTAGTTATCAAGTACCCATTTTCGATGAAAACTTTTTTAGCACCGTTGTAAGCACCGTTGTTTAACGGCCGTCTGGTGTAGTGGTAAGTGACATGGTCACTATACAAAGGGGTCGCGGGTTCGAATCCCGCCAAGGGAAGATATTTGTATGATAAATATAAATGTCTTTTCCAGGGCTATGGATGTATATTAAATATGTGTATGTGTATAATAAAAAATCTTACATTTATATCCGTTATCTGGTACCTGTAACACAAGTTCTTTACGAACTTATCACGGGACCAGTAAACGTAGCGTGATTGATTAAAAAAAAAAAAAATAAGAAAAAAAAATTCAAAGTTGATGAAACGAAAAAAACATATGAGCTATACGATGTAGACTATGTATGCGGTAGGCAGCGGCTTGGCTCTGCCCCTGGCATTGCTGAATTCCATGGGCGACGGTAACCACTCACTATCAGGTAGGTCGTATGCTCGTCTGCCTACATAGGCAATAAAAAAAATAAAAAACTTCGCGCGAATGAAATGAGAATACTTTGCAAGTTCTCTCAAGAATCTATTGCGTGGGAACTGCCCCCTTTTTTTTTAATCGGTTGCAGTTTTGTTTCGATTGCTAGGACAATGTGTGGAGGTTAAAGCAAAAAAGTATTAACAATAATAATAACCAATTTAGGATTCACTGTGTTTTGGGTACCAGAGACTGATAAACAAACGTTTAAATAAACATGTGTGTATTACCATACAAAACAATTAAAAAAAAACCACTCTCCGTAATAAGTCTTCGTCATGGAGTCGGGGGCTGGAATTGAGACCCCCTCTTAATCTAAGGGTAACCATATCTCAGTTCGGGGTCAGGCGAGGGAGACAAAAGAAGAAGACATTTAAGCTGCTGTATAAACGTTTTAAGAAAGAGCAAAAAGGCGACAGATGTCTTTGCGACCCACGCTGGTTCTGGTCCAACAGGGTTATAATATAATAATAATAATAATAATAAACATATATAGATAATAAACACCCAGACAAAGAGCAAACAAACTTATTCGCCACACAATCTTTCGCTTCAGGTGGGACTAATGCACCACCGAATCAATCAGTATTTGAAGAATATTTTTTAATTTTTTATTTCAGACATCCGTATCCGCCATTCAATATACACTACCGTTATCGTTTCCACGCACCGAACCACGACACGTACGAGGTGTCGTGGGTTTCGTTCACGACAGAAAAACTGGAAACTTACTACTGGAACTACATGGACCATTATATTTGTACGCGCGGCGACAGTGATTTCGCACTAGTTGAGGTAAGTCTTGTATAACACTATCCATAATTGAGATTATATTATCTATATATTAATACACGAAGCAAAAACTTTGTACCCCTTTTCACGAAAATTGCGCGGACGGAGAAGTATGAAATTTCCCACACATATAGAGAAGGAGTGCAGAATGTTAATATTTTTTTAAGTTATGCATAAAAAATACATTAAATCAATAATAAAAAAACACTACACACCCTACCATGTATTTGATACACACACGCATGTATTATTTGTTTATTGTCAAACTTATTGCTTATAGTCTGTAGTCAAATAGAGAATAGATTAAATATCGTTTGTCCTTATATTTGTCTAAAGTGTAGTCATGGCGAAATCCGTGATTATAGAAGTATAATAGACTTTGACAATAAAATCATTAGTCAAATATCGACTACCGGGGCCCACTAGTATATTTTTAAAGTACTATTAAAAACACTTTTCCCAAAGTATTTTAACTTATGAAGTTTAACAAACACCCTGTATATTAAATGGAATTAAACATTTAATTTTATTTATTTAGTATAATTTTTTATAACAATTTAAGTCCGATCTCATATCAATTTTACTAATACCACAAGAATGTAATTGCATAGATTTGTGTAGTACAATTTTTTTATTTATATAAAAAGTAAAGAGTTCTATGAATAATAATATAAAGTTTCGAACATTTCGTTCAAGCCTCTGAAATACTGGCGGTTCCGGACTCTACTATTGCCTCTCTACAATCCGGCAACGAAACAAATTCTCGAAGACGATTCGACCCACTGCGACATATATCCAACTCCGACGCGTCATGATTTGGACCAACTAACCGATAATTTCCTCAAAATGACCGAATTGTATTTCAATAAAGTCAAAAGGCCAAACAAACAGAGGGTAAGTATAATAATAACATTAGAAATGTTGGTGAAAGACAAATTCTACTTTTTATAGGACAGCTAGACTTAAAAAAAAGTAATATAGGACATATTGACGACTAAGTAAATCTAGATTATTGAAACATTATGAGATCACTAGTTTTCATCACAACAGTCGTGAGTTACAAAATGTTCCTGTCAGCCTTAACGGCTAAGAAATGTAATTATTCAGCCTAGACTGTGTATTACTTTTCAATCCATGATCAATTCTGACGTATTTAGATTCAATGTAGTTAATAAAAATAAAAACACTAAATATATAGTGTTCGAATTTTTGTATACCATTTTATGCATTGTGTTGTATAGGTCACAATGTATGTACATACATTTTTATATGAATATGAAAGAATAGCATGAAATTAATATGCACTTAATATAATGACACGTAGTAATTATGCACCGCATGGTATTTTGCACAGTCTTCTAAAATATCTAATTCATTGTAGTTTTGCAAATATGCTTGACTGTTTATACTTCTAGACTAGTCCAAGAAAAATAATCTATGATAAAAAGCTATGATGTGTGCATTTTTTGTTTGTCATTAAAATAACCATGTACAAAATGTACAGTATTGAACTGGAGAAACGATATTTGTATATGACGATATTCGATTCTGCACGCATTATCGCTTACTGGTCACTCAAACAAGAAATTTCAAATTTCACAGTCGATGCCTCTAAATTTACCGTCCGCCGCATGCATGATTGTTCGCAAACAATAAAAACGTTAGTTGTTATTGAATGATTGTTTTAACCATAATTTGCATTTCAACTTTTGCGAGGATACAGATTATGACATCAGCATGGATATTTTTTTTATTTTAGTTTACGAATCAGTTGCTGTATATTATGTTATTTTTAATTTCCTGTTTGAGATCCGAACGCATGATTAACACACGAAGAATAAGCTTCATCGATATGTTTCGCACAGACCCTATCATTTGTTTTCGTCCTGCATACGTTTATTTAAAGAGAAGCTTATTCTTTGACGCTAATTAAAGTACGGTTAACGTGGTGAGTACGAGCACGGCCCACACGTTCGTTGGTGCGGCTCGGTGCGGTCGGGCGTGTGAGACCGAGTGAGACGGGACAGTGTGAGACGCGCGTGCTGCAGATGGCGGGCGCGGGCTGCGGCGCTAGCGACGCGGCACTCACGCGGCGCCGACACTCCACCTCCATCCTCACGCGGAGCGCACAGGTACCGCCCCGCCACACGCTCCGACACTCGCTATCTCTCTCTCGCACACACGCACACACACACACACACATTCACTCACATTCACTCACACACACGCACACACACACACACATTCACTCACACACACACACTCACACACTCACTCACTCACTCCCACTCACACACACTCTCATACGTGGTAGAAGTGAAACCTTCCAAAATTAAAATACAATTATCCTAAACGTCTTAAGTATATGTAAAATTTTGTCATTAGTAAATAATTGTAAGGTAGCGTCCTCTGTGAATTGATATTTTAATTTCACGTATAATCCTAAATTAAAATTCACTACAAGAGCTTTCATACACACGTTAGTATTAAAAAATCTCACAGATGGCNACACAAACACACACACACACACACACACACACACACACACACGCGCGCGCACGCACGCACGCACTCACACGTCAATATGAAGTCCTCGTTTGTACACGCACGCACACGCGATTCGCTTGCACCCAACGGCAACAACAAGATACGCCATATTAAAACACAGAAACACGTGTTATAGATGTAGTCTCACACTCGAGTATTCGGAACAGTCCCGTACACAAAAACGAAATATTTACAAACAAAATTTTAATTTTATTTACCCATTAACACAACGTCTCTGCAAAAAATATTCATTCAGTTTAGGCATTTTATTTATCTGTACTTGTCACTGTTTGATTTCGGAACGTCGAAAGTGTCAACGAGCGTAATCCGCTATGACACTTTTTCCCTTTCAATTCCAGCCGCCAAGGGTGATCGATTTCATATTTCTGTTATATTCAAACTTTAATAAATATCTCTACTAATAAATAATAATATAATCTAATAAATATCTCAAAAGCAATAAATACAGTCCACTCTCATTTACCACAACGCAACAGTCAAACTGCTGGAACGTCACAGACGCAATCCATCGAGTTTCCCGCTAGATCTTCTCAGTGGGTCCCAATTCGAGTCGATTGGTTGTAGATTCAGCGAAGCACTGCTCTTGCTAGGGTTGACGTTAGCGAAGTCTATCAGCTCGCCTACCCAAACGGAGAAATCAGAATAGCTCGTCGAAGCTAGTGATCATCAGATAGAAAGAAAGCTGGGGCTCTTAAATAAGATACATCAACAGAGTAATTTTCATAATCTTACAAAAAAATCACAATTCACAAACTGAACTACACACAAACAACACATGATAAATGATTTATTTCAGATATGTGAAGACTTGACTAGAGATTGACCGAGATTGCCATCTTAACATGCTGAACAATACATTACTCGTGTATTTTAAAATAAAAATGATAGGCTATATCAGGAACAAAACAAAAAGAAACTATGACTTTTTTCGGCTTATCCCACTCTGTGGTACAAATTCAGAGTAGGTGGAACGTATTACCTCAATCAAAACGAATGAAAGATAGTGTATTTTTCTCAAAAACTTTGTTAGAACTAAAAGAAAGTTCTATAGATAGGCAGGCACCATCCAAATTCTTTCGAGTATATTTATCGAATAAATCAAGGGTTGTAGGTACATTGCGGTTACGTCATCTCGATTGCTCTGTGTGAGTGAGAAATAACGAGAATTACATATTATAAGGCACCCGGTCTTCCTTTCACTTTCTAAAAAGTTATCGCTACGCAATTTTACAATGAAATTCCAATGCTTTTTAAAATACTCAACAAAACCACGTCTTATCGTTTCATTGCAAAATTTATTTGATCATTTTCTAAATTCTGTTTTATTATTTTTTGTGGCATATTTTTGCGCACTGTTTTTATTGGCGAAAACGATATTAAACTGTTTCTTTCAAGGTCAATAAATAAAGATAACATAATGAGAATAATTGGAGTGGACTTTACCTAATCCTCAAAATTTAACTATAATGACTAAACGATATTGACATTACTTACTAATAAACGTAGTTATATTTTAGTGTAATCTTACTTCCGGGCTTATGACCAGGTGGAAGTGGCTTTATATTTAAAAAGTAGTGCTGTTTTAATATAATCACCTACATTCGTAAAGCAGTGTCAGGTGAAATATAAATGAGTTTGTGCACAAATAATAATAATGTAGTATAACTTTTTACATAAAATAGTCAAAACAAATTATGCTAATGATTTTGAATAATTGGCATCAAATCTGCTCTGAACAGTGATTTTAGTTTTGAGCAAAAATAAGAAAATAGTTGGCCTTGAGGCTTTTACTGCTATCTTAATATACCATGATATTCAAGGTTATTGCATTTTCCTCTCTTAAACTAAAGTATCTAAGCCTGTGAAAATTGAAACCCTAAGATTAGAACAAGTTATCGGACTTAAAAGTGCGATCTCATCCAACATTTGCGTATATATATGCACTGCTTATAAAATTCGCAAATTATGCACGGAATGCACAGAACAGTGACATCATTTGTTTGCTAGCTTCTTTCTATTTATTTGATTTTTGTTTTGTTTTTATCCGTAGTTTGTATGGCTACGAAATCAATACCCGTTTGGACACGTGAGAATATGTTTTGTTTGTTGTATTTCTTATTTGCGATCTTCGATCCGAACGTGTTCGATTTCATGGCCGCTATTCATGATGTGTAAGTGATGAGCACACGATGATGTTAAAACCGTTTTATGTGTGGTGCGCCAGGCAGGGGTATCGAGCTCTCCATTCAGAGAGCGCGTTGGCAGCACCCGGCTACCTGACCGGCCTCGCCTCCGGATGGAAGCTATGTCAGTACCTTCACAAGCGACGTTGGTTCTATGTTTAAGGCACATAGAGAAATCAAAATATACCAAACAAGCTTAGGCTTGATTGACACCAATGGAATTTCTCTTCTTCTTTTTATGAAAAAAAAAACGCAAGGTTTATCCGAAATAAATTCTAACCGGATAAACTCGTCTATTTCTAACGAATAAAATTTTCATTACAGTACCAAAAACGAATTGGAAATATTATGTGGTTTCTCTACGTGCGTTGTTGTCAAGCTTTTTACCATCAGTTTCCAAAAGAAACATTATTATCGGAATGTTCTGATCGATTCAGTCAACTGCCTATCGATAATTTGTTGATTTTTTTCTGATAGTATTCTTGGATTTCGTACCAGATCAATCTTGCATTTCTATGTGTGTCTATCTGAATATTTACAAGTATAGAACAGTAAACAATAAGAAATGAAAAAAACGTATAGTGTAAAACAGGTAACACTATTGTACAGGTACAATAGTGTAAACAAGGTGTAAATTGGAATAGACCCACATAGAAAGTAAGCATCTTGCACTTGTGTAGTTTGCTTTTCAGTGTCGCATGGTGTGCAGAAGCTTTCGCAATCTTAGGCACTCCTCTCTAACATTCTTTATTTCGACTTTCACAATAATTATCTTCATGCGCCTTTTATACATTGATGTTCAGAAAAATACCCTTTCTATTTTTAAGAGTTCTTAACAAAGCATTCTAAAGTCTTACGCACAAATCAAATATTTTTTTATATATATTTAGTATTCTTGTTTATCCTTGATGACGTTATAGACTCTTGGAATGCTTAAAGTCTTTCCTATTGGTTGCTAATTCTTATCCTCTATTGAATGTTTCATTACAGCTATCACCTACTAAGTCACTAAACACTAGTACATGCAGCAAGTAAGTATGCAGACCGCTTAGCATCATGTTAAACTTCATTCTTATTGCTTGCTGGCTACAGCGCCTATTTTGCTTTTTTACTGATCTAAGAATTATTATAATTTTTTTGTAATTTTTCGCGTTTAAGTATTTCTTAAATAATCAGGGCGACGAAAGCAGTGCTAGAAAGGACGCAATCCCAAACCGGAGAAGCGGATGACACTTATGATGACGGGTAAATAAATTTCAATGTTTTATTTAAAAAATAAAAGATGTTATTCTTGGTATTATTTTGTGTCATAGGCACGAATTTTCTGTTTTGGCAATTATTTACCAAAGGATCACGATTAGCTAGATAATTATAATTTTTTATTTTATTGAAAACCAGCTTCAAAGTCATATCCATAGACCAAATATAATTTATAGACCATTTATTTTTCATTTCTTCGATTGAAAGACCATTTCGAAGAAAATAGGCTAGCTAATTACAGAAAACCAAATTTTAGTGAAAAATAATCTTTGCTTGACCTCAGATATCCATTACTATTGCCTTTATTCAACAAACACTTTAGCCTATATTTTTATTTATTCCGTGTACGACTCAAATGGCAGTTTTGTTATGATTTTATTGATAACTACAATACACTCATAATTTTAACTCAAAGCATGACGTTAGTAGTACACTTTGAATTATCTATCAATGAGGGATGTCAGAATCCGAACATATTTTCAGAGATACATACTGCTTTGAGATAGAGATAGTACTTTGTTAGAAGTAAAAATAGGAATAATAAAAAATGAACGGCGACATTTTTGAAATGACTACCGGCTCACTGGTTAATTGTTGAGGCTCCACTTTCTTTATGCCACAGATGATGTCATCACAAAAAAAAAACGAATAGCAATCCACAAATAACTGAAAAATCGTTGAACATACATACAAAATTTCATACAGCCGAACATAAAACCTTCTTTTTTCGAATTCGTTTAAAAATATAGGCCATGAACCGTCTGTTTCATATAAGTTTAAATTTTTTTAAACAAAGAACATTTCATTTTTAGAGTTTCAGAACCGAAACTGAAAGCGAACGCGCCATTGTCGGATGTCGTAGATAGAATGCGACACCCGACTCTGGGCTTGGGTTTCCTACAACAGACGGTCAGTTTGCCCTCGCATACATTCGTCTCGATATACGCCATACATTGGCTCCAAGAAAACATGGAGGGAATGGATTATGAAAAGGCTGCCAGTCTTATGGAGGTAAACGCTCATTCTGAAATTGTCCTTCATTAAAGAAAAACTGTATTAACCCTTTGACTGCCATGTAGGTCACCGGTGCCCTACACGGCGCACTGAAGTAATTATGTCGATTTCTCTCTTTGATATTCTTACTAAGGCGCCGGAATATCTAGTATGAATTTAGAATGAATCTATTTCTAAGAAACCTAAAAGACTAAGGGTCTGTGCACACCACGTTTTTTAAACACGCGTCGACGGCGCGCTTTTACCCTACATAAACGCGATGCTAACGCTTGTTTTTATCGCGATTCAAACGCGTATTTGAATTTATACAGGTGTGCAAAGGTCTACAGGCTGCGTCTGACTTGCGTGCGTATCGCGTCTGTATCGCTGTCTGTGGTGTGCACAGGCCCTAAAACGTACATTAACAAACAAAGGAAGGTGAAGTTAGGAAATTCAGGCGCTCAGTAACAGAAATCGACGTAATTACTTCAGTGCGCCGCGTAGGACACCGGTGACCTACAAGGCAGTCAAAGGATTAATTAAAGATCCTCGTCTAATGATTTAAGTCTGAATGTTTCTCAAAAATAAACGTGTTAATGATTCAGTTTCAATATAGCCAATAGACCTGTCTGGAAATGGCAAACCTCGAATTAAGAAATGGACTTGAAGCGTTCGTTGTCTTATGATGTATAAGACTGGATGTACTTACGTTTAATGATTCAACCACGAATTATGCAAGCGGCTGTCATTTTTAATTAAATAAATACGTACTTAATACGTAATCGCGAAAGACTATCGTAATGAAAGAATGAGGTCGTGTAAAAAGAATCAAATTCCGGGAATTTACTGTTTTATGTACTTACTACTGGTGCTGTGGCGGGTAGCCATCATGCAACACAAGACATTTGACCTGAATCTCGCTAACGACATTTTCAACATAAGCTTGCATTATTTTTATTGCATAGGTCGGTGGACGAGCTCACAACCCACCTGGTGTTAAGTGGTTACCGGAGCCCATAGACATCTATAACGTAAATGCCGCCACCTGCTTTGAGATGTAAGTTCTAATGTCTCAGCATAGTAACAACGGCTACCCCACTCTTCAAACCGAAACGCATTACTGCTTCACGGTTGGAATAGGCAGAGTGGTGACACCTACCCGTACGGACTCACAAGACGTCTTGCTACCAATAAATATACAATACAAGATATATACAAGTTCCGAACAACAACATTCGGACCGTCGGTCTACCGAGCAATATCACCCGCTCTATATATGTGCGTAGTGCGAGTTTTTTAAAAGTTAGCTCATATTTGTTTGGAATGGGATCGTTTGCTTACGTTTGCCGCTAGGGGCGCTGTTCCAACTGCATACAAAATTGGCTTATGTTTTACGCCGTCGAGAACGTTAAGAAACTCGCACTAAGCACAATACTTACAGTACGTATTATGTATAATTTCGGACAAGTAGATTTCAGCGTCCTGTCCGATTCTACCGTAAAGCATTGTCCTATTATTTTAAGGGTAAGACAGCCGTTGCTCATTATAATTGAGACTTCGACCTCATGTCTCAAAGCGCGCGACGGCACGCATGTGGCACCAAATAGGACAGCAGCTCGTACAACACTAAATAATCTGGAGTAGAAAGTTTATTACAACCATTGTAGTTCAAAACATGATGTGTGTATGTATTTCTCTTGCAGCGATTATTGAATGAGAAAATGATTTGTCATGCTTCAGGCGACACCACGAAACGTTTCGTTGTCGGATACTACATGTATCACATACTACCACAAAAGAAAGATAAAGGTAAAATTCGATAATTCGACTCAAGCTAATTGTAGGGGTACATGAAACATACAAAGATATTGTGTTAAATGAATATAATATATGAGGCCGTCAGCGCAAAAGTGGCCTAAGCTTACCATAGTTATTATGGAGCAATGAGGTTTAAGTTTACATGAATTTGAATTTGAGTCGGCAAAAAAACAATACGCGCAAAAATAATGTTTACAAAGCCATCTGTTATTTATGGGTGAAACTATGGATAGACCGGTTTTGTATAAAAATTGATTATATTTTAAATAAATTGCATTATACATAATTATAAGCATGATTATGAAAATTTGTGGATTAGGCCACTATGATAAATATTATGATGTATTAAATGAATTAATAATAATATTAATATTATTTAACAGAATTACCAGACTACGTGAAGCCCCTAGGAGACCTCCAGAGCTTCGAAAACGAATGGATGGAAGTTGAGGTACTGGGGCCGCGTTCGCCGCTCATACAAGTGGACAAAGCGAGCGGCGCCATAGATATATCTGGTTCTAGTCCTCTGGCCGACGACACGGGCGTTCCCGCCTTCCTGTGCGATAACATTGATCCAAACTACATGCAAATAGACAGCGACAGCGAAAGCAAGTATCAAGATTGTTTATTTATAAGCTAACTATTACTGGTGGTAGGACGTCTTGTGAGTCCGCACGTAGGTAGGTACTACCAACTCGCCTATTTCTGCCGTGAAGCAGTAATACGTTTCGGTTTGAAGGGTGGGGCAGCCGTTGTAATTGTACTAAGACCTTAGAACTCATATCTCAAGGTGAGTGGCGGCATTTACGTTGTAGATGTCTATGGGCTCGTCCATCAACCTATGCCAAAAAAATGCAACATATTGAAATTCCACTATTCTGAACCCTTTCTGCTTATACGGTTAACACACTTGTTCACTATTTAAATTCAATCAACAATATAAGGAATTGCCTGAATTAGCCGAAAAGCAGAAATCAATAGGTACTGAGACGGATGATGAGCGAATTAAGAGCTCTTCATGATCGGGCTAGTACATCTGTATTTACTAATCAATAACGTGTCCAAACTTAAATTTCTCATATTACCTTTGCAGTACCCTTGTACAAGAAAACCCACCTAGATATAGATGTGAATAATAAAAGCGACCGGATCGAATGGGGCCACGCACGATATCAAGCCACGTTCCGACCGGACCAAGCCTTCGAAATGTGCATACAGTGGACAGTCGCCAGCGGGAACATTGTTGCCGAACTGGTGAGCTTCAATCGTTTGTTTGTCGACGATAAATAGTTCATAATCTATACTAATATTATAAAGCAGAAGAGTTCGTTTGTTTGAACGTGCTAATCTCAGGAACTACTGGTCCGATTTGTAAAATTATTTTAGTGTTACAGAAGTCATTTATTGAGGAAGGCTATAGGCTATATAACATCACGGTAAGGCCAATACAAGTGGAGCACCAATAAATAGTTTCAAAATAGGGGTTTAAATAGCTCTTTAACATTCTATAATTCAAAAATATTTTCACTTTCTACGTAAATGAAGAGGCGGGTAAAATTTAGCGTTATGCCAAAGTAACTATTCCATGCGGACGGAGTCGCGGGCAAAAGCTGGTATTTAAGAATATTTGACATAAACTGATTTTATCCAATCCTATAGCATATATATTTTTTTATAAAGTCATAAAACTCGAAGTACAAAATTTAATTATTTTCAAGATTGTGAAAGAATATAAAAAAAAAAACTTCAGAGGTGTCAAGGGACACCCGGATGGAACGAAGTTCCTTTCGATTAATTATTGAAGGAATTGTAATTTTTCATTTTAAGTTATAATAATAAATTACTGCATTATGAAGAAGAAAAAAACAATACTATGAACTAAATTACTATTGTTGAAACGCTATCTCGAGAAACTGTACTCATTACGCGGACCAATCGGATACGAGCAATGTCACGCGATAAGCGCCTACACGTTGATTGGTCACAATGACGGATCTAAAAATGTCGTGACAACTTTTCGTAAGAATTATTTCCGTCTAGCCCCCTTTCACAACGCGCGATAAGGAACTTCGTTCCAAAACTATCTCATTCGCATAAGCACTGTAATTGAAGAAATGAGTGGATGAAGGGGATATGATACAATTTGTTAATTTTGAGAAAACGGGCAACAAACTTTTTGTTATTAGTACTTTTTCTTCATACATAACTCCATCGCATGCAATTTCTAAAAATAATCTTTAAACCCGGAGTTTTAAGATCTAATATGGTTTATACGCACATAATACGTTCATTCAATGTAAAAACTCAAAATTTTTAAAAATGGTACTTAACCTCTTCACTCCACTCATGTCTTCAATTATAACATCACCTTATAGTATAAAAAGCCTTTGCTGCCATTGAATTATTTCAATATGTATTTATGATTCCAGATATTCGGATGGGCTCGTAAAGCCTCGTCCAACTGTAAGCTACAAATGGTGCCTATTCCTGCGGACCCCCTCGCTTTACCATTCACCCTCAAATCAGACCCGTTGCGAGGTCCGATTTACATTCCTATGAACGTAGAACCATTGTTGAGAAATAAGACTGTTTTGTTTGAAGGTAAAAAAAAAACTTCCAGATAATCGTTGATTTTTGGTTTTCAATAAACAACTATAGATTTCGTTTGTCATTTTACAATTATTTATTCATTTAAATATTGCAATTATTTATTAATTTAATTATTTATTCATTTATATAATTTAAATATTAGATAGCTAATAGAGCTCAGGCACCATGATCCTCCTGCTTGTGTCGTTCTCCTCATTACTAAGTCTGCTGTGATCCTTGGTCTCGTGGAGTGCATCGTGGAGCTTAATGTCCAGACAAGACCGAATTTGGTCCGATCATCTCGTGGGACTGCGTCCTCTGGGACGTTTGCCCTTTATCTAGCCCGTCACCAACAGTTGCTCAAAGTTGTGACTCTCCTTTCGAGTAATGTGTCCAAAGAACTCCAATACTCTACGAATGCATACTGTGGAGAGTCCAGTCTTAACATTAAGCTCCTTTAGTATTGACACATTGGTGCGAAAGGCAGTCCATAGAATCTGCAGCAATTTCCTCCAGCACAACATTACGAAGGGGTCTATGCGGTCAGTCACCATGATATTGAGTCGTTTTTACTGACTACCTTATTGAATTCCAACTTTCACTTCTCAAATAAAACGGTATTAATACACTTCGATAAATGGAAATAATAAATAATAAATGCGACGAAGGGCTCGACGAGTAAATTAGCCCTCAGACACAGCCCACTGAGTTTCTCGCCGGATCTTCTCAGTGGGTAGCGTTTCCGATCCGGTGGTAGATTCTGCGAAGCACGACTTTGCTAGGGTTCGTGTTATCAACGTCGTCAGGTTTGAGCCCCGTGAGGTCACCTACTAGTTAAGGTTACGCTGAAATAGCCTCTCAATGCTCTCAGCTTAGGTAGAAAAAAAAGGGTAATAATAATAAATTCGATTCGCAGGCTTCCCGGAAGAGACATGGCTCCAGCGTTTGTTCCTATTCCAAGAGGCCATAGTGGGTCGTTTCGGCTTCGTGAAGTGCACGGTCGAGAGCACGTCGCACGAGTGGGAGCGCGGCACGCCCCGCGGCTCGCCCACCGGGGACCACCTCTACGTGCACGTGACCGGGAACATGTTCATACTCATACCGACGACGGTCAAGTCCGAGCAGAAGTCGTCGAAGGTCAAGCCGCCGAACAGAACGCTGTGTAACAAGTACGGTGACTTTTTAATTCTACTACTGGTCGTACACCGTTCGAAATTCGAAAATATTAATTTAAATTATAAGTTTGAACATTAATAAGGTTCTATTGTCAAAGACTTTACCTCCATAATCGCGGATTTCGTCTAAGACAAACGATATTAATCTATTCTAATTTGAAAACAGGCTTTATGTAGTCAAAGGTCAAATATATGGTAGTGTGTGTAATGCTTTCTTTATTGATTCAATGTATTTTTAAAGCATAATTAAAAAAATATTAGCTTTCTGCCCTCCTCTATATCTATACTAATATATAAATCTACATTGGCTTTTACGGATCTTCCGTTATAACTACTGAACCATGCATCCGATTGACTTTAAACTTAGTATCCATCTAGAAAATACAGCTAAATGCCCTTAATGGATAGGCTAATATTTATATGAGTATTGGACTCTCTAATAATAATGACAATAAATAATAATGTTAATTTTAAATGCCCAACGAAGCGGGCGAGTGCAGCTTGTTCTCTATAAGTGTGGGAAATTCCATATTCCTCCGTCGGCGCAATTTCCGTAAAAAGGAGTACAAATTTTTTGCTTCATGTATTAATATACAGATTCTTCTTCTTCATCGTTCCCTCGCTGCTGACGATCGCGACTTCATGTGATTTGCCTCCGCAGTGTTCAATCATGGCATGGATCACATGGTATAGACTACCACCAACCGCTTCCTTAACCAGATCTGACCATCTGGCTGGTACTACACGGCGCGCTGGCCCTTTATGCGACCCGAAATTATGAGCTCCTCTAATTCATGTCTGAGAGACCGCATGATATGTCTGAAGAAGCTCATGTTACCGGCAGATGACGGAGAGCCCTTTTCTATTAACCTAAATTAAAGGCACCAAATCCACAGCGTGAATTCTCGAGTTACACTCGCAGTATTTGCGATTTTTTTTAATCGTTCGTGGCTTGCTTCTGGGAATCTAAAACCGATGCTAATGGAAACAAGATGCAGACTACGGAATGATATAACCTAAATCGCACTCGCTTAGAGTTTGGCCGATGCTTTGAATAAATTACAAAAAAACCTGTCCGGTCCTGAAAGTATGGCGGTACTAATTAAGTAAACACGTTTATCTTGAGTTAAGTTCTCCAATCTGAGTATCAATATAATTCTCTATATCTATCTATCTATATTAATACGTGAAAGAATAACTTTGTACACCTTTTTACAAAAATTGCGCGAACGAGGGTTATGAAATTTCCCACACTTATAGAGAATATAGAGAAGGAGTGCAGAAGTTAATATTTTGTTAAAATTATGCATAAATAATATATTAAATCAAGATTTGAAAAAACATTACACAACCACTACATGTATTTGATACACACACGCATGCATACTATTTGTTTATTGTTAAACTTATGCTTATAGTCGGTAGTCAATTTGAGAATAGATTAAATATCTTTTGTCCTTAATAATATTTGTCTAATGCGTAGTTTTGGCGAAATCTGTGATTATAGAAGTTTAATAGACTTTGACAATAAAACCCTAATAATGTTCAAACATATAATTTCAATTAATTAGTCGAATTTCGACTACTGCGGGACCACTAGTTATGTATGTAAGTTTGAATCTGACATCACTCTTCGGTAATTAGAAAGGAGCAGCGCGGTGTTCTAACATACCGCTGCCAAAGTTGTCGCATTTTTACAATGAAGACTATAACATTTGAATTTTTTATTGATTTGTTCTTGAATAAGTAGTAAGTAATATAAAAAAGGAATATACTGAATCAGTAAAAAAATATTTTTTCATGTTACCTACTTATTTAAACAAACAAAAAAAACATTCTCACAATGAACTTGATTATTTTTCTCTTACTTTTGTTCGTCGCAAGGGCGGATCCAGCTTTGGCGCCAGGAGGGGGTCACATAGTCGGGGGCAAGTTAAGAACTTATAATTTAATTTTGATAACAGTAGATAATAAATAAATCATGATGTTCTTCAATTAGTCCAAGTTAGTTCAAGTCCTGGAACTAGCTCAGGGCGGGGTCATGACCCCTATGACCCCCCCTCCTGGATCCGCCGTTGGTTCGTCGTGTTGTTGTAATTATAGTTTTCCAAATTTACATGCAAAGATCAACTTTGAATTGGACCGGGTTTTATTACCGCTTTATATTTATGATATCAAACTTTAAAATCGCTTTAATCTGATGATTCATTCCAATTATGCTTTCAAAGAAATAAAATTGTTTCATTGTAGGTTTTGGAACATGCAAAGATGTTATATGTTTTAACAAAGCTTGCTTGATTAATAATAAAAAAGAAAACATTTTATATCGTAAACACGCTAAGCTCTCAACCTTCGCGTGTTTTAAAATGTAACTAAAACTTATCTTATTTGAATCAAATATAATTTAGAAAACTAACATGTATTCCGCTCACATAGGTACCCTGTGCCGACAGAAGTGGCGAACAGTCCTCATGAAGCCTATATTTCTCGACATGTCGGGTACAAAACGAACGACTACAATAATAGCAGACGGGTAATTATTTGACCTCGCTCTACTAAATAAGGAAGTATACACAAACAGATATGATAAGTTATTCCATCAAAATGTAGTATGTCACAGTAGCCAAAACGTAAATAGATCGTTTAGTAATTATTGTTATCAAAACATCATGTAAATAAATTATTTTAATGGCTATTAAAACAACAAAAGCAAGTTTTGAGCCATTCATTAGGTACTCTGTTTCATTACAGTTACGTCTAAGCTTTATAAAAGATTACAAATATTGACCGTAGAATTAACACCTATCTATTATAGCTTGTGCACACCAAGATGGGATGGCAGAGGATTTTGCCACCAGTTAGCGCACTAACTGCTTTTTTTTGTTGCTTAGATGGTTAGAAGAGCTCACGGCCCACCTGATGTTAAATGGTTACCGGAATCCATAGACATCAACGTAATTGCGGATGGCCGCAATGACCCTTGAGACCTGAGAATGAGACCTTGAGACATGACTTGTTAGGTCTCACTATTAACAGTACAACGGCCGCCCCGCCCTTCAAGCCGAAACCCATTACTGTTTCACGGCAGAAAATAGGCAGGGTGATAGTACCTACCCGTGCGGACTCACAAGACTTCCTACCACCAGTAAAGTGCTTAGATATAATGGCATTTCAATCGCATACTAAGACATCCGCAATTTGTTGGATCACGCAAAACTGCCTCGGCAGCACCTGCAGCCTTCTACAAATTTCAGTCATAAGTTACTTTTAACCGAGCATTGTCTTTAAAGTATCTCTGCTTGCACTGCCCCACCTCGCGGTATGTGCAGCGTCCTTCGGCGTGCCGTTGTATACCGTAGCGGGTTCCCTCAGCGCCATCTTCAATGACATGTCAAAAAATCTCTTTCAATTCCATAGGATTATTTTCAAATAGGAATTTATGTCGCATTTCTACCGAATAAGTTTGATAAAATGTTAATCTCTTGCCATTTCGCCCCTGTGTGTGTAGTCCATTTATCTTGATAGAGCATATAATCTTCTCTAGCTGCCTTCTCAAAAACTTGCTAAGAACTTCATTAGAATCCAGTATTGAAACAAAGGATAGTCAATAACAAGGAAAAAAGGGTTAACTTACGAAAGTTATAAATCTTCCATAAATTCTTTAATTTTTAAATTTCTTCAGAAATTAATAGACATTTAAGAATTCTTTTAATTATTTACTTGCAGATGGGATTTTTGTGGTCTTGGAATCACATGATTTCAAAGAAATGGAAGGGTTCACAAACACCAGCCACAGGAGATGAAGGTTTCCAAATGCGAATGCTAAGGGATTTCAAACATTTCTGTGCCAATCAGGAACAGAGGCTTAGTCAATTTTGGGATCACTGCTGGGAACTAAAGGACAAATCCCGAGGAATGACATCTTGTTAATCTTAATTTTTGTATTACATAATGAAGTATACTTTATTTTAAAATATAACTATTTCTTACCATAGATTTTTTTATTAATGAAAGACACCTTCCAAGTTATTATTTATTGCTTTTAAAAATACAAACTTTTCAGAAAATACATCATTGCAACATTATACAAAAACCTGTGAAGATATGTTTTATTTAGAAAAATGTTATTTTTTTTTTAGTTAATCAAAGTAAAGGCACATGTATTTTCAAATAGACAAGTCATACTGTCATGTATGATATTACAATTCCTCACAGGTTTTCGTAACCATCTTAAACATAAAAATCAGTCATCACGTTCACTTATCACATACCTACACATCATACAGAACCTACATTTTGAGATTCTTTTGGAAAAATTGTTACAATTTCATGTAAAGCTTGTTAATGTGCACTAAAAGATAACATGCCACATACAGCATTCTAGATAAAAACTTCAAACCATAACAAAGGGCAATCACATCAATTTTGTTACTACAAAGAAAATAGCAATTCATTCAATGGCATTGACCTTCACTGTCGACTGTAATAAATGAATATGTCAAGCTAGACCATATATCATTTAATATTAAGATTACATTGATTGCCTTTTTAAAAGAAGCCTTGGAAGAAAACAGAAATGATTAAAGCAACAAAATTAAACTAGACAAACTCAACATAAGAAATCAGACAAATCACCAGCTTTATAAATTTTGAATTGTAACTATTATTTGGAATGGGAAGGTTATGATGATATGTAGAAATCTCAATTTATTATTGCTAATTATTTTGAATTTAAAACTCAAGCTCTTTCTAATACATCTTAAAGTTAGCTGATCAAAGAAGCTTTAATTTTTTTTAATATATTAAACTTATATTATTATGTCGTTCAAAAGATCATTTGAATTCTCTAATCACATTTTACTAATTTTCATTGTTTACATGTTTAATAGCAACATTAAGTACAAATTACATTGCTTTGGAACAGTGTGAGCAAATACCAATTTGTGCATTTATTGCTTAAGGGTTTTGACATTATTTAAAATTAATTTGAGCACTGTACGTCGTACTTTAAATGCAAAATGGAATAATTATAATCTATAAGTACCTTAAAAAACCAACATTTATTTATTTATAAAAATATTCATATTTATTGCCAATGAAAAAATATCAATTATAATTTTTTCATCACAATGAATGAAGGCATGGCATTGAATCTTACATCTCAAAAATAAAATAAAACAAAAACTTCATTAACATAGTTGTAAAAACCAACTACATAAAAAAATAATGAATCAACTGTCAAACTTGATGTATTGAAAAAAAAGTTTTCATTTTGTCTCAACTTTAGTGTACTTATCACATATTGGTATTCGATATTAATGAGAAGGTTTAGAAAATTTATCAAGTTATTTTTTTCCAAACAAGAGAAGGCGTGTCAGCATACTATTTATGCAAGGTACCTGTTTTTGTTGATGCATCGGTGTGATATCTGGTGTATTTGACTCAAAATCTAAAGCAACTCTCTGACAAACAAATGTCAAGAGTGTAAGAATATCTCTTTGAGTACCATAGTTTCTCAATTCTTCACAAAGAGATTGCATAAACCAAGAGCCACGAGTTGTGTTTCTCCAAGAGTAATAACCTGGTACTGTTGAGAACACAATCAAAAAGTCAGCATGAATTGGGATTCTGTAGGATGAAGACGAAGAACCATCTGTTTCAGTGTTGGATAATGTTATTCCACCATCTAACTTATCACCTTGGCAAGCTTGAATAAAGAACAGTTTTGGTTTTCCAGCTAGAGTTGGACATTTATCAGCAGTGAAGTAATACCACAGATTATCTGGTTTATAATGAGTGTCTTTGGCATACAACATACCTAATTCTCCATGACTCAACACAGCAACCAGCAGACAATCATTATCTGTGTGATCCATTTCAGATATTTGTTGTATATATCTGTTGATATCTTCAGCTCTTAGGTTATGAAGAACCGTAACACTGAAACCTAAGCCTCTCAGGACTTTAGATAAGCTGTCACTGTCCACATTGGTGCCCGTGCGAGATTTTAGATTATGAATTTCAAAATGTTCATGATTGAAAATGATCGCCATACCACGATTATTGTGGTTCATGTTATAGTAATGAGCATATCTTTCGACAGGCATTTTCGCATAACGTCGCCCTTGTGAAGATCCATGACTGCCCCATGCGTCGCCTTCGTCTTCGTTGCCGTTTTTCCTTTGTTCTGTTCCAGAGCCATTGTTTTTCTTTTCTTCATCAGCCATTTTAAAAATCACGAACCTTAACAATCGTGCAAATAATTGCACACGACCTCAGTAAATAAAATGGAGTTTTTAATTTACGTCGATGTGGTGAAAATGGAAAGTGTTAAAAATAACAACAAAAACTACCACGACTAGCAACAGCGAGCACAGACTAAGCAAATTTTTTTTTTTTTTTTTTCCTACCTAAGCTGATAGCCCTAGCGGCTATCGCCCGAAACCAATAACATATCCGCAATCCGAGATTGAAAGCAATCTAGATATGTTAATAGCCATGGATCGATCTTCGATCCGAGTCCCAATAACTAATCTCTACAGCTGCAATCCTTTTTTAACAACGGATAGCCGACGATCCTTTCCCTCTTAACCATTCCGTCTTACGCCGAACTTTAATATTCATTATGGTATGTTCATTTATTTGAAGTCCCAAATATACCATTAAATTTTTCTATAACTATTTGGATTTAATTATTTTTAAAATTGCTACTATAATACACCATATTTGACGTCTAAAAATGTTATAACTTCTTAGTTTAGACGTTCATGGACGAATAATTTTGTATAGTGAGTAACGGAACGTTACGAAAACAGCCATTGGCATTTAAACAAAAATACGAAAAGTTAGTTTGTATGTACTGTGTTTCTTGTGTTTAATTTTCATTTTGCAATGGATTCTGAAGTGGTAAGTAATTTTGTGACATAAATTACATATGTAAAGTACAATCTAGTGATGAATTGTCCTTTCCCACGCATTGTTTAATGTAGTTAAAAAATACAATAACCTTTTCACTTTTAGGTAAGAGGCAAACCTCTGTCTAAAGATGAAACGAAAGCGTTAATAGAATTGATAGAGAATAGCAGAATAATAACCACCAAGACGACCAACGCCACCAACAACAGCTTAAAAAAAAAAGAGTGGCATTGTATAGCGGAGCGATTTAACGCAAACACAGCTACTTGTCATCGTACACCGCAACAACTAAGGTTGAAGTGGGAAAATTTAAAGAAGAACTGTCGCAAATACAATACCAAGATAAGGATGAATCGCATTAAGGTTAGTTTGAATCATTATATCACTTACTGCTGTTTCCTTGGACATGACATTTATAAGTGATTAAACAATATTCAATTTCTTTTCCAGACTGGTGGTGGCGTTGCTGAATATATACCTCCAGACGAAATATTGGACAGAGTGGGTTCATTATTAGGAAGCACAGTCAGTGGATTCGTAGTGCCATTTGGGGGTGATAGGGAACCAGAAATGGTAATTGCTGGTTGTAGTGACTGTGCTAACATTGACTCCTCTTGTGAAGATGCCAGGGTTTTAAACGTGGAAATTAAAAATAACTCGACCCCACCAGTGTCTTTGGCCAAATCTGTTGTGTTGGACTGTGAGTTGAATGACAATAGTGAGGTTGTGTTGGCTCCAGACGAACCTCACCATGTCACATTTACTACACCTAGAAGAGGTAAAAATAATTTTTAATGTTGTAAAGTATGTATGTGTTTTTAGTGCTCTATGTACATATTATGTGCATTCACTAATACTCATTGTTAANCTCTAAGCTAGCAACACTGCTTTTTGTTTGTAAAATGTGCGAGAGGGACACCACCACTTAATAATCATTCTCTTTTCAGACCGTTTTTCCTTACATCTTTTGCTATTTAAAAATAAACTTTAAGCCATAGAGATAAAGTATATTTTTAGTTTTTATGTCAAACGAAGTAAGCACTCCAGTTAGAATAGTAACTCTATGGTTGATATCTATACGCCATTTTCGGAATCACTTTTCGAGCGTTACAGCTGCGCTTTGAAGTTTACTTGCCATTAGGACTCGAGTAGTGAACGATTGTTTCTTCGGCGAGTAAGCTTGACTGGGTCGCGGCAATCGGGAAATGTCGTTGATAAATAAACTAAATAGGAGCAGCGAATTGCTTAGCTATTTTTGTTTCAGGTTTGTACTTGTGGGCTTTTTCCTTTGCTGTTCAATGAATAAATCAAATAAGTAGTCTATGGACGTTGGATACAATGTTTTTCCTTTTAGTTTTTTCATCCACTTCCACTTGCACTATTCCAGATAGGTTTGTAGTTATTTGTTTAATGTTCAAATAAAGTCAATGTTATTGTATAATGATGTAAAGGCCACTCTTTTAGCAATTAGTAGGTAATAATATAATAATTAATCTGCTACTCTTTTGTTTATAATGTGAGCTATGTGAACTCATGAGAAATGATACTATTTAGTCTGGATCTAGTATTTTGATAACTAGAGATACTACCAAATACCACGTATTGAATAGTCTCTTATTTTATTGATTAGCGAAAGTGGACGAACATAGGGTATCTAAAAAAAAGGCTATACAGTTAAGCATAAAGTGGCCGTTTTCCAATTACAGCACAAGAGCGCATTATGCGGCATAATGCTCAACTAAGCTTCAGTATAATTCGGGATTGTGCGTCACTGAGTCGCATTGTGCTCTGTAATTGGAAAACTACCGTTAAGTACATACAGGTAGTTTTCCAATTACATTATGCCGCATAATGCGCTCGTGCTGTAATTGGAAAACGGCCAGTGTTAAGAGGTCAAAAACGTATCATTTTTTTAGGAACCTTGTACTAGATCGAAATGTAACTAAATTGATCTGCTATTAATTATGGAATGAAATAAGATGATTGAATGATTGAATGATTTATACTATGATGAATGATATTGAATGATTTATATATGAACTATAATAAAATTACTTTTTTTTAAAACCGACATTTATTTTATAATTTTTGCTTGACTCTGGCACTTTCAAGTAATATACCAAATTAGCAAAAAGGTATTTTTTTGAAGTGAAACTTCTTTAGGCGCATGAGGGTAAATTTTTTACAGATGTAACGTCACGCAGGTATGCAACGGAATGTCGGAAAAGAGAGAGAGAGCGATCGAGACCGATTGAGAGAGAGTAAGACAGGGCGAACGTAGCATGAAGCAACTAGCCATGGAGTGAGAGTAGGGTAGGAGCAGTCAAGTGAGAAAGATCGAGAGAAAAAGTGAGACAGAATGCTCAATTCCTACATACGTTTAAAACATACGTATAAAGTATTTTATTTTTAATACAGCGCCATCTGTGACTTGTTTTAATACTAACGTGTGTATGAAACCTCTTGTAGTGAATTTTAATTTAGGATATACGTCAAGTTAAAATATCAATTCACAGAGAGCGCTACCTCATACTATAAAAGGTGATTTACAATTATTTACTAACGACAAAATTTTACTATTAATATACTTAGACATTTAGGATAATTGTATTTTAATTTTTGAAGGTTTCACTTCTAACACGTGTGAATTGCACATATGTTATTTTTTTTTGTAAAAGGTAAGCCGAGACAGAATTATTGTCGTGGTACAAGCGTAGCCCACGTTGAGGCTTTTTTTCTGATTGCCACACTATGTGAAATTGAATATTGCATTGCTATTAAACTAATTACACTAGTACATCTACCGGTATCGTATTTGGATGCTTAGTGAGATTTCGTTTCTCGATATAATCGTGTCTCGCTGTGCACTGGATACGGGTATCTAAACAAGCCTGTTCCAATCTAAATAGTTGTTGGTCGCTCCTGCAAGACAGTTACTCTAAAAGCATTTTTTTATTTTTTTTTATTGCTTAGACGGGTGGACGAGCTCACAGCTCACCTGGTGTTAAGTGGTTACTGGAGCCCATAGACATCTACAACGTAAATGTGCCACTCATCTTGAGATATAGTTCTAAGGTCTCAGTATTGTCACAACGGCTACCCCACCCTTCAAACCGAAACGCATTACTGCTTCACGGCAGAAACATGCAGGGTGGTGGTACCTGCCCGCGCGGACTCACCAGAGGTCCTACCACCAGCAATTAAGCAAATTATAATTTTGCGGGTTTGATTTTTATTACACGATGTTACTCCTTCACCGTGGAAGTCAATCGTGCACATTAAATTTGTTAAGTACGTATTTCATTAGAAAAATAGGTACCCTCCTGCGGGATTCGAACACCGGCGCATCGCTCCATACGAATGCGTCGGTCGGGCCACGACGACTTCAATTTTTTTTTACATTTAAAATGCTTTAAACGACTATGTTAAGAATACGATTCTCCTTCTTTGTCTCCATCTTGCCCCACTAGGTGGGATCGGCATATCATAATTTTTTTTCCATTCTCCTCTATCAGATCTTATCGTCATTCACACACTCCATCCATGTATTTTTCAGTCGACTTCTTCCCTCTACCTTGCATGACCATTTCCATATATCTCCTAGGCACATGTATCTCCTTCCTACGCATCACATGTCCATACCACACTAACCGTCCACTCTTTAATTAATCAGTCATTATGGCTCACACTTCCTCTGATATACTCATTATTTTATCTTGTCCATTCTTGTCACTCCACACATACATTTCAACATTCGCATCTCTGCCGCATGCACTCTTCTTTCAAGCCCTACTTTCGTCGCCCAACATTCAGATCCATACAACAAGACAGGTCTAATAATCGTTTTTTTAAACTTCCCATCGTAAAGGGCATTCTACGATCGCATGTTGTTACAGAGACCTGTAGGCATTTCACCCAACTAGCGTGTATTCAGTTCTTTTCGTCACGGTTTATGTTGCAGTCGTTCTGGAGTATAGAGCCGAGGTACTTAAACTCGGGGTAGACTAGCAGCGTAACACCATCTAAGGTGATTGGCGTGAGGTATGAAGGACCACCTAAATCACAGAACATGTGCTCAGTTTTTATTCGACTGATCTTCAGACCGAGATTTTCCAACCTTTTTTAAGATTTTGCCAGTCTCCTCTGTACCTCGTACCTGACGAGTGAGCTTATTATATTACGGTATGGTAAGAATACGGATATCATGATAAGCTTTCACATTAAGCTACGCTATTCAAACAAACCTATATGAGATATATTATAATGATCATATTTAATTTTAACATCTACTACATATACTAAATGAAATATCATATTGTTATGAATACGTTGCTATAGTAACCTACCTTCTATATTAGTGTAACATTGTTGATGAACCAGAATAACACCGATACACACTAAAAACATTACCATGTCTATCTTTAAAGTTAAATATTGGTGGTCTACCGACAGTCTCCACACTAAGGAGACAGTGAGTGGATCCCAAAACGCTTATAGTCTAAAAGTGGACAGATTCAATTCTCACAGTGACAGTGACTGTATATTGTTAGCAGAGGAATCGACAATAAAAGTATTTAAACCTAATATAGAGCAAGAAAATTCACATACACTTTTAGAAAGTGAATTGGAAGATGTTATATTACAAATCGAAACAGGTAAATTTGTAAGGTGCGTGAATTTGTTTTAGAAAGACAAGAACTTATTTTCATAATAAATTTTTCTATTGTAGAATTTTTGTTATAATTGCCAACGTCATAATTTTAACAGTTAATTTCAATCAAATCTTGAATATTTCTTTGTTCGTTTAGCGAGATCGCGGACAGGCAGATAATTGTGCTACATGCGAGAAGCTACTCTATCTATCAGTTACTTAAACAGGAAGGTCATACAAACGCAGGTTTGTTTGTATATCTATTACGATATTTGGTCCTACATATTGAAATGAAAGAAACAATGGAGGTAATACTTTATCTTGATATTTTAGGCGAACAAAATAAACTTGAACCATTAGTTAGGCATGCGTTCACAAGAAAAGCTGACAGTTTGACGTGTGGTCCTTTTGGGAATATAAAAACCCGTGATTTTATATGTATCCAAGGCCTCGATGGAAGTTTAAGCTTCTTTGATCAGGATACATTTTTATTTCTATGTATTTTCAATGATGTCATTATTCCTGGACCGATATCTTACATTGCAAATTGCGATGCATTTGTTTTATGTAAGTCGACTTGGGTTTTAGAAATTTATAGGTAAGAAATAATCATTTTTTGAACATGAAAATCTCTATTCTTTTCCAATCCTGCCAATATTTTTTTTAAAACGATGATTGTTACTTGTTAGCTACCAGCAACTACGAGAGTTCAGTGAGTTAAGCTTACGACAGAATAAACAAAATGTACCCCAATGGACGTACAGTGCCTGTGAAGAAATTACACAAATACAAGTCATTCAGGTAACAAATTATCAGATAATATTGAATATGTAGAAATTATTTTCTTTTATTTTTAAGCTTACGCAGAAACAAACGCGACTAGTTTGAGTCTTACGGCCTCGCACTCGTGCTCATGAGGGTGATCGGTTTAATTTGATTTGGTACTAAACATGATTATTTCTTTCAGACTAGCAGCAATTTTTCTAGTATCATAGCACTAGGAGAAAGACATCTTTGCTGTTTTCAAGACAACGGTTTGATGAAATTCATGATAAAATTTGATTATATGCCAATGTGTTTTAATAGTTATCTTATTGGATGGTATTACGGTTAGTACTTGTAATTCCCGCTCATTTTAAAACTTAGTTTTTTTGTGAAATAACGAATTTTCGCGTAGTTTTTTATATGATTATGGGTTACCTTGAAATAACCCTTCAACACACTAAAGTTTTATTGAAATCGAATATTTGCCTATTTGATAGTACCTTTTTATTTTCCCCAAAATATAGTGACTTAAAAAGAATAAACTTTCAGGATCTTAATGTTTTATCAATACTAATATATCCCTAAAGTGAGAATTCCTCCAGGGGTAATTTTCCCAAACCTGTTTCCTCCTATGCCAATTTATTTAATTTTTATAGGTTTACTTTAATAAGACGATATTGTTAGTTCATTGTGGACTGGGTGTTTGCAAACACAATGACATGTTAAGTACAAAATTAATGATAAAATAATATTGGCGTATTTATAGTTCCAGGATATAACTGCAATATAGTTTCATGACTACAAGCACATAGAAGTGTCTTACGCATCGGGGCATTGGCTTAAGATAAAAGAGCGAAGTGATTTGAATTTGTTTTAATTTTCAGAGCCAACTGCACGAATGTTAGTAATGGTAGCTTCAGATGATTGCAAATTATATGTATACGAAAACACGACCTTACTATGGTCGTGTGATTTACTACATCCAGTTATTTCCATAGCGCGTTGTTTCCTAAAAAATCTTCCCGGAGGAATAGTGAGTTTATCAAATACTGGTATAGTAAACGTAGGCTATTTAGGCACGGAGCCCGATCTCAACGGTAACGCTAGAGCCATGATCAACGAATCGATTGATCCGGAACAGATTCAAGCCGAATTGGACGAGGTTGAAAGTGCTTTCCAAAAACTTTTAGATGATAAAAACGGTAAATCAAATAATTTACATATTACTGTTAGATTACAAATCAACTGTAAGTAATGTATCGTTTGTGTTTTTAGAAGCGGATACCAGCTTTTCATTAGTAGAACGAACAATAAATATAAAGGCGGACGTCGGGAAACCAGTTCAAAATTTGTTTCAAGAATTTTCTAAAGGAGACGAAGCCTTACATTTGCTTATGTGCCCTATCATAGTAATGATAACGTGCGATGATCCTAAAATTATACAAAACGTCCAAATATCATATGTTTGTTGTTTTCCGTTCGCTTGTTCAGAGTCAGCAATTTCATTAGACAGAATGAACGGCACGGAAATTATTGAGACGCAAGTTTTCTTGACCAGTCACTGTGATATTTCTGATACAAGGGTAGTAATAATGTTCACTATAACAGATTCCGTTGGGAAAATTGTCGTACTATCACGTGATGTTTTGTTACCAATCAGTCTTTACTGTACACCTATCGAAATAATACCGGAAAATCAGTATATGTTAAGTGTTAGAACAAATCAACCTATTGTGGAATTTACACGAATATTTACAGGTACTGAAATCATTAATTGTACATGTACTCGACAGGAGCGAAAATTTCATTTATTTAATTAATATTACAGACTTCAATGGGGAAGATTTGTCGGGTAATACCATTACGTTTGGATATAGATCAACAAAGAATACAATTACACTTAAAATAAGAGACGACCACTACATAATCGAAGCGAATAATTTTACGGAAATTACAAGTGTTTTGGATCATTTTCTCGTGAAGCTAATAGACCATCACAGGAGGATGTCCACAAAGGATTTTCGTTTTGATTTTCAATATGATAAAGAATTTAAAAAACAGCTCCTTCATAGTTTTCTGAAGAGCATCGAAATACATGCGAAGGAACGCATTAAACTCAAAGGGTTTGAGGTAAGATTATGTGTGTTGTATATAAATGTTTGTACTAGGATTCTGTAAAATTAAAAAAAACTACTAAAAAAGTTGCCATACTGCGTATTTTAGTGTATTTTAAGATACTAAGAGTATAACGTTGACCCCTTCGATCAACAATAGTTACTATTGTTGATCGAAGGTTGACCCCGTGATTAATTGCGTGACATTTGCACAATTGCGACACACTTTGTGAACGGAAGTGCTCTTTATTGAATATGGGCTAAATAGATAATTAATTGAACTCCAATTGGAGTTGCACTATTTTATTAATTAACTACTACTTGAGGATTAAGCTCCGCAGATTTTTTTTCCTAATATTTATCGTTAGGTATTGGGATGTGACCCTGGCCATCTTCGGCTACGTATTTCTATTCAACTCGTCGACCATTTCATACTATACTTGAGTCATAAGTTCATACGTGTTATAAGTTCATTAGAGACCGCTGCAGCTTGTTACATCATGTTCTCGCGTAGCGCATTGGCGCTCATAAAAAATCTTTCTATTTGTTTTGTAAAGCAAGAGATGAAATAAACAAAATAAATAGATTTAGACATCATAAACTGAGTGACGGCACCCACCTTGTGACATCAAGTCGAAATCTAAATTAAGCTACCCGTGTCGGTACATAATACGCACTGCCGACAACTATATTATACGCGTTCTACCGATTTGATTCTTTAATCGGAAAATCATCTTCCTATGCCATTTCCTATAGTCCTATGTCATGAAATTTAAAATGTTTCTGTCAGACTTGAAGTTAACTAGAATTAGAAATAGCTGATCTATACGTTTAAAACAGGATGAGCTGATGACACTTCACGGACAATTCACTTTAATTCAAAAGAAACTACTCGTACAGTACGGGTCGTTGCCCCCAGGCGATTGCGAATCTCTAGAGTTCTTGATGAAAGATACACATCAACGACTCGTTAGCACGGTTCAAGAAATAGTGAAATGTAAAGACACTGTCTGCAAGTAAGTAATTAATCGCTTCTGATGATAACGGGAAGTGGATTCCATTTTTATACTGAAGATTTAACAATACAAAATTGTCAAATACTTAAAACGATAAGAATAATATGATTTAGATATGAATCCATACCATTCATTAGTTAGAATCCTTTTAGATATGGCTGCGGAGGTAAATAATAAAAATATGCTCGTACTGGTTCAAGACGATATTATGACGTTAATGCGGGAATGAGATAGCGATATGCTCCCACCACGCTCTTGTGGATTCGTCATTTTAAAACTAAATTCGTTGCCATAGACTATACACATAATATTTGAGATATTTTTTTTAATATTTGTTTGGTGCTGTTTTTGACTTATATTCGAATCACGTTTGTATTTTCCATTATATTTAAATAATGTACAGATATTTAACGAAGTTCGAATCAATTTACTTATCAGTCTAGGTAGTACTTTGAGCACCGTCGGCCGATTGATTCTTTGTATATTAAAACAAGTGACGCACGACAATCTAAAAATGAAATTGATAGAAGAGATGATGTCCGTCAATTCCTTGTATGAAGATTACCAGGTGAATATATTTAAGGATATTCATTAAACGATGTATTATAACTGTTGTCAACCTGATTTATTCCAGACCGGACTAAAGGTATAATTAAGTTTTTATTGACTACGTATTCTGTGGGTAGGATTGGAAATATTTGAGACTGGATTATGCAAGTTAGTTTATTTTATTAGATACTAGCTGACCGGGCAGACTTCGTAGTGCGTCAATCGATTAATAACCTTTTGTATAAAATAAAACAAACAAAAGGAATCCGTCCGACGGGGGACACATCAAAGGAAAAACAAAATTTTTATTTTTATTTAATTCCAGCATTTTCATATTTATCTACCTTTTAAACCTTCTCTGGACTTCCACAAATAATTCAAGACCAAAATTAGCCAAATCGGTCCAGCCGTTCTAGAGTTTTAGCGAGACTAACGAACAGCAATTCGTTTTTATATATTATTATATAGATAGATTTTTTATTATTTCCATACAGGAATGGGAAGAGGCCGCTGTCCAGGGAGTTTTTTACATTCTAAACACATTATTAAAAAAATCCGATAAAGACAAGGAAAAATTGGCACCGGTTACCGAACAAGACGCGCTGTCGCAAATCAACGTGAAGCGTTGTTTGAAACAGACCAAAGTTATCCTCGAGATGATGTTTGACGATGCGAGCGCCGAGGACCAAGACGGAAGGGTCGCTCGTACTGAAGAACTAGTTGAAGTGCTATAATATGGTAGGCAGCGGCTTAGCTCTGCCCCTGGCATTACTGAAGTCCATGGTCGACGGTAACCACTCACCATCAGGTGGGCCGTATGTTCGTGCGCCTACAAGGGCAATAAAAAAAAATCATGTTTCACGAAATTAAATCACAACATACAAACATCAATAAAGCTTTATTTCATTTACTTAAGAGAAATGTTTATTATAAATAGATGTTGTTATTGTTGAATCGTTAAGCTTAAGCGACGTGTAGTAGAGTGTAAATGACGAGATTGAAGTACAGCATGTGCACTAGAAGCAGGAGAACCTTGTCGCGTCATTTCTTTTTGGCGTCCTTCAATCCGGCGCCCGCGTTGAACTTGAAGAAGATGATGTCGCCATCCTCGACGACGTAATTACGACCTATCGATAAAAAAAATATATATTGTTTTATTATTATGTATAATATACACTCTGAATTGAATTATTACTTTTTCATTGCGATTAAATCAGATCACGGCCGACCTAGCGTTAAATGGTCATCGAATTATCACAACGTGAATGCCGGACTTCACAACTTTAGGCTTATATCTCAATATTAGTAATTATGCAAATTAAAAAAAACGGGTTTGATTTTTATTATAAATGATTATTCTTCGTGGAAATCATTCTTTAAGTACGTTTACTTGTACACTTTCAATAATTCTTATTATAATCATATTGTTGTAACAACTTCCATAATTCTACCCAAGCCTCAAGGTTGGTGGCAGAACAACGTTGTGATGTCTACGGACTGCAGTAACTATTCTACACTAGATGAGTTGGTTCACCCAATTAGGCAATAAAAAAACACATAGTTTTTACCTTGTTGCCTGTATTTTCCGGCGGCTTTACACGCAGCTTCGGTACCCTCTTCCTTGAAGTCCTTGAAATGCATGACTTCGGCCATGATGAAACCCTTCTCGAAGTCGGTGTGGATACGTCCTGCGGCTTGAGGAGCCTTTGTACCTTTCTGTCGAACAATTAATCAGTTTCAATTCTATAGTTTATTAAGTTTAGTTTGATACATGGGACAATTTGTCGAGTAATATTTTTTGGGTTAGGGTAAGTCAGAAAACCCTAATTTTTAAACGATATTTGCAAACTTCATTTTATCAAGCAATCATATGTAAAGGCATGATTTCTCCGGAATGTAAATAGACAAGACGACATGACACCAATTATTTCACCAACAGTACTAAAGATAATAATTAAAAGAGGTCAGGTAGGAAGATTTGGTAATAAAGCTATTGTAATAAGTGAGCCCCTACAGCCATGGAAACTGTAACCTTGTCTCAAAGAGGGTGGCAGTTTTCGCGTTGTCTATGTGCTTCCGTAGACAATTAAAAATTACTACGAGCTAATGATATAGATTTTCACAGAAGGTTATCTGTTAATGCACCTGAATTGTCCAGGCTTTGACTTCATCTGCTCCAGCTGTGAAGAAATACTCCAATTGCAGAGCCTTATATCCTTGAACAATGATCTTGTCCAATGCACTAAAACAATTTCGGTTATAGCATATTTTTAATAAATACAAACGCACTCATTGATTCGATTACGAGCAATTAAATCTAAAGTTTGCAATAAAATTCGACAAAAACTCAATTCCTGTGACTAAGCTAATGCCGATGGATACTTAATACAATATGTCCTCAAACTACTTACATAAATTACTCGACTAGTCTCAGTTTTATGAACAATATAATATAATAATGCTTTGCTTTCCAAAGATAAGAGACCGCCCAAAAAAAAATTAAAGTATACATAAAATTATCTAGAAAAAAATCCTGAAATAAGGGGTCTATGATACAGCTTTTTTTATTTAACGAAGTCAACTTTTTTGTTACTATACAAATGTTCACGATTGACTTCCACGGTGAAGGAATAACATCGTGTAATAAAAGTTAATTAAGTAATTACTGGTGGTAGGACCTCTTGTGAGTCCGCGCGGGTGGGTACCACCACCCTGCCTATTTCTGCCGTGAAGCAGTAATGCGTTTCGGTTCGAAGGATGGGGTAGCCGTTGTAAACTATACTTGAGACCTTAGAACTTATATCTCAAGATGGGTGGCGCATTTACGTTGTGGATGTCTATGGGCTCCAGTAACCACTTAACACCAGGAGGGCTGTGAGCTCGTCCACCCATGTAAGCAATAAAAAAATGTATAAAAAAAATACTAATTTCTTCCTTACAATTATTTTTTACTTATATCACCAACAAATATTAACTAAGTCGTTGTTTGTTATTTATTAGGTATATACTTTGACATTTTGATGTCATTGTAGAAATTAAAAATATTTTAGTGCTGTGATAATTGTCTCTCACCTCGTTATGCCGTGTTCCTTCAAGTAAGAGACACGTTCAGTCGGATCCATGTCCAGCAATTTAGATTCCAACACTCCAGAGAATGGAATCAGAGGAGAGCCGGGGTCGTTTTTGTCGATCCACTCTTTGAGCTTTGGTAACCTGTAGTGATAAATGAAACAAGTTAATGTTAAAAATATAAATACTAGGTACATCTATGTTATTGGTAAATAATACATTTTTACATGTTTCACAGCACTATAGCTTATCTAAGTGCAGGTTAAGATTTGAATATTGAAAACAATGGACTGTAATATTTACTTATACACTGTTCACATTCTATTTTTAATGTAAAAAAATTGAAATTGCTAAAAAAATTCTTACTGTAATTAGATGCGCCATTTATCAATTGTTTTCTTTTAAAAAGGAAACTTTACCCAGGTGTATTGCTTCAGGATACGGTTTTAAATAAATATCTCAGAAGTAATCATATTTATATTCTTACCATTTGTTCTTTTTTCTAATATAGTCCTTTTCAGATAAATTAACGAGGTATAGAGCGGGTTTCGAAGTCAGGAACAGGTATTTATTTAAAACTTCAATCTGTAAAAACAAAAGATTATTTTAATTTTTCGTGTGTCCATTTTCTATATAAGAAAATTATTATTTTTTTACTGCGTTCCCATTGCTGCGACTATTTTACTAATTATGCCACTTCTACTTGATTCAATGCTCACAGCAGCACAATGAGCACAAACACTATTTACAATCAACATTTTTTTTATATCTTTTTACATTTTTTTTATGATTACAATTATCTATGTCTTGTAAGGATAAATAAAAGCTTCAACATTATGACTGATTGTGAATGATATGAGATGATTCGAAAAAAAAAAATTTTTTAACGCATCCGAATGTAAACCACACTCACATCAGCTGCGCTCCAATCGCCGAATCTAATGTGTTTCTTCTCATCAACTAGAATGGTCTTGACTTTAGCCAGGGAATCCTGTAATACACCGTAAAGGATACTTAAGATATTATTATTTTTCTTAAATCTAGGTACTATTTATTATTACTGGTGGTAGGACCTCTTGTGAGTCCGCGCGGGTAGGTACCACCACCATGCCTATTTCTGCCGTGAAGCAGTAATGCGTTTCGGTTTGAAGGTCGGGGCAGCCGTTGTAACTATACTTGAGACTTTAGAACTTATATCTCAAAGTGGGTGGTGCATTTACGTTGTAGATGTCTATGGGCTCCAGTAACCACTTAATACCGGGTGAGCTGTGAGCTCGTCCACCCATCTAAGCAATAAAAAAAAAATCCGGATGGGCTGTGAGCACGTCTACCCATCTAAGCAAAAAAATATCGATAGCGGGATAGGTACTGTCGATATGCTAAATTACGTTAAGTAGTAATAGGAAGAATTTTTCGCTATTTTAAAATAAAAGATTTTAATTTCTAAGATAAAATGTTTGTTTCGTTCGACGTAATCATAGAGAAACTGAATAGATCGTAATGATCACGATGAAGCATCGACCCCGCGTGCGCAGGTTGCTAAGTATCGATAACGGGTTGCATTGCGTGCCCATTCCTACTGTCAGTGCGACTCAGTTTAAAATGCATCTACTATAGTATAAGATTAGTACGCACGTATTCAGGTTTAAGTTTCTTTTCGCCGCCCCTGTTGACCACTCGGTCCAGTTTCTCGATATGCTGCAGAAGTTGCTCCTCGTCCTTCAAGCGTAGCTCTTCCGCTATTGTCTCCAAGTCTCTTACCGGATTTACGTCACCGTCAACATGGATGACGTCTTCATCATCGAATGCACCTGTTATAAAATGAAAAAATGCAAACTATCTTTTCTTAGGTACTGCATTAAGTCTATCCATAAATATCCGATGATGTTCCCATTTTTAATAAATTTCACATTAAAATGGTAAGGTTTTCAAAATACGAAAGTTGATTCTTCTTTGTAAATATTAACAAAAATAATCATTAAAACTATTATTAGATATCGTTAAATTTTAACAATCCATTACTAATTTCCTTCGATTGCTAGTTTTCTAGAAGAAGACCTGTGAGTTAGCTCGTCTTTACTTTCATTGTCATTTAATTTTCCCTTTTGGTTTTTCACCTTAGATTTATTAATTCGCTTCGTTTGCGGTGGAAAATATATATTGCACTAATCCTTTAATTTTACCATTATATCTAATTTGAGCACTGACACGTGGAGTCCAACAGATAAATTCGCATAAGATAGCTGTTTCAAAAATATGAAGCTCGAAATTAAATTATGGAGCCTTAAATTAGCAAATGAGTATTCTTTTGCTGCTGGTTCTAGAACATTCTCCCAAATTCGATTTCAGGTTCAAGTTATCGTTCCTTTTGCATATTCAGGTAATTGTAAGCTGTGAAATAATATATTAAAATTGTCAAAAGAATGGCAACAAACCGATACTTACGACACAAGTTAAAAATAGCATCACAAGCTTTGATGTGGGACAGAAAGGCGTTTCCCAATCCTTGGCCTTCAGCAGCGCCGCGCACGAGACCGGCTATGTCCACTACGTTCAAGAAAGCTGGCACTTTGCTGTAAATAATTTAATAAACGTACTCCATATTCAATTGAATATGCAAATTCGAAAAAGGCACATCTCTGAAAATGTAAAATGTTCAGGAAATGAAAAAAAAACTGATTATTTTAAAACAGTGTAAAATTTAAAATATTAACTTTTGAGATATATTTTAGTGTTAATTAGCAATTGATTGAAAATTACTGGAATTATTATAAAATGGGTGTAGGTAGGCCTCAAAACTACATGTAGGTATATGAAAAAACGTATTTGACAAAATATGCGACATGTGCCCTTTTCGAAATTGCATATTCAATTACAGTAATGCAAATAATCGACTATATTTTAGACCAATTACAGCGTATCCAAATTTCGTATCTAAAGAATACGTCCAACAATAATAGCGCTAATAAATCGAGAGACGTAACAGAAGTTTTGGATGGCAAAATCTTACGGGATGGCACCTATTTTTTTTTTTATTGCTTAGGTAGTTGGACGAGCTCACAGCCCACCTGGTGTTAAATTGTTACCGGAGCCCAGACATCTACAACGTAAATGCGCCACCCACCTTGAGATATAGGTAAGTTCCAAGATCTCAATATAGTTACAACGGCTGCCCCACCTTTCAAACCGAAACCTATTACTGCTACTCGGCAGAAATAGGCAGGGCGGTGGTACCTACTCGCGCAGACTCACAAGAGGTTCTACCACCAGTAAACTCACAAGAGGTCCTACCACCAGTAAACCACCTTCTATTTGGGACGACAAGGTTGCAGTGTGCGAGTCGAAATCACATTCACTCAAGATAATAAACAGAAGGTCAGAAAGTAGTGCTAAATTATTTAGGGTATTTCGTAATTAAACACGCAACAAATATGTATATGCAGCAAAATTGTAATCAGTAATCAGATTTTTTCTCTTACTACAGTGGCTCTCGACATGAGTGTACATACAGATATTAGTATTGTTTGTGTTGTACATTATGGTAGTTTTCCAATTACAGCACAAGAGCGCATTATGCGGCATAATGCTTAACGTTGAATGTTCCAACTACCGCAACGCTTCGCACAATTGAGCACTCTCAAAAGTACTGCTCTCGCGTGATACTCGCAATCGATACCGACTCAGTGACAGAAAATTGACAAGTGTTTTTTCTTTAAGTTGGCATTGATCGAAATTTTGTTTATATTATCGTTAGTAATAATAATTAATGTTGAAAAAAATTGTAAGGCTTTCGTTTCGTCGTAGTTTCTTAGAAATAATCAATGTTAATTAAAACTGTACTAACTTAGCGCACTCTGCTGATGCATTTGAAAACTAATTCACGTTCCAATTAAGCTTCAGCATAATTCGGCATTGTGCGTCACTGAGTCGCATTATGCTCTGTAATTGGAAAACTACCATTGTGACCAATTTTAATTACCAGCCCTAGCAACTGAAGCGATGTTTAGATCAGCCAGTCTCCGTTTAATTAACGTAACAATTCACAATGAACACGATGCAGAAGCAGTCTAGGAAAATTCTAAACAAAATCCTAGTTGTAATTGAAATTCAAAAGATAGATAGATAGTTTCACATATTTTCGAAAATCCACATAACAAAAAGAAATTTAATTCGAAAAAAGAAAAATATATTCAAAAACAAACTTGTTTTGCGTTGAGTGGTAATATTAAAATTACATGTATATTAAATAGAAAAATATAGGGTAGCTTATCCCCAATTGTTTGTAAACTTGCAACTCGTTTCTGATACTACTTTTTCAATTTGTAATACTTGCGCATAATTTATTATTCTATGGAATTACGCATTATTTTTACCTGGTAACGTTTTTAGAACTCACCTTGCTGGTTTATGATATTCGCATAGGTAGTCATACCTTTCATCAGGTACAGGTACCCTACGTGCTGAAACCGAAAGAGCATGGTTAGATATCTCTGGAACGTTTCACATGGATTTCTTTTCTCAGTCTACTGTTAAATTAAAACACGAATAAAAATAACAATATTTAATCGCATCAATAAACTACTTCTTANACGTTTTTAGAACTCACCTTGCTGGTTTATGATATTCGCATAGGTAGTCATACCTTTCATCAGGTACAGGTACCCTACGTGCTGAAACCGAAAGAGCATGGTTAGATATCTCTGGAACGTTTCACATGGATTTCTTTTCTCAGTCTACTGTTAAATTAAAACACGAATAAAAATAACAATATTTAATCGCATCAATAAACTACTTCTTAACAATGCTCACATTATGAATTAATTGAACTGGATACACTTGATGGCTTCTCGACTGTACCAGAATCTATGCGTTTTACGCTACAGCATTCTAGATACTGTGCAAATGGATTCGTCATGGACCTTAATTTTAGTCCAATGTCCAAAAGCAATTTGCACCTTGCTTCATATCTACGCATGCTTTTTTTATATGAAGTCAAATAATCTTTATTGATTTTTGAATTATGAATTTTTAAATACAATGCTACATATATTAAGCCCGATGTTTGAATATCAAGACCAGGGTATTTTGGCCGTATGACGTTAACATGGCAACACGCTTCAGTTAATATGGTAGAAATAGTTTGTTCCAAATAACCTAGATCAGGTAATTTATCTATTGTTATCTTGGGAAACAATTTAGTTTCCTTGAATACGACAACGTCTTTGTAAAGGTAAGGTTTTCTCAAAAACTTTTCTAAGCATATTTCGCTGCAAAATAAATATATTTTTCCTTCAAAATTCACGGCTATCTTTTCACTACCTTTCTTGACCTTTTGGGCTGGTAAGTTTTCTGCATATGTTACTATGCAAATACCATTTTCATATATTAAAATAGGATCAATAGTTTTTATGACAGCTGGAATCTCAGGAATATAAACTTTTTTGTTACAAAGATAAATATGGGGGCGGTCAATTGCCATTTTCATATGTTCAGAGCAAACCCAAAAAAAAGTATTATCGTACAAAACTACACCCTTTTTATTAACAGAGGGTCCGCCATTTCGGAAAATGTTCTGATGGAAACATATAGGGCAAATGTTTTTATAATTAGACATATTTTGTCTAAAATCATCATTGGATATGCATAAAACTTCAACTGGTACAGCTGACAATTTTCCTGCAGATAAAACATAATGCATTTCCTTACTAAAATTGGCAATTATTTTAAGTGCATCTTGTAAACATTTCCATCGAGTACTGTTTCCATCAAGTACATAAATATTCTGATAATCTTCGTCAATCCAATCTCTAATTTTGTTACAATTTTCTTTCCAAATAGAGTAACGCTTTTCAATGAGAATTTCTGGGAAATGTGGTTTCTGTTTGATGATATCTAAATAGTTTTCACAACGACAGTTTTCAATTATTTTGGCTTTCGTACTAGAAATATCAAATATAATGTTAGGATACAATTTATTTTTGCAAAGTTCAATGCCTTCCGAGGGTGTTTCAGGAAAACCATCTAAAACAAAGCCATGTGTAACAATTCTATGATCAATGGCCTCCGTTTGTACAGCACTCATTAGTAAGTCATAATTTAATATTTCGCCTCTTATCAGAACCGAATTCATCTTCGAGGCCAATTTGGTCCAGGAAAGATTATTTAATACATCACGTATTGCTTTTCCTCTCGAGATACAAAGTAACCCATATTGTTTGGATATTTTCTCTGCCAACATACTCTTACCCGACTTTGGAGGGCCAATAATAGCAATTTTTAAAGGATGATGTCGATATTCAATGATCGTGTTACTATCAGCGTATTTGATAGGATTATTTCGAAATTTTATTAGGTTATCTATGCTACTAACAAAATAGATATATGATCGGTGAATTACAGGATATAGTGTTCCTTTTTTCTTGCTTAATTTGTAAGGATTTAATATAATATGCGGACTGTCGTATATTTGCACTGGACACATGCGATGAAATTTACTTTGAAAATAAAATCCTGCCCCCAACAATATTTCTGCTACGTCTAAATCGATTACATACGTCTCTTCAAGAAACGAAATGTTTCTGTTTCTTAAATCGTTTAGTTTAGACAATGCTGTACGCATCACTTTTTCAAAAGACTTTGTAGCATCAACAGTCTCTAGTTTTATATTTTGTTCCGATAATAAATCTTTAAGAGCTTGAATATTTTCAGATTCAGTTTCAAATACACTTTCTAGCCTGGAATCTATTTTTTCGCGAGCTTCGTCAGATTTTTCCCAAATATTTTGATCTTCAGGTTCCGGAAACTCTTCAACGATCTGGTTATAAATAGTAAATAAATTGGCATCAACGTTAAACGATCCAGATGGGTGAGCGTCTATTATAACACTCTCCATCGAAGATGTACTCAGAGGTTTCATAGTTGGAGCCAGTACATTATCTACATGAGGTACATTATCTAGTAAATCTTCAAGTATTAATTTACCTACAACATTCTTCGTAATAAAGTTCATCCATTCTTTTTTTTCAATTTCTAATTTTACTCTAGCATTAGCTTTGGCTTCGTTCAGCTGCAATTTCCAAGTGTTAATCATCTCTGGCGATAAACGATCAATCGTGTTTACTGAAGTTCCTTCCAATTCAATAATTAAATCGGGAATGCATAAAAATGTAAGCATGTCATTAACGTCATTAGGAGTCTTTGGATACCCGTCTAATACGAAACCTGTTTTTACGAAAGGTTCCTCAAACCACAACTTTTTGAGAATTTTATGCATTAGAGTCGAAGGTATAGATATACCTTTCTCCAAATAGTTATATATTATAGACCTTATTTCAGTTTCATTGTACAAAACATTTACTAGGGATGCATTCATATTCTCTTCGTCCATCTGGTATTCGACAGCTCCTTCATCATCAATAGGGTTATCAGTAAAACTATTTTCATATTTACGTCCAACTTTTTTAAAATGTTTAGGGACCAATTCTTCATTTAGTATTTCAACGAAATCAATGTGTATTAGGCCTAATTCTTTTGCTATATATTTAGACAATGTTGTTTTACCCAAGCCGATACAACCTATTACACAAATTCTCAAAGGAGGCAATTTTTTATATGGAGTCTTTAAGACTTGATATCGACCAGGATCTTTTTGAAACAAAACTGAAAATTCCTCGTTACAAAATCTGTAAATTTGATTATTAAGCCGCAATGAAAAGTCTTTCTTACCCTCCCATAACACACCATAATCGTAGTATGTTACAGGACAATAAATGTTAGTTTCAGAGACAAAGCTTGGTTTATTTGTCATCACATCTTTAGTGAAAGTATCTGAAATACTATCACGACTTTCATTTTCATAACAAGGCTCGCATGGTGCAAAGTAACATTTACGTAATTTTAATAAAACTTCATCGATTATTTCCACGTCAGATTTCGTTTCCAATTCCACTTCAATATAACCTTTGTAAAATTCATCAAGTCGCGTCTTCAGAACATCCCATTCTTCTTTAAATTTATCAATAGATTCACTAAGGGCAGTTGTAAAAGCAGTTTCATCAAAAATTGTATTCATTTGTGTAGTCTCATCTTCGGTCTGATCTCGTACAACTTGTTCATTATCGTGAGCAATTTTTAGAGAACTGTTTATTTTATCTGGTACTTCACCGGAAATCATTTTTTGAGTTATTAGTGGATCTTGAGCTAGTGAAAATTTTTCGACGTAGTTTTTAACACTATTTTCGATGTTAAAATAGTACTTTGCTAATTGGGAGTCTATTTCTTTATTTTCCACAAGTGCTATAGTATAATCTGGCAAACTTTTCGCCGTAATGAGATATTCCCAACATTCAGGATTTGTGGTGAACCCATCAATGATATATTTACTATATTTAGAATCTAAATCAGTTTTGTTACTTTCGTTATCACTAGATGTGATGTTAATAATTTCATTTATTAATTCCTCATTTGTTGGTTCAACTTCATTTTGGAGATCATTTGCTACAATGAATTCCGCCACAGCTTTAGAAACGTCTTCATCGCCGATCATAGGCATCTCGGGTTTTCTTGCAGATATTTTTAGTTCTGCAGGAATGAATTGACATAAAAATTGCTTGTCATCAAGAGCACGTTTTAATTGCTCTTCATCATTTTCGAATGGCAGAAAAGAAAGTTCCGACTGAAGATATTCAAGTCGTTTTATATTATCTGTTAGGTCAGTGTTTTCTACAGAAACTATTGCGTTTGTTCTTTGCTCCGTTTGATTGAGGGAAATCGTTTCATTTTGTCTTGGTTCCATATTTGATTGTAGCCATAAATATTCTTGTATAATACTTGCGGTAGTATCATACCACATTTCAATCTTTTGATATCTCTCTATTTCGGCGCTCTGCCACTGAGAAAAACGGTCGTCTTCTATTTTAGCACTGATACTTGACAGGATAGATTTAGAAAAATCAAAGTACTTTTTGGACTTTTGCTGTTCTAAAAAAGTTTTATAGCATATAATAGGCGTGTTGAATATCCAAGAAAGACATTGAGCAATCATACTTTTCCCTGAAGATTTTGTTCCTACTATTATTATTCTACAAGTAGGTTCTAAATATTCTAACTTTAAATAAGGGCGTGGATTTTTACAAAACTGTAGCATAGCATCAAAAGAGGATAAACAGTAAACATGCTTAAAGAATGTTACAGCAAATTTAGAGTTTCCTTTCATAGATTTCCTCTTTCTTAGTTCAACTGGACATCTAAAATTCCAAGGCGACATATACCTATGAAAGTTCACTCCACAACTATTTATAATGTTTAGTTGTTCAATTGATTTTGTGAAATCTTCAATATTGTCAGATGGCTCATCTAAATATAATGGTTCTGGAATTAGAACGGAGTTATTAGGTATTAAGATCAATCTTTCCATTGCGTTATGAATCATTTCATGAAGAGACATTCTTGAATCTAATTTTATAGCATTGTAACCATATTCTTCAAGTTTTTTGTCAATCGCCGATTTTATTGTATTTTTATAATTACACATTTGTTGTGTTGAATGCAGTTTGAAGTTGTATGGCTGCCTGCACATGTACTTTGGATTAAAAATATGACTATCAAAAGGGTTAATGAAGTCTTTTACTGTGTATTTAGATGGCCATCTGGATTCTGAAACTGGATTATTATTGAATGGCTCCATTACGATTTGACTATTTAAATAGTTGAAATATTTAGAAGACTTCTTAGTTATCAAATCACAATCAGGACTTGTAATGTTGATAATGACATCTGGTGATAAATCCAAATTAAATATTTCTTCAAATTGCTTTAGAAATGTAGACTCATTATCACAAATATGGGTTTTCTGATTGAAGACTATGTTTGAGCAAAACTCTAACATAGATTTTGGAAATTCTTTAGGTAATTCTTCCTGTTCTTCGATTGCTTCCTCATGTTCATGTTCCTCTTCAAGTGTTTCAGTTAATTCTTCCTCTTCCATTTCAATGAATGATGAAGTATTTGTCTTTTGAACAATAGAGCCTTTCTTTTCTTTTCTTTTTATATTATTTACAAGAAAATTACAAATTTCTGAAGATGTATTAAGAGCTTCTTCACCATGTTGTGAAGTTATTACTAATCGGGAATCAGTTTTGTTACTAATTAATGGAAAGCCTGTTAATATATAGCCTCTGTGTTGAACAACTGGAGATTCTAGTTTCTTTTTTAAAATTAACAGAAGTATATTGAATATGCATTTCATATTATGTCGCATATTAAAATCTAGGCAAATTCCAGTTGGGCCTTGTTGTTCGAGTTCATCTCTTAGTATAGTCAAGGGCGACAAATGAATACATTTTAACCTTTTAGCTAAGGCTTCACCAAGAGAATAGGCACCGGAACCAGGCTTACCAACTATAAGATAACAAGTTGGTTTAGTATTGAGGTATATTTCTTGTGCATCTAAATCATTCCATGCTGTATAATACTTCGTTTCTCTTGGAAGTGGCGCATCTGTGTTATTTATCCCTACTGTTGTTGCACCTAATGGTACACCATGTTTGAATTCTATGGGCCTCGCCAGTTTATAAATAATATCAATTGGACCTCTATATGTAGCATTTTTCTCTATTTTAATGTCTTTGACACCATTAGAGTCCAACACATCATATTTACTATTGTTCTCTTTGATATTAATTGACATTTGTATAATTTTCAATAACTTTACTTCTATAATTACTAATACTATTTAAATTCATTTAAGTTTAGTGACTTGTTATGTCAAACTTTCCTGTCATATAACTTTTTTCATCTTTTACTTTTATGAGTAAAACCTTTTATATATTTTTATGAAAAAAAAAATATTTGTTCTATAATATAATCCTCATAGTAGTAGCATCTTCACATAGTGTGGTGTGCCAGGACCATTAATTGATATCAATAATAACTGCTTCAACAGGAATTACACTGGGCTTGAACTTTTTCTTCATATGATTAGTCTTCTTTATGCTAAATCTACTTTTTTCAGAGCTATGAATGTTTAAAACTTCACCAACAAATTATGTTTTTGACTTTTATACTTTACAAATAATTAGAGATAATTAGAGAATAGATGGTGGATTATTTTGCAGTAGATTTAATGTCAACTGCTTTAAGTTTCAGATATCAAGATGCTCGGAATGATCGAAAACAGAAAAAAAAAGTCAAACAAAGAAGCAGCACATTCATGTTTGTTTACAGGTGTAACGCAGTGAGATTCTTCTATTTTATGCTTATTGTCATTTCACCATTCACACACTAATTTGGAGACTAACTTAAGTACAGATGTGTTTAAACAGTGTTCTCGGTAGTTCTGTATTTGGCAGACTATTATGTAGTAGTGGTTTATTGACTAATATAATATTAATTTAACTTTATTATTTTATATTAGATACTTATTCTCATTAGGGTCGATGGTGCAGAAAGGAAAGTTTTCAGCTGCTGCTTGACTCTTGGTAAGAACATTGAAGAATGTAGATTTTCCAACATTGGGAACACCTACTATTCCCACTTTTAAGTTAGTTCCCACTCTTCCAATAAGAGGTTTTTTTTCAGGCCCTTCAACCTTTTTTGGAGGCATTCTGTAATGTTAAATTGAATAGTTTGAGTACATTTATTAACTATGAAGTAGGTAATACAAATATGAAAGAGAACATTTTCTTTTTCAAATTTTTGGCTTGATGCAAAAGATCATAAGTGTTGAAATGTTTGGAAATTAATTGCCCAGTTCCTAAAACCTAAATGAAAAGTTCATAGGCATAGTATGTACAAACCTTCATTACAACAGCACAATCTTTCGCAGAAAATTCAGATTTTATTGTTTCATATTAATAAGAATGTAATTTTATTTTTTAATAATTTCAGAAGAAGCCCACACTTTAGGTTTCTAACCTATTTAACAAAATTATTTTACTTAATTTTATATACAAACGCAAACTCATGATTAAAAAACATTGCTTCTATCTTTGGTAGTAGATAAATATAAATTGATACCTACTTACTTTTATTAATATCAATAGCAACTTAGTTTTTCACACTTCCAGATTGTATTCAGACAATATTCTCAATTAAATTGTGTATTGTCTATGGACAATTTTAGTAATCTATAATCTATGATTCAGACAGTAGAATTTGGACAAATTTGGTTTGTTGTGTCCAGTTGGCCAGGCAAAGGGAACTAAGCTCATACATATTCAGTTTTGAATACACAGGTTCATTTGACTATTTTTTGAAAATGAAATAATTCCCACCTATATCTGCCGTGAAGCAGTAATGCGTTTCGGTTTGAAGGGTGGGGTAGCCGTTGTGACAATACTGAGACCTTAGAACTATATCTCAAGGTGTGTGGCGCATTAACGTTATAGATGTCTATGGGCTCCAGTAACCACTTAACACCAGGTGGGCTGTGAGCTCGTCCACACATCTAAGCAATAAAAAAAAAAAAGAATAAATATGAAACAATATTTTTGTAAAATAGTGAAATTATGAAAACTTTAAAGGTGCAATGTAACAATATTAATATAATGTCTTTTATGTTTAGGATGAAAGGCGATAGCATGCAGCAGAGAAACGAATGTAGCGATGGATGTGTGGAGTAACGAGAATGGATAGAATACGGAATGAATATGTTAGAGGAAATCTGAAAGTGGCACCTGACAGAAGTTGAGAAGTGCGCGTTTGGGATGGTATATGGGTGATGAGATGAAATGAAAATGAGGTTGGTAAGAGTGTGTTAAGTATGAATGTGGAAGGGTAGAGAGGAAGAGGTAAACCTAAGAAGAAATGGATGGATTGCGTGAAAGACGAAATGTGCAAGAGTGGAGTGAGTGTAGAAATGGTATATGATAGAAGAGTATGAAAGGAGAAAACCTGTTGCGCAGAACCCAGGTGACAGAGAGAAGGGCAGGAGAATGATGATATGTCTTTTATGTTTAGATGGCGCGAACGTTGTTTGACCAAATAATTCAAGCATTTCAGGTTGGAATTAAAATGGTAATACTACAAGAGATCAACAGTGATTCTTTTATTTTTTGTAAATTAACAGAAACTATATGTTTATTCTATATTATCATGTAGTAAGAGCTGCCCAAGGTGGTGTCATTGGTGCAGGGTTTTGAAGATATGACATTACTACTGCTGAAATGGACAACATGAAGGAACTCACAATCTGAAACAAAAAAGTATGAAAATCAAACTGGTGGTTTTTGAGAATCAATTATATATTGTCAAATTAGAAAACAACGACTTGTATAATATCTGCCTACTCCCATACATACAATATTTTGTTCTTGATACAGAACTTGTTGGTGCGATATGAATGGAGATTAACACAAGTAGCCTTTCTTGATTTTAACATGTAAAATTTGCAATTGTAAATTTAATATTACAGTATAAAAAAATTCACAAGGCAGAGTTAATAGGTTGAACTGTTAATTTACAGTATTAACATTATAATATTGTTTGATACAGGAAGTGAACAGTGAATCGGCAGTAGTATACTCTTATCACAAGATTGTAAGATAACTTCCTTCTTCTCCAAATAGAATAAACTTATTTGTTGAAATACATTTAAGTATAGTCACCTGTTTAGTGTCATCGGAAACTCTTGAGTTTGCAAAACTGATGCTGGAACAAAATACAGCTGTCCACGCGCACCATTTCAATCTCATCATTAAGCCACACATTGAAAATACCATCCCTGAAACAAAAGAAAATTTATTTATATAAGTTTATTTTATCATTTACACTACATATTGCTTTCCTTTATTATTATGTTTTTTAACATTTGTAACATATCGACCCTTGAAAGGCAAACATGACTAAGCGACAATGCGTGAACTTTACAGTAGACTAATTTAAAGTTGAAATACCTGAAAACAAAATTTATTTTAACGAATCTAGCTGTAGGAGAATCTAGCTAGTAGCTGTAGGATTGAAATGATTTTAATAGATCTAGAAACATATTTTTTTGCGCATCGAATATGGTTATTGTCATTATTTATGTACAAAGCAGTTATTGTCGCTTAGTCATGTTTGCTTTTCAAGCGTCGATATGATTTATTAAATTTCAATGGGTTACATCTCTTTTTAATTTAAATTGCACAAGTTGATATGTTCAGCATAGACCTTATATCTTGGCTCCTTATATCAATACCCTCGTAATACCACTCTGGGTCAGAGCTTGTACAGACAAAACAGTGCACATGTACTTTAAATGTTGTCTGTCTGCTCAAAACATCCTTTCCGCACTGCATATTCCTTGAGAATGACCCAAATACCCTTTCCCAAGCACAACTGTTGCTGAAGGATCAGAATTAAATAGTAGGACTATTAGTAAATTACCTAAAATATTCATATAATCTGTGGTTAGGTCTTCTGCTGGAGCAGAAGTGGGTGGAGGTGGTTTATAGCGACGTTCTCTGTCAGCGCGACGTGGATCTGCTGACAACTGCATCTAAAACATCAAAACAGATAGTAAAATTAAAGTTGGGTAGAAAATGAAATTGGAATATGAAATTTAAATAAAAAACATAAAAAAACACTATTGATGTAATGAAAAGCATTGAAAATGTTTTCAAGGAAAATAGTTGAGGTCATTCAGGATACCTTTCCACTTTTTATTATAGGCCCACAAATATTTGTAGCGGTTACTCTTCTTATTAACGAATAAATTTGGGTAAGTTTTGTAATTTGTTCTTCTGTTTTATGCAGTTAAAATGTAATTTAAAATAGATAAGCACACTGTAATTTGTACTATTTTTATGAAAGACAAAATTGACTGTTGACACTGACAGTAGTAATTAGTAGTAGTTCTATTTTTCCAACTTGAAAGACAGAAGTATCATGCCATACAGCCTAATCTTTTATTATTTTTGTTATGTAAATGATAATATGAAGTGAAATGAAATGAAGTTGATTAATTTAGAACATTAATTAATTAGCATCTAATTAAATGAAAGGAGATAAGATGATATGGGATGAAATATAATCTCAATAAAATGGTGGTTATTTACTGAAACTTTTTCAGTGGACTTTGTAGAAGATCCCGAGAGGCTACATCAAGTGGTTTTGTTCATTTTCCCACATTTGCGCACTTTTACACATAGGTATTAAATAGTTAATAAACCACGTTATTACACATTTAAACCTAAAGACACACTTAATAGACAAAATAAAAAAATTCACACAACTTCGCTCCTCACGTACCCGCCAAAAAGTCTGACTGTTGACTGTGGTAGTGGTATTTTCACTTTTCTTGTTGGCAAAACGGAGATATCATAGCATACAGCCAAATTTTATTTTAATTAATGGTATAACATATTGTTCATAAAAATATATATTAATTTGAAATATGACCTACAAAAAGGTCGTAGATATAGGTAACACTACTTTTACGGTTTAATTTCACGTTTTTTATTGTCTTTATATTATTTCCGACGTTCCGATTACCTTACCGTTTTCATCAGTGACCACGAATACCTACAGTAGTAATTTTCAACAAAAAACATGTAGATTTTAAAATACAAATTTTGAAGTCGTCGTGGCTTAATTTAAGGCGAGACGAAATTAACAAGTAGATTTTGTTTGTATGATTCGTTGTTCTTTTATTAAACAGACAAAATTAATGCAGCCTATACCTATTAGCAAATATTTTCGATGATCGGTAAATTGAATTGATTGTTGTTGTTCGAAAGTTTAACAAATGTCAACTTTTGAAAATGTTGTTGGTCGATTCAAGTTTTTGTCAAATAACTTCTATTGATAGCTATCACTACGAATGTAGAGTTTCGGAGGTTAGCGTACAAGGAGGAGTCTCTATAATAATATGAAAGGAAGGAGGGGCAAAAGGAGTCTTTCTAAAATAGTTTTCGGAGTTTCTAAATTTTCAGTGGAAATGCACCTTACATTTGGTTTCAATGATTGATTTTTTAGTTTCTCGCTTGTTGCATAAATACCTACATTGAATTGCATAATAATCTTATGCACAATAATCTTCATGTTTAAACGAGATTTGGAAGGGAACTCAAAGGATATTGAAAGCCGAACTCGTCCAGTCACACATCTTTAGAAATTTTTATAGTAATTTCGGAAATATGCGGTTCTTGACAAAATCTCAAGTCAGATTTGTACATAGCCGTTTTTGGGATTTTTAAAGAAAATACGTTCATAAAAGATATAGGTAGGTACCTAATAAAATTTTATGAAATATTGCAATAATTTGAACAGAAAATATGTTTTACCTCCGACAATAAAATGTCGCGCTTTTATCATTAGCTCTATTTTTAAATCAAAAGCTTAATNATATGCGGTTCTTGACAAAATCTCAAGTCAGATTTGTACATAGCCGTTTTTGGGATTTTTAAAGAAAATACGTTCATAAAAGATATAGGTAGGTACCTAATAAAATTTTATGAAATATTGCAATAATTTGAACAGAAAATATGTTTTACCTCCGACAATAAAATGTCGCGCTTTTATCATTAGCTCTATTTTTAAATCAAAAGCTTAATTGACAGAGATTGGCTCGTAGTTAACAAAGCAATATTAATTACTAATATTCGCATAAGATGTCAAAGTTCTTCTATTATAACCATAATTATAGGTATATTATTAATGCTTGGTACATATATTTTGGGAAGATTCCCCGTTTATTTTAAATAGAATATTCTCGAAATTGGTACCTAGTTATTTAAAAAAAAAGCCGGCTCAGTCGTTAGAACTTTACCTGCGTGTATAGAAAGTACACTACACGGTTAATAATAAGAATAATATAATATATTAAGAATAATATGCAATTAAAATTAATTCATGCAACTGGGCGTCGTAATACTGATAAATATTTGTCGGTTTCGTTTCGGTACGTGGACTCGCTATTGGTTGTTCGATCGGCGCACGCCCACAGCTCGAGGCTTTTACGCGTGTCTCGCCCACACGTTTTTAATGTGAAATCTGAAGTAACATACCTACCATTTCACGTTTAAAATAATTTCATGGTTCTTATAACGTGAATCAAATTTGCTATTACTTTTAATTTCATCAAAATGGCCTTAAACCTCTTATTAAGCTAATTATGTCTAGGTATTAAACTGCGAAGGAACTACGTTCGGTAGAGGTACCTATAGGTATTTGAGTGTTTTTATTGTAGATTAAAGCTTATAGACATCAATAACAGTTTAGGTTTGTAACAATACTTAGGTAATGTAGGTACGTTTTTAAGTTAAGTAAATTTGAAGTAGTAAGTTGGTCCGACGCTTTGGTTTTTTTCAAATTAAATAACTTTATGATAACAAAAGTATGGATGGTAGAATTAAAGAGGATCATCTCAGTAGGTATATTAAAAGTGTCCGCTGAAAGAGAGCCATTTAAAGTGGCGTCATAGTAGCAAATTGAAAGAATTAAAAAAAAAACCCCGTAAACCATTAAGAGTAGGAAACTAAATTATGAAAGAAAGAAACATTTCCTACGCAAATTGTAAAAAGATGGATAGGTATTTGAGATTTTAAAACCACTATAGGTAGATATTAATATATTTCCATTTCCTATAGCTATTAGCGCTGTTTCTACGAGTCTTCCAACAATAGTACATTACTCTTTAGGTGCAGGTTGGCACTTTTTCAACTTGCCTCCTAAACAAGATGGTCTTCCTTACTTCTGCCTTCCTAAGCACGTCGAACGCTTTGCGACCCACCGGTGGGCCTAGCGTACCTACTATACCATTCGAGCCAAGCCAAAATCAGGGAATTAGTAATTTTTATCAACTTTAGATTTTCATTCTAAAATTTATAAAATGCGATAGTTTGCACGGAAGATAAAAAATCGCAACTTTTAACGTCTTGTTAATAAGATATTTCAAAAGACTTATTAGGTTTTTATAGGCTTGATAAAAACTACAAGTTTCTATTGGATTTGAAAACCACGTCGTTCGGTTCGGCTAAAGGGCCACGCGGCTCAATCCAATGCTCAATCCAAAATGCGCGTTTGATTTGATAGCTGCAATCTGTGGCTTGTAGGAATCGTTTATGTTGAAATACTCACTTGGCTCACGGGTGATCCTCATGGCCCGAACGGTTCAGTAAGATAAGGCTCACCGGTGAGCACCGTGGCCTGAATGAAGAATGATACTCGATTTTGTATACCTATGGCGTTCAACGTGCTAAGCGAAAGGGATAAATATGCCAATGTTAATAAACGTTAAATCATAAAATTAACTGCGGCTTTAAGAAAAGTAAATCTAGACTAGATTGGTAAATAGGTAGTTCCATAGATAATCAACGTAGGTAATACGGGTAGTTCTCTGTCCTCTGCTTAATCTCGAGGCATTTCATAATTAAAAAACCAAATAGAGAAAGACTTATGATTACAAAAGTACCTAGCCATAACCCAGTGATTGAACCCAATTGAAACATATGTCAGATATTAGGTATTATGTAAGTAGCTACTTATTTAATATCTATGTCAGCATCAGCCTATACCAGTCATAACAGGACATAGGCTTCTCCAATTGCACTCCAATATCTATGTAGGTACACATGTAAATTATGTAAGTATTAGGTATGCAGGTTTTTATATTATTGTTAGTAGGTACCTAAGCGACACGGCAGTTTCAAATAACAAAGTAATTATAAGTAGTTTAAAATAAAAGGCACTGAAAGTTATGTTTATGTTTGTATTTTAAAACGGGTAGTTTTGTTATTAAAATTTAAATCATAATTAAAAATTCAATGTGACAAAAAGTACGTCAATTCTATGTCTAGGTATTTCTTTATGCCATAAGGTTATTATGAATTAAGATTAAGAATTTAAATTAAAATTAAAATTTAAATGAATGCTTACTTTTTTATATTTTTTTATTGCTTATGTCGACAGACGAGCATACGGCCCACCTGATGGTGAGGAGTTACCTTCGCTCATGCAACTTCAGCAATGCTAGGGACAGAGCCAAACCGCTGCCTACCGTTAAGTACTCTCCACAATTCTCGTTTGAAGAAGGATAATATATGTTATAGCGCTCGGGAAACACTATGGAGGGGAGCTCATTCCAAAGCTGGATGGTACGTGGCAAAAGAGATCTCTAGAAGCGCACTTTAAATAAACATTTTAAAAAAACATTTTGTGTTTATTTCAATTCTTTCATTTGAGCATACATAGTTTCAAAGTTGAATACTAAATTTGAATATTAGAACGAGACTTGGCATTAGCGCCATCTATTGTCTAGTAGCTTGTTACAACTGACTGGAGACAAATGGTATGTAATATAGGTAAAGTGATTTTGGTAATAAAAATAACTTAACTAATATGAACTAAACAATCTCAGTGGCTATTGGTTTTTGAAGGAAGTCACGCTTTATTACAAAATTGTTATATTAATATAGGTACTGGAGCTCTACGAAAGTTTCAATTTTTTATATATTCTATATTCTGGAAACGCTTACCGCAAGGGAGTATACATTATTGGCCTAAAGTAAATGCATAACATGATTCATTGTTAAATTATGCATAATTGTTGGTAGTTTTCATAAGCTTAATTTGTGTTTTCGCAGGATAATGCGAAGACAACTTACAGCTGCCTTTGAAATCTAGCAGTAGGCAGCGGCTTGGCTCTGCTCCTGGCACTGCTGCGGAACTTTTTTTGGACATGGACATGTCCAAAAAAAGTCGCGTCATAATTAAAATTACTTTTACTATTTAATCTCGCGTTTTTTTTTATTGCAATTCATTATTTTCGATGTTTCGAATACTATATAGTTTTTGTAGTCACAGTATTTTAAGCTCTAGC